TGGAGCACTCTAAAATGAATTTTAAAATAAAAGACAATTTTTTTCCCCAGTCGATGCATGAAAGCAATGTGCATGTTCTCAGGTTCAGATTTTTAATATGTTATTCTTCTCCTTAAAAAAAATCCCGAACAACTGTGACACTTCACTTTCAGTTTCATGCTATACATTTTTCATTGTTTTTCTTTCCACTGGGATAAATGAAGAGGGGTAAGTCGTGAATATTTCTACTCTAACCCCCTTGAGTTCACAAAAGGGGGAGGGGGTAAACAAAAACGAGGGGAGGGACATTTGTACTTTTAAACCTCTAAATCTGTGAGCAGCTGAGAAGCGACAACAAACTGCAAACAGAACTAGTGAAACAATTTTTATTATAATTGCTAATTCGTGCAGATTCTTACTAAATTTAGGTTCTGGAATTACAAGGAAACACCAAAAGTACTGACCATTATTCCCCTTAAATTAAGGTTTTAATGCAGGAATGCAGAGAGCCACAAAACATCTTCCCTCCTTCCCCAAAGACCCCAAACACATCCATATGCAGTGCCTTAACGTTCTGGGATTTCTAAGGGTCTCCTAATAGAAACCAATGCACTACATATTCCCAAATGCTTTTCGCACTTAAAGGGTACAGTAAGGTTTTCCTGCATGTTAGGAACATTATTCTTGGAGATTTAAACTGTTGATTTAAAAAAAAAAAATTATCAAACTAGCTCAACTGCCTCAACTCAGCGCGGGGTGGGGTGAGGGGGCGGGGGCGCACACACAAAACCCCAAAACAAAAACAAAACCAAAAAACCAAAAACTTGCTACACAACGCTAAAAGTAATACCCCCAAAAAGAATTCTCTTCCAAACCTTTTACCAGCACAATAATGAAATAAATCACAGAAGCAAACCCCCAGTTTCCGACTGGTGACGTGCTGCGCAAGAGTGCGAGCCCTAATTCAACATACAGACGGCTCCCATGCTGAACTGCCTCTAGATTTAATGAAGTGAATAGGAAGGAAGTCGGGGGAAAAAAAAGTGTACAAATAAGAAATTAACACTTTCCTTCCCTACCTAGCCGGTGACACACAACTACAGTGAAGTTTGGTGAGGCACCTCGTTCCTTAAAGGCACACTGCACCCTGTTCGCTCTGGATAGCAAGAAAAAACCCCATATGGTGGTAAAAATCCCCAGCCAAGTTAAAAGAGTTAAGTATATTTCAGCCTGCGTTTTTCCTGAATGAAGCTGGAAATTACTCCTTCCTCCACTGGATGGCAACCTTTTTTTTCTCCCCTCTTTTTCTTTCTCTCTCTCCCCTCTCTTTTCTTTCTTTCAATTTTGCTTAGAAGAAAAATACATTTTCATGCCACAGGCTGTTCAGGAACAAAATCAGGACGGGCTCTCTCTTCAATTAGTTCTTGAGAAAGCGGCGTGTGGCTTCTGACAACCAAATGCAGAGGGTGGTGAGGCGAGATTTTCTGCGGTAGAGGAACCGCTTTGCAGCTTGCAAAGCACATGGCAGACCTGGGAATCTGCCCCACGTGGCTCCGGGCATGGCCCTCCGTCACTATGACACACGTTCAACCATGTCTTCTACCGAATGATTGAGTGAGGGAAGGTCCAGAATGTAGGTGTGCCGCCTGCTCTCAGGGGTAATGAGGCGCTGTTCTCTATCACTCCACAATATCACAGCAGAGCAGGGACGTGCAAACAAAAAAGCCACAAGCTGCCTCCAGTGCATTGTCTCCACCTCTGCATTTCCAGGTCCACCACAGCCCTCACAGTGCCACAAGCCATCTTAAGAAATTCAGGAGCAATTGTAAAGCTGCCTAGATAGAGGGTGCATGGCAAATTTCTTGGATGTGAAATGGGAATATCAGTATCTCGTTACTAACTCTGATATTTAAATATTGTGTTATTTCTGCTCACTACAATGGGTCTTTTTTTTTCTCTCCTGCGGGAGAGGGTCCTCCTCCCTTTGTCAGGTACTCTAATCAGGATTCCAGAAGAGGATCCCACACTGCTACTGCAGTTAAGATGATTATTATACCAGTGCTTTCTGAGAACAACTCAGACACCACCAAACTTAACTCCAACATTCAAGGGGAGTTAAACCTTCAGGGCTAAACCTCCTTGGAGCCCTGCTGCAACCTTGCAAGCCCATAACATAGGTAATGCTCTCCCAAAGGAGAACCAACAGTAACAACAAAAAAGTGGAATTTTAAAGAACACTCAGTAATCTCACATTCAGGGTAAGTTCTTGCAGTAGGACTATTAAATAGTCACCCCACGGCCACTGCCCTGAATATGGAGCTCTTCCTCAAATATGATAAATTGTGATAGTTACTTAGGGCAAGCAATACCAACACTTTTGGATGCAGAATTTCAGGCGTAGGCTTTTGCAAGGCAAGATTTTTAACCTTACAATTTTTGAACGGAACTTGTTAGAAACATCAAAAACTCCCTAAAGTGAAATAACTCAGATAAATTGTACATGATTCTACTCCTATAAAGAGGAAGACACTGGTCATCAGGAGCTGAGGTGCGGCATGGGGGAGCTACTGCTGATCCAATGCAGGTCACTTTGGGAAGATGAAGAGTCTTAGAAATGGATGGCGGTGCCGATTGCAAAACATTGTGAACATATCTAATATTATTGAATTTAAAAATGGTTAAAAGTACATTTTACATGTGTTTTACCACAAGAAAACACACCCAAAATGTCAGATTACCTTAATAGAACAAAACACCTAGCAGCAGAGATTCACAAGAATTCCTATTACTTCAACGCACAGCACTCAATATTGGGTGACATCTCACTAGCTTTCCTCTGGAATTCAAATCTTTCAACATTTTAGTAGGTAGCACGTTTAGTCTTGCCCTGGTCAATAACTAGAAGCACTTTTGAAAATTCCCACTTACAAAACTATTCAAATGTTACTAATGAAATATCTATGATGTAAGAAAATACCTATACTTAGGCCTTCCTGATTCACAAATTCTGTTGGGTAAGAAATGATTCAAGTATTCAACAGGTGAGCTGATCTGAAAGCGAAGGATGTTTTGGAATACATCTCCCTTTCCACCCTGCAGTGCAATGAACTGATGCTAGGTTCATTCAACAGACTCTGTTTATTTCTTATTTCATTCATTTATCAGGCAACTTGGATGCCAACTACACTCCTAGCTCTCCCTGAGCTAAACTAAAATGTACAATGCTGGCCACAGATGGGGAACGAATTGAGCTTCAGTATCATGAATTTCTGGTACAGTGAGTTTTTCCGTTTTTTTCCAATCCTCTCATTATTTTGGGGTGGGAAGTGCATAAAGCTCTCTCTTTGCTCCTATGGCATAAGGAAGACAGGTAGAGAAACTGGAGAGGAAGGTTATAGGGGACAAGGGAGTCCACAGCTTATAAATCTGATAGGAGGTATACTATTTCAAGAAAAGTAATTTGAAGTCTAGAAGAAAAATGAGTAAAACAAATACAAAAGTTATGTAAGCCATGAGAACTAAGAATTCATTTGTATCCTTTGGGCAGTAATAAGCTCAAGTTTGTGTTTAAGAAGTAACTTTTAGTTTCATTTGAAAGAGGACCCCAAAACATCTGGCCTTGAACACCCTACCAAATACTCCCTCAGAACAAAAGAACCTGAGGGAATTTGCAAGTGTGTAAGAGGTTCAGATACAAAGAAGAATTGTAAGAAATTCATTTCAGTCTCTCTATTCAGAGATCGCTTATCCAGTTCTTCCCAATTGTCAGCAGAGCCAAGAACTCCACTCATTTGGCTATTGAGCCGGGCTGGGCTACTCTTTCTCAGTACGTTAAAATAATGACTTAAGAAATGTTGAGAGGGTAACACACTATAGTATAATTTCCAAGCTTTAAGTGAATAACTTCATATCTTTTAAGATCAGTAAAAATTCAATGATTAAGACTAACCATTTGAAGATTGTATCAGTTGATGCTTACTAGAGAAACATAAAATGCAAGATACACAAATATATAAGGATTTACATGATAGTTTTTACAATGACCACCTGCAGAATCAGGTGTGGGAGAGAGCAAAAGGGCCATCTACACACTGGAAACTCTACGAATTCAGTTGAAGCCCTGGAGCCCACTGAGTGGGTTCTGCAACAGAAGGCTGAAGAGACTGTGCTGGAAGCCAGGAGAAGACATTTAAGGCGAAGATGAAGACTGAAGCTCCTCCAAAGAAACAGAAGTAAGTATTGCTTCTTTTACTTTATGCAGGCAATAAACCTACTTAGTTGGTACCACTCATACCCAGGATGAGTCTTCTGTCTTCAGTACATCCCTTGAGTCACACCCAGAACCATGCTGATTCGATTAAGTTGGGAGGTTTTTACTCAGGTTGACCCAATCAGGTAACTATCACAATCCACTAATTTGACAACCAGACACATTGCCTTAAACCATACTTAGTATCCAGATACAAAGATAAGTTCATAATTACACTTAATGTGTTACAATTATCCTGCAAACAAAAAGAAATACACTAATTCGCTCCTCAGTATTTTAGGCAAGTTTTCTTTGGGTGATGTTTACTCCTAACATAACTTGAACACTATAACATAGGCTTAACAATGCTTAAGAATCAGTATTAAGCCTGGGGTTTAGCTAGGCAATGTAAGTGCCTGCTTTGTAAACCCAAAGTTCTGAATTCAATCCCTGGCACACACACACAAAGAACTAGTATTAAGTCTAGTTCTATGTTATATCGCATAGGAAGCATATTAAGAAAGAACTATTATAATGCTCATTCCTGTAATTGATCCCAGCATTTAGAACTACCTTATACTACCTGTTTTGTATTTCCTTGGCCTTTAGCCTACAACTTAGCAAGTCTCGGTCCCTTCATTCCTGAAATTTCTGGGTCATTTGTCAGTCTGCGTGGATTGTGTTTTTGTAGTTTCCCACTGAATTTAATAACAGGGGTTGGTAATACTAGAAAGTGCAGTAAGGATCTCTTGCACTCCAAAGATAGTCTTCCTTTTTCTTGTTTTGGAGTAATAGTCCAATAGTCCTTTGATGGTATGGGTCAGTCACTCCTACTAACACCATAACTCCATGTTTAGCTTGTTTAACTCAGGCATGTGAAGAACAAAATGACCAGGAGAAAGTCTTAGCTTCCACTTCAGTGTTGTACTTTCTGGTACAAGCCTTCCTCTATTCTGAAACTAAGACTTCTAGGGCAGCACAGCATAAAGTTGAGGGAACAAAAAACAAAAATTTTGCTAGTGCATTACTAGGGGTAATAGTGAGTAGTACTATTCCCTCTGAAAGCCCTTGATTCCTGGACCTGTGAATCTTTGCTATGGGGGGGGGGTACAGTATCATATAATGGACACAAATTCAAAGCATATATAGTCTTTTGAAGAACTGCCCCAGCCTGGCAGACTATTGTCACCTAGTTGGTGTTGTAACTGCATCTTCAAAAGACCACTCCATCTATCTAGCCAGCCACGTGTAGATGATGAGGAACATGACAAGACCAGAGAATTCCATCAGCATGAGCCCGTTGCCTCACTTCTTTAGCCATAAGATGTGTTCCTTAGCTGGAGGCAAAGCTGTATAGAATTCCATGATGGTAGATAAGGCTTTCTATAAGCCCATGGAGGCATGTTTGCAGAAGCATTGCATGTGCAAATCCATACCCAGAATAAGTGTCTATGCCAGTTTGGACAAAGCACCATCCTTTCCATGAGAGAAGCAGTCCAATATTATCAACCTAATATCAGTGATGATTCCATATCAGGAACATAGCATTGGTATTGGTATTTGCTGTTGGCATATTGACCATTCAGCAGTGGCTGAGCCAAATCAGCCTTGGTGGGTGAGAGTTCAAGTTGCTGCACCCATGCACAACTTTTATCCTGCCACCTCATGAGCCCATTGGGAAATGACAGGGGTGGCTGAAGAGAGAGACTGACTGCTGTCTTAGTTACTTTTCCAGTTGCCAAGACAAAATACCCAACACCCAAAATTAAAGGCAAAAAGGCTCATTTAAATCATAGTTTGTAGAGGTTTCAGTCCCTAATTGGCTGGCTCTAAGGTAAAGTATCATCACAGAGGAAAAACAGTTCATGGTGGGCAGAAGGCAGCAAAGTAACAAGAGATAATCACAGCTCTTTCTATCCCTTATATCTTATCCAGACTACTTAGGGTAAGTAGCACTCACAGCCTTAATCCTAGTGCCCTTGAGCCTAGCATTGCACTATGAATCAGTTCCAGTGCCACACATGCTATATCCAGCCACCTCTGAAAAAGTCCCACTATGAGACTGCATGAAGTTTTTGGAGGACATCTAAACATAAGCCATAACATTCTGCTCCTGGTCCCTCAAAGACTCATGCATAATCCCTTTTTGCATAAGACATTTAGTTCATCTCCATGACATGCAAATGTCCTAACAGTTTCAGGATTACTGAAAAGTCCAAGACCGAAGTGTCCTCTGAGATTTAAGGCCAATTATTAGCTACAAGCCTCTGTACAAATAAAAAGAACGTTAAATGTTTCCAACATTCAGTGGCACAAGATAGACCTTTCTATTGCAAAAGTTACAAACAAGAGGATAGCAAAGAATGGGAAAGAAGCAAGACCAAAATCTAACAGGGCAAACAGTAAATCCCTCAGCTCCACTTCCAGTATCCCTGGCAATCTGGGGCATGTGGTAGACTCCAAAGGGTCTACCTCTATGGCACTGCCAGTGTTTATAGTTTCCATGGCTTCTCTTTGGGGGTGGTTCCGCTCCCTCCCAGTTTTCCTCAGAGGATCTATGTTCCCAAATTCTGGGGTTCCTACTGCATCTCTGGCTTTACACACTGCTGCCTCAGGAACACACTACCTGGCCTCCCAGGCCTTCTTCTGACATCTCCAGGGAAACCTTCCTGACCCCTCAACTTTTACATTTTACATGTTCCTAAAAAACCAGCACCACACGGATGATGCTAAGGTCTGCCATCAGCTGGAGGAAAAGCTAAGATGCCTTCTCTCTTGGCTGTAGCAGTCCAGTGCCTATGAACCAAATCCCAAGGAAAAAATTCCTGTACTGTCACCATTCTGTAACATGATGCTCTGGGACACTCACCTCAAAGCAGGCTTTCATCTTTGCAACTCTGAGGCTGCGAAAAGACTAGAGTCCTGGTACTTCTTGCCATGTCCTCAGGCCATCTTTATTGTTGCTTTCTATGTAAATACTTGGCTTTTTCTTACTAGTCTTTTCAGAGATCAGTTTCTCCTCAGTGTCATTTTTGTAGACTACAATGTACTGGAGCTTCCTTTCTGGTCTAACTTACAATGTTTTGAATCATTCTGTTGGGCTCTTTGCTCTTGATTCTAAACATAAATCTGTCTAAAAAACCCGAACAGTAGCCACGCCACTCTCTTAACACTAGACTGCCCTCAAAGTTTTTCTACAAAATTAGTCTGCCACCTTTAATCTTTGTCTTAGCAAAAGTATGTTAATAAGCAAAATACAAACTTTCTGCCAAGATATAACACACATCGTCTGGAGTCCAACAGCCAATGCAGTCATTCTTCCCAGCAGAAATCTCCCAAGCCTGGTCTTCTGAGCTCTGACTGGAATCCCTCATCAAGTATAGCCCAAAATGTTCCAGTACTATCATTTTCGCCAGCATCTCCAAACCTTTTCAAACTCTTCCCACAAGCCAGGTCCCAAAGGTTTCTGAATCACAGAGTTAGGTACAGTCAAAACTACCCTACTTACCTGGTAACAAATTTGTCTCAGTTTCTTTTCTAGCTGCTAAGACAAAATACCCAACACTCAGTTAAAAGAGGAAAAGTTTATTTAGCTTACAGTTTGTAGAGCTTTCAGTTCATAATCAGCTGGCTCCAAAGAGCAAGACGGCATCATAGAGGAGAAATAGTTTATGGCAGGCAGAAGGTAGCAAAGCAACAAGGGAGGACCACAGCTCTTTCTGTCCTTTTATCTTATCCAGGCTACTTACAGCATTGCACCAGGAATCAACTCCAATGCCAAACACTCTAGATCCAGCCACCTGTGAAAAAGCCCCACCTATGACCACGAGGCTTTGAGGAAACATCTCAAGACAAGCACTAACAATCACTATCTACAGAATAGGTCATCCCATCCACTTCACAGTTAACGTCCTCTTCTGCTGAGATTATTTTTTGTTGAGTGTTTACATGGAAGACAAATATTCTCACATCCATTATCCAAATGGAAAGTTCTGTCCATATACCTCTTCTCCAAAGATCTGTGGCACCAATTTTAAAGTCACATTCCTTACAATTCCATGATTCTCTTGCCAGACTACTGGCTATAGCCCATGAATCAGTATTCAGTCATAATTGGACATTTTTCCTTCTAGGTAAAATGTACTACCCCCAAATTCTACCCACTATGAAGATTTCCCTTTACCACTGTCCTTCAGTGATGTCCTGGAAAGGGGCTGTAATACCATAGCTGTCCACTTGCAAGCAGTACCTGCATAACATGCAGAACTAGCCATAAACCAAGCCCCCGCCTTCCCCTCTTCTAGCAACAGGTCATATGGTATACCCCGTGAGGCCACAGATGCATATTGGGAGACAGATAACAATATAGCAGCAGGAGTACCACGGGCATTGGAGAAACTTCCTCATGTAATTTATTTATGCACTCTGGACCTGCTCTGGCTCAATCCCATATACATCATTTCCATTTAGTGATGGATTGCTACTGTGCACATTCAACTTCATGACTTGATAGATAAGACCCAGCTCAGGATGGGTACTCAAGTCACATGGTAAGCTGTTGTGTCATGGTCAAGTATTCTGTTTTCATTAAGGCCCAGGAGTAGGGTAAGAGCTGGGTTTTTTTTGTTGTTGTTGTTTTTTTTTTTTTTTTCCTTTGGTGGTGGTAGGGTAACAGGGATCAAATTCGTGACTTCACACTTACCAGGTAGGTGCTCATGCCACTGAGCTAAATCCTCATCTCAAGAGCTGTTTTTCAAAGAGAGAGTACTTGTCTACAAATGATGGCAGACTATTTCTCCAAAATCCTAAAGGCTTCCACTGTGATTCACCTATGGGGGCCTGCAAGAGACTCCAAACAGCACTCCTACCTGCCACTGCCACTTCAAATACAATTGAATTTGTTGGATCATGTCTTTTGAGCACCTCACCCCAGGAGCAGGACAGCCTGCACAGCATCCTGGATCGGTTGCACAGCCATTCATATACTGGGTCCCACTCAAAACTAGCAGCTTTCCAAGTCACTCAGAAAACAGGCCAGAGTAAACACCTAAATGAGGAATGTGTTGCCTCTAAACCTCAAGTAGGGTGTTGTGCCTCTTATGTGGTTGTAGAGAGAGCCAGATGCAGCAACTCATCGTTTACCTTGGAAGGAATATCTATCTCTATATGCCCCACACCTCTGGACTCCTGGAAATGTCAATGAGGTAGAAGGACTTTAAATTTTGTTGTATTTATTTCTCATCCTCTGGCTTGCAAATGCTTTATTAACAAATCCAGAAAGGTTGCCATCTTCTAGTCACTTGGTCCAATCAGCATAATGTCATTAATGTAGTGGATCAGTATGATATATTGTGGGAGAAAAGGTGATCAAAATCCCTGCAAACAAAGTTGTGTTATAGGGGTGGAGAAGTAATATAATCTTGAGGTAGAACAGTGAGGTGTACTGCTGACCTTGCCAGAACACAAAATGTTTCTGCTAAGTCTTATGGATGGTATGAAGTAGAAGACATCTGCCAAATCAATAGCTGCACACCAAGTACCAGCAGATATATTAATCTGCCCAGGCAAGGACCCACATCTGGTACAATAACTACAATCACAGTCACTGCTTCATTCCCTTTACAGTAGTCTACCATTATTCTCCAAGACCTGTCCATCTTCTGGAGTGGTCAAATGGGAGAATTAAATGGAGATGTGGTGAGAACCACTACCCCTACATTCTTCAAGCCCTCGATAGTGGCACTAATCTCTACAATCCAGGGATGAGATACTGTTTTTGGTTTACTGTTTTACCATGTAAAGCCAGCTGTAATGGCTTCTATTTGGTCTTTCCAATCATAATGGCCCTCACACTACAGGTTAAGGAACCGATGTGAGGATTCTGTAAAGTACTAAGTGTATCTACCCTATTTATGCATTCTGGAACAGGGGAAATGCCTTTAGGATGGATTCCAAGACCTACTGGGTCCACTATGAATTGGACCTTTACTTAAACTCCATTGATCACCTGACCTCCATAAGCCCCTACGCTTACTGGAGGGCCCCAGTGACATTTTGGATGCCCTGGAATTAGTGTTAGTTCATAACTAATGTCTGATAGTCCCCAAAATTTTGATCATTTCCCTTCTCTGAATGTACAGTGCTCTAGTAAAAGGTCTCAGGTCCCTTTGGGGAAAGATTGGAGAATGAATGACTACAAAATTGTTGGTAGTATATTTGGGTTTTTCCTCAAGGGGATGCAGCATCACCTTCATTCAAGAGGTTTTGGGTCTGTAAACTGGCTCAAATCTAGGAACTGCTTGAGAGGCTGTGATTATCTATTACTACTATTTGAAGAAGATTTCTAGGGGTTTTTTGCCCCTAGAAATTTTTAATTTTAAAAAATTTTAAATTTTAAATTTTTTTGATTACACAAACGTAGTGAAAATCTAGTAGGCTTTCTACTTCACTTTCAGGAACACTGAGGAATCAGTGATGTAGACAGACCTACATGTGCCAGACCATTCCAATCATTGTTCTGCTTCTGCTGTCCATTATGCTAAGTGTGTGCATCCTGCCTTTGGCAATTAAGTGCTGCCACTTGATCCCTGCCAGTCTGGGATCCAATTAAACACATTGCCCTTAAGTTTTCCAATTGAATAATCTTGGCCCCACTGCAAGGTCTGGCATACAAAGAATAGCAGTGACAGAGCTCCCTTCATGAATCTGTTTCTCAACGTGTTAGTAAAGGGTACATCTTCTAGATCATCCCAGGGAGGAGGATTAGGTTTAACATGACAAATTCACTCCAGCATTCCTGTGTCCCTGAGCTTTTGAATCCCCACATCAACAGTAAGCCACAGAAAAACAAATAATGTATGTGCTAACTCATTCATAATGAGCCATCTTTTGATCCACACTTTTGCCAACCCAGTCGAATAAACCATTTACATCTTTTTTACTCCACAACTTGCAGTTGTTTCCACAATGACAAACTCAGTTTGTTGTATGTTTTTTTCCATCATTATCCTGCACCTGTAAAATCCATTCCCAAACTTGTTCATCAGGTCTATTTATAAGAGTTAGAAGAGTTGAGTTCTTTGGGACACAGGCAGACCCCCTCGTGAGTCACACTATGTACCTCTCATTCTTAAGAGCTTTCTGTGATTTGAGCCTGGTGATAGTTCTAGAGGTACAAGTGGGTGGTGAGGGTGGGTACTGAGGAGAGACAGCATGATCCTGACACAGGATTAGTTTTAGGTATACTAGGAGAGGCCAACACCACAAAGGGTGGGAGTAGGGGAAATTTCTTCCTCTGGAAAAATAATCTCATTAGAGTCTAGGACAGTGCCGATGAACCTTTTTACAGATGAGTGCTCAAAGTGTAACCCACAGCCCACTTATTTATGGCCAAATTCAAATACTGTAATTAAACCTAAATACCAAGATTTTAGTTTAGAAAAACAATTCATACATTAACAGTTTTGGACTTAAAAGAAAAACAAATAATGTATGTGCTATGCCACCACTGGTCTGGGAGCTCAACACCCATAGCCCTGGTCTGGATCGTCCCACACATCTCTCTCCTGGTTTATAGGATCCCATTCTTTTCTACTCAGAGCCCTTAGCTTTACATCCAATACTGTTTGAGGGCAAGCATTAAATTTACTGTACTTGAGCCAATCAAATGATGAAGGCCTGTGTTTGGGTTTCTGCAATGTTAGTCCTGTGGCTAAAGGAGAGGAGATTCTCTTTCAGGACACACTTAGAGATTTAGATGATTTATGTGTCTGGAGCTTGGAATTTGCATATTTGAGCTCCTCCTCTTCCTTTCTTAATTTGTCTTCATGGTTAGAATACTAGATTTCCTATAGGTGTTTTGAGTTCCTTGTTTTCTTTTACTAGAGATGCTAAGACCAACCAACAGGTACCATTATACTTCCTACTCTGTCAAAAATACCCAAAAGTTTCATAGGGGTACCACTAAATTTCTTATGTCTAACAAGGGTGAATTAGGAAAATCAAATGGATCGACATTGCCTAGTACTTTAAACACCTCAAACTGAAGGTGATCAGAATTCTGCTTATTATCAGGAGAGACTGCTATTTCTAGGTCCCATCAAATTGGAAAGCCAATTCTAGTAACCACTAATGCTATTAAAGAATTTCATCTTTGCAATTTTCTCTAGAGTTAATCCCAGAACCAAAATCTGTATCAGTCAGTGATGACTAGAGAAACCGATATGTATAACACAAAATATACAAATGTATGAGGATTTACAACATAGGCTTACGATGGCAGTCCACAGATTCAGGTTTGGATGAGTGCAAAAGAGCTGTCTTGCTCATGATAATGCAAAAATAAGTAGCAGACTCAGTATTTGGTTTCTGGAATTTTGGCTGCATAACCTGCACCCTTCACTAGCAGGTCATTCCATTTTATAGTATACAACAGTGTTATTTTTAATGATGTCTGAACTATCATGAAAAAACAAAGATATACCTACTAGACTCAGGTGAATAATGCAAATAAAAACAGCACGGTGCATCCAGAGAACACTTCTAGCAAAAACCACACATATGCATGCAAAGACACAAAGAACATACATAATCCTTACTGTGCATGGAAGTGTGAGACCATAAAAATATCCATGCAAGTTGAATGTGTAAAGCCATTGAATAACCAATGGAAAAATTATGGTTGTTCATGACTTTTAAAGACAAATCAAAACATTAAAAACTGATTTATTGTCAGTGTTATGCATCTGAATAAAAAGTAATAAAATGAAGGTTTACTTAGTACACTAACGTAACATCAGAAAAATTGAATGTGAAAGTGTTTTCTTTCTTTGTAATAAATTTATCAGGAGCAATTTGAATAGTGTTTGCCTTCTTTTCCTCTTGAAATAACTTATGACATGAACCAAACATCATTTCTATGCCTTGGCAAACTGCCCTCGTCCTAAATTTGGATCATTCTGCCCTTTCAGTGCTGTGAAATACCTCAGAGCTCCTTTAATGTCAAGTTTTTTGGCCAGTTGTACTTCCTCTGGGACATCTTAACCTTTTTCAATAAGTTCCCTGTCTGTATATCTAGTTTCTCCTTAATAGAGATTTTGAAATCCTACATCTTTCTTCACATAAGTTGTCTTCCAAAAGGTCCATCTCATCAGCATTAAATATTTGATGATCATTATAAACCTGCCTTCGCTAATCCTTGGAGCCTGGGTGCAAATTTCACAAAGTATCCTTATGTGCATCAGCAGTTTCACAAGATAGTTTTAACAATCAATTCACGTCAACTTCTGAAATAATGAAACAAGTTTTTATCTGCAAAAGGTTTTTCTATAGTGTCCATGTAATTACCCTTTCTTTCAATAAGGTAACTAATTTCAACACTTCGGTCTGAACACTGCTCAAACTGATCGAGATTTATTATTACTAGTCTTCAATCTAAAGTAGATATAAAAACTCAGTTTCAACCACAAATTTCTTTCTGATCCTAGTGAAATTTAAACTAATATGTTGGATGACTTTACCTTTTAATTTTTTTTTATATTCACTGGACTTTTTCAGTATGCTCATACAATAGCTCCAGGCAGCCCCTAGTCTTGTGATCTTCATTTTGATATCGTCATTTTCAAATCTCCTCATCAGAAGCAATTTCCCTTCCTGATTACTACTTATTTCTTTGCTATGCTTTCACCTTTGGTGGTCAACTCCTTCTCCTTTTAGCTGCTACTACTTTTAGAAAAAGCTGCTACTTTTAGAAAATACCCCATAGGTTATCACCTGGATGGAGGTAAGGAAGCAACAGAACCACGCACTGCACTATCTATGGCTAGACTAACAGATGCTCATGGATTAATCACAGATATATTTGAAAGAAGTGATATGATTGGTCACTGGCCATTATAAGCAGTGTCACTCCTAGTGACCTGAGGATTGAAAAGCTGGTAGCAAAACCCGTGTTTTACACGCAATGACTCACAATTATTAAGGTGCAATGTTACACATGCTGAATGGTGCCCCTCCAAAATCTGTATGCTAAGGTTTTAAATCCCAGCACCTCAAAGTGTGACTGCATTTGCAGACAGTGCCAGCAAATTAGTAACTGAGGTGAAACAAGCCACGTGAGTGGTCCCTGATCCTACCTGACTGCTGTCCTGCCACAGAGGTTAGGACACAATACCTACAGGAGATAAACTTGTGTAAAGAAGGTCGTCAGTCCTCTCCAAGCCAAGGAGAGAACCCCAGAAGAAATTTAGCTCAGCGGCATAAGCACCTGCCTTGCAAGCAGGCGGTCGTGAGTTTGATCCCCGATACCGGAAAAAAGAAAAAAAAAAAAAGAAATCAAACCTGACATCTTGATCTCAGCCTCCAAAACAGAGGCACAATAAATATCTGTTTTTGAGCCACCAGTACATGATGTTCTGTTATTGCTTCCCTAGCAGGCTAATACATATAGCAACTGAAATTTGTTACTGGGGGAATTGTATATAACTGTACCATAGTCCAGTAATGGAAATGTGCATATACTGGTACAAAGTAAGCTGGCTGGATGTATATACAGCACATTCTTCTGAATAAGTGACGGAAGACCTTGCCTTTCATGCTCCCTGTTAACCCTTAGGAAACAGCCCCAGCTACAGCATGTGCCTCCTGGTCAACTTCTATCCTGACCACATTTGAAGGACATGGGTATTCCTCAGGGCAGCAGTCTCTAGGCTTAAACAAGGCCTGGCAAAAGGGTCTCTGCATAAATAGAAATAAGAGTGATTCACTTCTTTTAGGAATTGAAACTGCAGATGTAAAAAACTGTCTAACCTGTATGGCAGTTGAAACTGAATAAAGATCACAAGCATGTAAGTCAGAGAGAGAAACTGTTATGAGTAGAAAGGATGGATAAACAGAGGATTTTGGGGCACACGCAATGAGTATACTATGTAAAGGTGCAAGACAGAGCTGTCCTATAAGATTGGAATTACACATACACACACACACACACACACACACAGATAGAAACATACTCATGCAAGATACTCAAGATATGTAGCTATGCAGTATTACAAGGCTCACTCCATTTAAAGTTAAAAAGACAACATGAGGGGCTGAGGATTTAGTTCAGTGGCATAAGCGCCTCCCTGGAAAATGCAGGATCATGAGTTCAATTCCTGGTACAAAATTAAATAAATAAAAAGATAACATGAGAGTTTTACATATATTTTACAGCATAGTAATTTTACATCTAGTTTATATGGTGCTTGTAAATACATTTTAATGTTATCTGTCAAGTGTCCTACATTAACAGCTAAAAATTCAAAACCAAATTTTAAAAATGACTTTAGAGGAACAATGTTAAGTGCTGGATACTTAAGAGCTATATACACATTGCAAACCAATGCAATAAACTGTAAAATTAATCTTAAATTTTACTTTTCCTTTATTAAAAATCTTTAATTTTAAAGAACAAAGAAAAGCAGAGGTAAACATGACCAGGTTTTAGTAATTAACACAGCTTTATTTGGGCTTGCTTGGTTTTCATAGTTTTTTTTTGTATTCTAAGCCAGGACTAGCAGTTTTACTAGGAATCCAAGGCTAAAATCAAGATGGGAAGAATGGGGTGGCAGAGAATGAGACACCAGGAGACCTGGTTAACTGAAGCCTCAATGATTTACAGAAAGACAAACAGAGGAGATGGCTCTCACTGCCAATGTAATGCATAAATAGAAACCATTCCCTAAAAAGCACTGCCGACATTGTGCCATCTAGAAAAACTTTAGAAAGTACATGCAGTCTTTGCATCTGCAAGGAAGTCAAGAGGCTCCAACACGGAGCTCCACTGACACCCCAGACCCAAGGGAAGACCCTTATGTATAAGGGGCTTTTCTGTCCTTATCACTTGGCTCAGCAGTTCCCTGTGTCAGGGCTCTCTCATTCCTACAAATACTGAGCACATAAAAAAACAAACAAACAAACAAAAAAAAACCGCAATTCTCTATGAACATCAACAATATTTTTTAATCTGGTGAGGGCTGAGATGGTATAATTTGAGAAGTTTACATGCAGTGTGTTTTGTTAGTATCACATTCGCACTCATTCTAAAAATGCCCAAACTGGAAAGCCAAAGTCACACATTCTGGGTATCATTTTTGCAAGAAAGAAGACAGTGTTCTAGTCAACAGACTTAAAGAGACAATCTCAGAAAAAAAAATGCAGCAGACATGTCATATTACTCAACTAAATCATCTACATCACCCTACATGTCATTTTTCACCTTAATGGACATGTTTGTTGACTAACCCACCACTGGTTATTACTACTGCTGCCGTTAAGGATTCTGCTGTTCCTTTTTAGAATAGAGCGAAGAGGTGACAAGGAAGGTTATATTACCTTCCGTACTCTTTTCTGCTCCTCCCATAACAAGATTAATAGCCTTCTCTTTTTCCCAGTAGTTATGGAGTATGTCCCATTGATTAGGATTTTACCTGTTTCTTTCACCAAGTTATTGTCTGTGGTAATTAGAGATTTATAAGGGAACATGACAACACAATTTATGGTATTATTTTATAATAGTCACCCAAATAGTTAAATACAAAATGTGCAGGAAATCTGTCCATACAGTAAGATCCAAGGAATCTAGCTGAGAGTCCAGATCCCACAGCAATGTTCTGCATGAGTCCAGCTAGAGACCAAGAGCCCTTGAAAATGACTCATTCAAGTCTATTTCATGGATCTGTGCTTGGGAAGACCCAAAGGTCAGTAGTGGAAGCCCGAAAGTCTACACCAGTGCGATGAAGGTTCTGTGCCAGCAGGCTAAGGGTTCTGCACTGGAGCCAATAAGCCATGCTCAAAATAAGGACCATGACCCCTCCTTGCAAAGTACCACACTCATCCTCATCAATAATGACGTTCCAAACTCCTTTGATGATGAAAATAGCTGAGTTCATATCAGGAAGCTAGTGTGACAAGTTTTTCCTGGAGATTGAACAGCACACCATCTTCCCCTCCAGAGCCAGGAAGTAAGGACCAGAGCTCCCCCAAAGTGAACCACAGCCATCTACAGTGACAAGGTCCCAAGCTCCTCTGACAATGAGAACAGCCAAGTTCATATCAGGAAAGATGGTCCACAAACTCCTCAGGGAGAGCCATCGGCAACAGGAAAACCAAGACCATTTCTTCCTTTCCAGTTCTCTTTATTATCTTCACAACAGTCCTCAGGCAGCTATCCACATGCAGCACCACACTGATTCAGTTCAGCTGGTATTACAAGTTGACCACCTGTTATCAATCTGCCACACTGTCATACTCATCTTATTCCTATGTTTTCTTCAGTGTGTCTATTCCAAGTCTATGTGGAATCTACAAATCACAATGACCTATTTTACCCAATCTGATTTGCCATTTTTCCCACTGCTATAGTTTCAAAAATTGAGCTCCCAGATCCTTATGTTAAAATCCTAACCCTTGAGGTATTAGAAAGTTGAGCATTTGGGAGGTGATTAGGTCTTGAGGGCAGAAATTCCATGATTAACATTAATTTATAAAGCAGATTCCAGAGGACTCTCTCACCCCTTCACCATGGGAGAACAGTGCCTTGAACTAGGTCTTCCAGCTTCTAAAACTGTAGGAAAGGCATTCTATTGTTTATAAGTACCTGGTCTAAGGAATTTTTGTTGCAGAAGACTGAACTAAGATAACAGCTCTAGGAATACACCTTCAAGTAATGACAGCATACACAAAGTGCCTCATGGGAACACATAACATTGACCACCACTGATTTCCCTCCCTTGTCACCAAGAAGGTCTTTCCTAAGCTGTGAACCTGTGCTTCAGGGGTCAGTGTCATTCCCCTGTCTCAGAATGTCTCCCAGAAGTGCCATGTCACTCTAATTTTTCCTTACAAGGATCATACAACCCTTACTTTTCCTCAATTCCCCTACAACGCATATCAGAGCAGAGTGGGTAGAAAGATAGATATTGTGAACATCATTGAATACAAAGCCAACTTTTAGACAAGGCTTCCATAGAAACTGCTCTTAGGTGTTACTGAAAACCTTACTATCAAGAATTTACGCACACTGGTTCTAGGTATTTTTATGTGATCTTCAAGCACTCTATTATCAAAATCTCAATGGCACCTTGGCATCATTTCTCTCCTTCTCTTTACTGTCAGGCCTCCAGAGTCACCTCCTGATCATACTTCATGACTACACAGTAAATCCCTTACATCCACAGGGTCACATAGTTTTTCAATAATTGTCACATGCTTCCCAATTCCAATACAACTTAATTTCCACTATGACCTACTTGATTTACTTTCTTCACCAGTGCTTTAAAAAAAAAAACTTTATGAAGCAAAAAATCTGTATATTACGTAATTTATGAATTTAAAATGCAAGATGCAATGGACCCCCACATTGCAGAGTTGTACAACCACAATCGCAGTCAAATCTAGGTCACTTTTGCCATCCCAAATCAAAACATTGCACCTACCACACATTATCTCCCAATCCCTTCCAGCTAAATTTAGATAACCACTGAGCTACTCTCTACTTTCAGATTTTCCTATTCTGCAAATTACTTTTTTTCTTTCAAAATAAGCATGCTCAGGACAACAATGAAGACCTTAACATATCCAAAGAAATGTAAATCTTGCAAAGAGCTCTCACACCATTACAGTAAAACTAGAGCCGGACTACAGAAACATACAGTACTTAGAATAGAACAATTTTTTTTCTTTTCTCTCTCCTCTAACCTGTTAAATTTTTCATATAAGGCAAACCATATGATGTACAGGCTTGAGAATCACTGCTACAGGATTTTAGGACTGCCCTCCCAGACAAGGTATAGGGCAGAAGTTAGGAAGGCTGTTCCTCTTAGCATTCCGGGAGCAGGGCTCCTTGGTAGACTGTGGAGCAGCCTGGAGATAGAGATCCTCCACATAGTGCCCTCTCAGCAGCCCCTAACTACTGAATTCAGGTTCGGGAGAGAAATCAAACCCCTCATTCTGAGTTAGCCTTCAACAGTGATACCATTGGCCCTCAGGGCTTCAAAAACTATTTCCTGTACTTCCCTTCGGAGTTACCCATCTGAATTTCTGCTGTACTTGTGGAGGTCTTAGATTAAGTTTACCATTTTTCTTCCAACCAAGAAAATATTTCTCTTCCTGTGTCCTCCTGTCCCATCTAAAGGCAGCGATGCCCCTCCCCCAGTTATCTGGGTGGGAGACTGTCAAAATCATCAATTTCCCTTATCACATCCCACAGTCAGTCACCCCCGAGTTTACCTCTAACATAGTTCACGAACAGGTCTCCTTGCTTGGACCAAGTTTCTCTCACAAGATAAAATGTAATTAATGGCCTCCCTCGTGAACTTTCCCCACCTCCTCTCCCTTTGGCCTTTTCAGCTAACCTTTACAATGCAAATGATTATCTTCTCTCCGCTCGGAAGGGTGGGCACATCCATTCATCCTCCCATTTTAAATTTGTTTGGGCCTGAATTCTTTCTATAGTCCAGAATAAAGCTCCTGCTTAGCCTTCCGGGTCTAGCTCCAGCCTAGTTTTTCCTCCCTGCTTTTATGCCTATAAAAACCCTTAAGCATCCAATACACTGGGTCACGCAGGAGCCATTTATTTACAAGCATCCTTGTGCTTCATTTGGCCTGGAATTTTCCTCCTGATCTCCCATCCATATCCAAATCATGCTCATCATTTAAGAAAAGGCTAAAACACCATTTATGTTAATACCCTGTCCCTCCTTCCCTTACACTTTCATAACACACTTTCACACAGTTGGTTTAATTGTGTTTTATAGAAGTTCACTTTCTTTGAAAATATATTTGAATTACCTATCAGGATGAAATCGCTTCCAGAATTTTTTTAAAGAACTATTTTAATAAAAGAAGCTTCCAAAGGCAGCTAGATTGATGCCTTGCTCACTGGTGGGACCCAAAAATCTGGCCAAGATAAAATTAAGTTGGTATTACTTACTCCTTTCCTTTCTGAAAATAGCAGGGCTTACCAAGGAAGAACAGCCTAACACCTGGCTTAAGTGATTACTATTCAAAGGAAAGTATACACAGTAAATTAGAATAAACCAGTTAAGGATGAGGGATGAACCCCTCCATTTTTAGTTTATTCTGCTCCAATTTACCTCTTTAAAGTGCCTTAATATTTTAACTGTAATTGTACAACAGTCAGTCTTGCTTCGGCTTTGAGAGTTAAATGTCTTTTAAAAAGGAAAAAAATTGTCCAGTCCTACAGTGGAAAAAAAAAAGAAAGATCGCCCTACGTGAAGTGAGCTCAACACCCCTTAGTTCAAAGGCAGAATGTAACCAGACTATGTAAGATAAAGAAGAGGGCAGGCGAGAGGCTAGCTTCCCCAGAAACAAAGCCAGAGAAGGTTGGAGAAACTGACCTGCAGCTCTAAAAACGTCCACAGAGTCCTGCTGCTCAGTTCAAGAAAATTCACAAAGAACCCTCCCTAGGAGGAGCTGGATTAACAGCCTTCCACATTTGTTTTACATTCCCTCCAGGAGGCTGTATTAAAGCTTTCCAGCGTGAGACCTCCCAGGTCATTAAGACCACCTGTTCCTCATCTGACTGGAGCGCCTATACTTTTTCAAGAAGTGGACAGAATTCACAAGCCAAGAGAGCAGGATGTGGATTCTGCAGACAATGAGCTTTAGATTGGGATTATGATTTCCTCATTTTCTATGGAACATCCATGGTCCCCACAGATTGTACAGATACTCATCAATAAAATATAAATAGCAATAAACAGCATTCAATGCTACTAAATGAACATACCTGGGATGAATTAAATGTTAATTCCAGAACTGTGTTCCATACATACGAGGCTTTTGCATGGGGAGGCTTAAATCCTCATCTATAAAATGGAACAATATCTATTCCAAGTCTTTAAGAGTGCTTGAAAAGGTAGAGTGTACTTATAGCGTCCTACCTGGCACAATCTGACACAGAGAAGAGAAAGGAGAAGACAGATATTGTGAGACCGCCTGATTAGACTCAAGGAAAGTCGTAGTCCTCGTTGTCCCCCGCCCCCGGGAAAGGGAAAGGCATAGTTCTGTGGCAGGGTGCTTGCCTGATGTGCCCAATATCCTGCGTGCACCAGTACTACAAGGTAAAATAAGTTCTGAAAATTGTCTGAGAAGGAATTTTGGTTATGCATACATACTGAGAAGGCGACCAGGATGATGTCTGCCTTTGACTTTCTAATAGTAAAAAAGCACCAACTATATAACACAAGACAGGTGAGAGGCTGTTTCTCAAAAAGAATGACAAACATCCTCTGCAGCACCAGAGGTTTTCAGAGAGGAAGCAAAGTCCTCCATTCCAGTGTGGGAAGGCAGGCATGCCCCTACATATCCTGTATGGTCAGAAGAACAAAAAAGGTAGACTGCTGGCACCAAGTACTTGCCCTGTAAAACAGGGTGTTCTCCTGGCAGAGGGGAAAGGTGAGACTTGAAAATACCACCAACAGGCTGAGGCTTGAAGAGCACCCTGGGCTCACCGAAACTACTGGTGCTAAAGAACTGAGACTCGCAGCAAGTTAAAAATACTTCTGAACATGATGGCACCAAAATGAACTCTGGCGGTGATTTCCACCTGGCTCCTTCTACAGCCTTGACATGTGAAGGTCAGCAGTGTTGTAGGTGATTCTATTTTCTTTCCAGCACTCCTCTGTTTTCATTATGCTCTTATGACAAGAAAATACCTCCAAGTAAACTTTAAACTTTACATTAAAAAAAAAAAAAGCCAAAGCTCCAGATGTTCTAGATAAGGATTCTATAAAATATTGAAAAATACAGCTAAGAGTCAATCACCAGATTCACACAGCCAGGTAAGACAGTGATAAATATCAGTGAATCCCAAAACTGGGTTAATTAATGGAGAACAAATGTTCATGTCAGTGATCACTTAGGAATGCTGACGCTGTTGGACTTCACAATGTCTTTCCCCATGTGTTCCAATGACAGTCATCTTTTGGCAATGCGAGGTATTGATTCCAGGTCACCCACAGATATCAAAACTCATAAAAACTCATATCTATTATATAAAAAAAGCATGGTTTTGGCATATCATCTCTACTTATAATATGTAATATAATTTAAATGCTAAGTAAATGGTTGTTGCAATATGTTTAGGGAATAACTACAGAAAAATCTGAACATGTTCAGAATGGACACAGATGCTTTCAGCACTTTTATCTATGATTGGTTGAAAAAAATGGATGTGGAACCTAGAGACACCAGGGCCTGATAGATCATGAAATTAATGTGCTGATTTATTTTTAGCCTAAAGTAAATGCAAATGGATTTGATATTGATAGTTGGAAGAAATTTTGATTCTTAAAATCAACAATATAGACCCATTTAGTAGCTGTTATAGTCTCTTCTACATAGTGCTCAAGGGAGGTTAGGATCAGCTGGAAGCTGGCATGTGGAGGGTTACTCTTGCCTAGTAAGTACAAGGTCCAAGGTTCAATTCCCAGCAACAGAAAAAAAAAATCAGCTGGCCAGCTTGGTAGGGTTTTGGGGGATATTTTTGTTTCTGTTTTTGTTTTTAGACACAGCCTCTCTAAGCTCCTAAATTCTCCAGGATAGCTGGGACTCTACATCTTCCTACCTTAGCCTTTCCAGTGCTAGGACTATAAGCATGTACTAACATGCCCATCTTTGGTAGATGACAGATGCTAGGCAGTTCTAGCTCTTGGTTTAAAAAGAATTGCTGAAGACCTCACCCACAGCGTGGAGTTGCAGATGCTCCCTTCACAGGCTGTGCCATGCAGGTCCCATTAGCACACACGAGTGCCTCAGCTCTTCAAATGCAACAAGCAAGTGAACTGAGATCTCCATACTGGATCAATCCGAGTCCACAGATGCACTATAGAACCCTTTGTCAAGATGGATTGTTGAAAGCAAGTCTAAAAACAGGGAGAAAAATTTTGGCACTCTAATTCCTGAGAATTGTCTTGCTGAAGTGGAGCCAACCAGGGCTAAATCCACATCGTTCTTTCTGGGATCACCACAGTTGAACAGTGAGTGACATGGCAGGAGAGACTGGCTGTGCTCTCTCTCCCATCCCAACTCTCCCATTCAGGTCTCCATGGTATAGCAAAGCAGCTAAGGCGCAGGAGGTAAAGGGACCTATCCAGCACATCACAGGAACAAACAGTGACAGATCTGCAGCCAGAAACCCCCATATCTCAAGGTCTGAACCACTGTCCTTTCACAGTTACCAGAGGTAAGAATGGAAGAAAAGAGGGTCACTGGCTGTCTCCATAAAGTTCAACTTTTTTTTTTTTTTTTTTTTTTTTGTCTTTTCGTTTTTATCGGTACTAGGGATCGAACTCAGGACCGCACACTTGCAAGGCAGGCGCTTACGCTGCTGAGCTAAATCCCCAGCCCCTAAAATTCAACTTTGAAGGGGACATCATTTAAAATAATCTGGGAAAATGTTCTACATAGTCTAAGGGAAAAGTATGGAGACATCACCACGTATGTTAGAATGTGCTCCCTGTGATAGGCTATGAATGTGATGACTTTCACTATTTCATTTCTCTAGAAGTAGCAGTACAAGAATCAAGCACTGCCCAAAGCAAAATGTCATGCTTCCATTCATAATTTTTTTATGAGTCTAACAGTTCATTTCCTAATAGAAAATAAGAAGGGAAACCATCAAAAAGGCAATATGGCATTATACTCCCAATCAGCATACTCATACAGGGAACTTTCTTACAAAAGATTGAGAAATAAAGCCCAGTTAACTTAGTGCTTTTTGTGTGTCTCTTAATTTTGAGTTAGATGAGCTCCATTAATCTAGTTTTTTGCTAAAAAAGAAATCCAAGTGCCCAAGTTAGAGGACAGCTATTATAAAATCTATTAGGGTTTCTGAGGAATAGATGAGTTAAAGTAATGGTTGTACTTTCGATGCATACTTAAATAATTTTTATCAATGTGTTCTGAAATTAGAATGGAGCCTTCATATTCTTAGAAAGCTCAAAAGTACTTTTATGTCAAAATGGTACACCTTTAGCATTCTTTTTAAGAAACCTTTACTTGGGCCAGGCATTTAGCTCAGTGGCATAAGCGTCTGCCTTGCAAGCAGGCAGTCATGAGTTCGATCCCCGGTACTGATAAAAAGGAAAAAGACACACACACACACACACACACACAAAAAAAAAAAAAAAAAAAAAAAAAAAAGAAAAGAAACCTTTACATGAAGACAAATCTAATAGGAGACATGCCAGTAATTTCTTCCTATTAGTAAAAAAGACAGCAGGTGACTCTAACCGACTTCATCATGACAATTATGCAATGTGACCAATCTGCTCTCTTCACCCTTGTGTCTGTCTGGTGTATTCGCTTATTTGCACACTCACTGAGTTTGTACTGTAAGGACAATGCTGCTCTAGGTTCTTTGATGTAAGAGTCAGGTGAGGACCCTGGTCTTCCTGGAACCTTATGCTGGTGGGAAGGACAAGTAAACAACCTTTAAATAGAAGCAATAGCCATGTAGAAAACTGATTGACATGATGTGGTAATTGATAGCAGGGACTAAGTATTTCAGCAAGCGTGGCCAAGAAGGGTATCTCTGTGTAGGGCTCATTTGGATAATGAGACGTGACAACCTGAGAGACAGGTTTCCAGAATATGAAGAACCAGAAAGAAAGTCCTGGGGAGTGGGGCAGCTGACCAGACAGCAGGAGAAAGAAAAGACCACAGCATTATAGACCACGCTGAAGTGTCTGGATTTCACCATACTTACAATGGGAGGCCACTGAGGATTATGCCAAGACAGGGATGAGAGCTGAGAGCTAATATTTGTTCTGGAAGGTCCCCTCTGAATGCTTTGGATAGCCATCTGAACTCTTCTGGCCAAAGGACAGCTATTCTCTGCAACATCAAGGATCTGCCAATGTCACATGCCCTACATCCTTGTTATATTGGTACCTGAATCCTCAATCTCTTTCTTTTGACAATGGTGAATGAATACACTGCTGCACTTCAGCTTCCTTTGGGGATTGGCAGGATTGGCAGAAACCAAATAGGCACAGCTGTTGCAATGAGAAAGACTGAGCCCTCAACAGCAGCAGGAAAGGGAATCTAATTGTCTTCTGTGTCTGGAGACCATACTCTTTGGTCAAAAAGGCCTTCTCTTTCTCTGGGAGTCTGAAACTTGGAAGGGACACTTATAAATCTCATCCCCAGAGGGATGACATTAAAACTTCAGCATAAGATACATGTTGTTTAAACTCTGCTGATTTCCCAAATACTTGAAAACCCTATAAGTTAGAGCATCTCACATTCTGTTTTCAACTTTGTTAATTCCCATCTGTGTACACTTGGAGACATGTTCTTGACAAGCTCTTCCAGCTGGCTAACTGTGCAACAGCATCCCTAATAGCATCCTCAAGTCTGGCTTTTAACTGCATTAATAAAGTAGGCCAGCCATGACTGTGAGCCATCATCCTGAACAACACTTCTCTTCCCAGTTTAAACACAGTAAAGGCATGGCTCCATTGATCAATGTTCAATATATGGACAGTAAATTAAATTTTCACAAGTTCTTGGATAAGAAAGCAGGACATATCATTATTAAAACCATGGTAAAAAGTAAAAGCAAAAACAGCTTTATGCAATGTTACAGACTTAGTTGGAAGGACCCTTGCAAATCAAAGTTTATAAAAAGGACCCACGTCTTAGTCTGGGTTGGTACAAATGATTGCTAATTTCACAAGTTAACTTGACTAAGCTAAAGGATGCCCAGATAGCCAGTAACACATTATTTAGGGATGTATCTATAAGGGTGTTTTCAGGAAGAGAGAGGCATTTAAATCAGTGGACTGAGTTCTCTCCCTCAGGAATGCAGACTGGAATTACACAGTCTGCACTAAGAGGCAGAATACAGCAAAAAGGTAGATGGAAGGTGAATTCCTTCTCTTACCTCACTGAGCAGTGACATCCATCATCCTTTGCCCCTGGATTCTGGAGTACCTACTCCTTAGGCTTTTGGAATCTGGGATATATATCAGCAGTACCTCCCACCCTGACTAAATTAACACTGGATTTCCCGGATGTTCATCTTGCAGATGGCATCTCGTGGGGCTTCCTGGTTTCCACAATTGCATGAGCTAATTCTCAACCAGTTTCCTCTTACATATATCCCATTGGTTCTGTTTTCCTGGAGAACCCAAACTAATGGATCTTACAAACATAAATTTATCTTTCAATTTTGAAGGGCAGAAGTTAAGGGCCCTCTTCTGGTGTGCAGATGGCTGACCTCTTTTTATATCATTACGTGGCAGAAACATGACTAGAGAGTTCTCTGGGATCCCTTTTATAAGGGCACTAATCCCACACATGACAGTTCTATTCTGATGAACTAATAGCCTGCCTAAAGTTCTAGGTCTTAATAGGATCACCCCAGGAGTTGGGAGGAGGGTCAAGAGATCTGCCCACGACCACACACTAGTGGCTATAGACCAGGTTGCTATCTAGGCTCCTGAGTACTAGTCTTGTGCTTCCTGCAAGCACTGAGGGTTAAAGTGAAGCCCGCAGTAAAGAGAATTAATGGCTGAGTGTAGATTGTTTTGCTTGAGGTATATAAGCCTCTGGTCATGTCCTATAACATATTCAGTAGGTAGACATAGCCTCTTTTACCTCCATGAGTGAGGAAAGAAAGCAGTCTGTTCATCCTCCATTTCACCTTTCTCCTGTAAATTTAAACCTTGTCTTCAGAATACACAAGAAAATTTTTCACCTTCTCCTATTACCCATTAGGTTTTTTTCAAAAATAATTTAATACTTTTTCTTTAAAACCAGTATGTAGTTTTGGATCCTTCTTTATGCCTTGTTCTATACACATTAAACCCTAGAACGCCCTCTGTAGAAAGAGCTAGGAATTCCTATTTTACAGAAGAGGGCAACAAAGCTCTGAGAGGTGGTTGGGATACTCAGGGTCAGAGCACTCATGAGGGAGAGCTGGAATTTAAACCCTTGGATCACCAGACTCCAAGGCTTATGCTGTCAGCAAGGATCCTCAAATCCTTCTTGCAGAGGACCATCAAAAACATCAGTTCTGGCAGGACCAGGTGGTGCATGCCTGTAATCCCAGCACTCAGGAGGCTGAGGGAGGAGGATCACTACAAGTCCAAGGCCAGCCTGGGCTACAAATTGAGTTCAAGGCCAGCCTGAACTACATAGCAAAACTGTCTCAGACACCAAAAAAGAAAAAGTTCTTTTTCTGATACCCACTTAGACACCAGACTCAGGTTGTAGTTTCCTAACCTCTTCTCCAATCCCATAATCCGAATGAAGATTTTTACCCATTTAGCCTTACTAAAAAAATAAAACAAAACCTATAGGACAAAACCCAAATCTTGATTCAAAAAAGAATATTATTAAAACCTTATTTCTGCAGAAGCAAATGATATATGGTGCATCTAAAAATGGTGTGAGCTTATTGGGCCTTTTTTGTATCTATAACACAAGTCCAATTTTCAACATTTTCTTTTGATGACTGAGTTTGATATCAGTGCTGAATCCTCATTTAGAAGGCTAAACCTCAAGACCAAAATTGCCAGTAATTAAGGTTTTTGTTTTTGTTTTGTTTGTTTAAAAAATTCACAATGAATTTTTCTCATTGCTTAACCTTTAATATTTATTTTACTCAGCCTTCTGAGGATTTATTTCTTCTTCTGAATTTATCTTACTGAATTCTAACTAAAGAAACATTCTAGGATTCAATTTCTATTAAAGCAATCCAGTAAATATATATATATAAACATTAAAAAAATTGTAGAAAGTTCCTACAATTATTTTGTAGCTACCAAATACTTCCTCAAACAATACACAATTCTTAACCCAATTAATTCTTTTAACACTTCCATTCTGAAGTATTGAATAAACTGGAATTTGGCAAAGTCTAAATCTCTTTTCTAGAGCCTTAGCTCTCCCTTGTGTATAAAAATGGAAATGCACCTTCGTAGAAAATTTTGCCCCAGTAAATCTGATGACCTAATTTTAAAATTACCATTTGATTTAAAAAAATAAAAGTCAATTCTTAGAAGTTTTATATCTTGTAAGACAAGCTAAGGAATAATCAAAAACAAAATCAAGAAAATATTAAAAATATTCCCTCTGTTGTGCTTTAGATAAAAGATCCAAAACATTTTATTAATATAAAAATAGAGTGATTTTGAAGAAAGGTACGTTTTCTATTAAATCACTAATTCTCTCCGCTGAAACATGGATGAAAGATCCCAACCCATCTTTGCTATCAGGCTGGGTCGTAATTCATCTCGCCCAGATAGGGGAAACCCTGTCTGCTCTCAAAGATTTCTAGAGAAAGAAAAACCAACAGCCTTGTTCATGCATGTGTGAAAATATTTTATTTCTCACAGCATATTTCCACAGACCTTCAACTATTAAAATCCCCAATTTCTTTCATTTTCCTTACTCTTTTTCCAATTTTCTGTGGCTACAGTCTCCAGGGATTTGTCCACCCTCTTCTTTGTAGTGTTTAGCCATTCGGCTACCTGAAGCAGGCGGGCAACTAAACAAACTGACCCTGTATGTGCCTCCTGACGCCATGCAGCTTTTTAGGACACCAGAATAAATTCCACTGAGAGGGGACACACTTCCTGTTACTGATCACCCCCTACTACTGCTGCATACTTCAAGAAACTCAGTTTCTCTTTTCTACTTCTAACTTCAGGAAGAGAAAACTCCCAGCATTCCTTTTAGTGGGCAGCAGATGTGACAATCACAGGTACTCCATTCAAGAACATGGACCATGAGAAACGAGATCTCTAATCTGATGGGTGACTGATCAAGGAAACAGAAGGGATTGTCCTTCCTCTAATTCCTCTTAAAAAACTCTATGACATTGACAACTAGCTGGGTATTTTGCAAGAGTCACAGATCTGAGACAGTGGGCATTGTCATTAATGTTCAGAGTTTATTGAGGCCAAACTACTCAGGGTTTGCATCTGGCTTCAACACCAGGAGCCTATGAGATCTACTAGAAGAAGCAACCACACATATATACGTAAAGATCCCACAGAAAACAAATTAGGCCCTAAGAATGGTAACAAGATACACCAGCGAATAAGAGGAGGACTTTTAAAAATGACAGTTTCAAGAAATCAGACCAACTGTGAGATGAAAGCATATTCTCCAAAATTTGTTCTTCCACCCGGCTGCCAATAACGCATTATACAAAGCACATAATCTAGATTGCAGTCCAATTATCTTCAAGTGCTGTGGGGCAAAAATCACTCAGCAATTAAATAAATTCAGGGCTAACACTAAGTGTTTTTAAGCAAGGGAAGGGTTCTGAAATTGGCAGGACCAGAGGCACAGGAAGAAAAGGATGGTGTTTCAGAAATCATCTTCCAGCCCACTTTTGAAACTCTATAGTCATCTCAATTTCACAGACCCCTGCTTCAAGACAACGGCTGCATTATGATGCTAGAAAGATCACAGTCCATGAATACATGGCTGAAGCTAAATCAAAAAGCCCTGGCCCAGGAGTTGCACCTGAAGTCTCTCCCAATTTGTAGATGAAATGCCTGCTATTACACTTAAAGACATTGGTGTTTTTCCAAGATATCATCAAGACAGGCCAATCCTTGTGTGTGTGCAAATGCACACATACAAATGCAATAAGTAATACAGCATTTTCTGCTGCCTTTAGTACATCACAGAAATGCTGTCAAGCAGAACTATACAGAATATTTTTACAGCATGTTAACATTCTTTTCCATGTTTTCCAGCTGGGTCACTCTCTGTTCAGGAGCAGACCCACTGTCTTGAGAAAGATTATGATAAGGTAGATGTGCAAAGACAAATAATACCTTTGATTTCCAAAACAGGATTGTGATCCTGCCATGAAATAACACTCCTCCCCAGGCTTCACTGATGCAAAGAGGGAAGCTGCGGCTGCAGCAGCAGAGCTCCCAAGATACATGAGAAAAGCTGCTGCCCTTTACAAGCACAGTGATAAACCCTCGAAGCTCTTTTTCCTTTCATTTCAGCCAAGGTTGCTACAGAGAAACTTAAAAGGAATCAGTCAAAACCTCCAAGTCACTCTGACTCATTCTTTTTAGGTGACTTGAAGAAAACTTGGTTCATTATAATGTTAAAATTCTCTGCCCTAAGACTTTCATGCCTGTTATTTCTCCTTTTGAACTTGGGATTATAACATAGCATGCTTACAGATGTTCCCTCTATCTTTCCTTTTGGAAATGCATGGTTACGACCTCAGTGGAGCGTGCTCATGAATGTGTCCATCTCCACATGTGATGATAGATGAATCGTCCCTGCATAAATATGTATAGTGCCCGTACCCGCACCCCCTGCAAGCCATTGCTTTCTTAGTTGGAGGATACTGCTTCGCAAATCAACTCCTTTCTTGTTTGAAGTAGCAAACCTCTCTCCATTCCTTTACCTCCTGGTTGTGCTTATCAGATCCTCATTCATCAAGTGGTGAACTCAGTGTGAATGGCCAAAAAAGAGTTCTCTCCATTCCAAAGGCCCTCCCCAGCTAAAAGCCAAGCCTGGCAGAGGGAGAGCCTCAGAATGGTATCAGAAGCCACAGTATGGGGCACTCTGCCAGCACACATAATGTACAAAAAGTTGCTGTCCAACAGAAAGGCAAGACAGAGAACCTTCTTCTGTAGGAAGAAGGAAAAGGGAGCAAAGAGGAAGACAGAAATGAAATCAGGCCTGAAAATACTGCTACTTGCTGTTTAAGAAACAATTTGGGCTTTTCCTGTGTTCCTGGCATAGAGTTTCTACGCCCTTGGTGTTTCCTGATAATAGGTCAATGAGGTGATTCTTGGTAGAACCCTAAATTGTATTCAATGGGGGATGGCTGCCATAAAGACCAAACATGGTCATTAGTAGGCTGGAACTTTGTACCAACCTGATCTCCGGGGAGGTCAGAGGGCCTGGAGATTGAGTGCCGTCACATGGTTAAAGATTTCATGAACTACGGCTGTGTAGTAAAGTCCCAGTGAGAACTATCGAACTGAAGCTCAGTGCACAGCCTCATTGGAAAACACACTCATAATGTTCTGGGCATATGCTGCACCCTGATTCCATGAAGAGAGGTCTGGAGGCACTTGGATTCCCTTCCAAACTCACCCTCTGCCTCTCTTGGCTGGTAAGTACACTTGATTTGTATTCTTCTTAATGAAACTATAGTAGCAAAAGGCTTTTTTTCTAAATTCCATTCACCATTCCAACAAATTATGGAGGTCAAAGGGTTTGTGGGAATTCTTGCATTTCTAGTGAATCAGTAAAAAGTATAAAAAGCCTATGGACCCCAAAGTGTGGCCAAGTCCTGAGTGAGGACAGTTTTTTTTGTGTGTGTGTGTTGTTTGTTTGTTTGGTTTTCTTTCATGTTATTCAGGCTGGCCCTTTAGAATTATGCCTTTTAACTCATGGAATTTGTCATTACTGACAGCATTGTTTTAAAGTTTAGGTTGAAACAGAATTTTGCCCTTTCAGAATCCAAACTAGGGTGATGTAGAGGGTGGTGTGAGGAGCATGAGAACAAGGCACTGAACGTACTCAGAGGTGAGTTTACTGGGAAGCTTCCGGCTTCTAACAAACTCTGTGCAAAGCCTTAGGATGGTCCCTTACCTTGTGATATATGGTCATAAACTTTTACAAAATTTGTAAACATAAGATGTTTTGGATTGCTTCTTATGATAAGTTCCTTAATCTACCCAATCCTTACATTTTCAGGAACTTCAGGCTTGGTAACCTCCTGGCTACGATTGTGAAATGGGGCAAAGTCGCTGTATCCCAAGTGTTCCAGCACAGTGTGCAGGAAGCAACCCAGAGTTTGTAGACCCCCAAACAGGACACAGTATAGCTGAGAGCGGAGACGGGGAGTCCCACTGGCATGTCAGAATGTTTGACAGCTTCTGCTAGAGCTGGTGACCTGGAACCTGAGCCTTCAAAAGCACATATCATCAAAATTTCCAGAAAGCATGAGATGAGATCAGCTTGTCATGTCCTCCTGGGATAACAGCAGAGCGGCACAGCTGCACTGACATCTATGGAGAACCACAGGATAGGAAGAGAACCAGGGTATATTCTCCTAAGGTCATGCGGAAACACCAGTTTCCTCCTCTATCCAGACATCGCTTTGGGAATAAGATGGGATGAGAGCTCCCAGGAAACAGCCCACTGGGTGAATCAATGTTGAATCAACCATCTCAAAAAGATGAAGTTACCTTGAGATCGTCTAATGCAAACGACATTTAAGTGTCAATGGTAACAGGGATTTCAAAGCAATACAAAGTAGTTCCTTTTAAAAAACTGAGCTGTGTTTGAAATTGTGAGCCTCCTTGTTAAAAACAACACTATAAATACAGAAAAAAATATATATATATTTTACAATCCTCCAACTAAACAGATTCTGTCAAGGACACTGAGAATTTCTTCATAGCACACTATGATTACAGAATAAACCCTCTTTGTGATGAAACTGTAACATTTTAAAAGTAAAGTAGCAATATCACTCAAAGTTAACCTAAGTGTGCTGAGGCAGAGATTGCTAGCTATTCGCTAAAATCTTGCTTTTCTGGGCCTACCTTTCCCAAATCACACTTCCCAGCCTCCCTGGCAGCTGGAGTGGCCACACCACCAGGTTCTAGCCAATGAAATGTGAGGGGAATGACCTGTGACTGTCCAGGTGCAGCCAGTTAGAACTCAACATTCACCATGCCGTGTAGTTTTCCCTACTTTCAGCTCATGGGAATGGAGAGGACCAAACTGCAGAGCTGAACATACACACTCACCAGTGGGGAAGACATCACAGGCTGTGAGAGTAAAAAATACACCTTTGTTTTTTTAATTTTAAAAATGCACATTTATGTGCATGAGGTGTAGCTGGGGACGTTACCCCAGAGAACACTTTCCTCTTGTGCACCAATCCAGTGCAGTCAATGTGGCAAACAGAATGTGCTTTTCATGTGCACACAGACTTACTCAATTCCATCAAGATACGGACGGATCCAGCATAGGAGCTATTCAAGAAATCAGGCAAGATGGCAATGACCCAGAAGATCAGGAAATTGGGAATGAGTTGTAATGGAAGGACAAGCAAAGAAACATGACAGCACCATGGAAAGGGTGATTCTTATTTCCAGGAGGTACTGCAGAGGAGGTGACGAATGAATGAGGCCTTGAAGGACGAGGGAAAGTTCGAAAGAAAGAACAGCGCAGGGAAGTGCACTCCAGATGGACTTGAGTCCTCAACTACTTTAGCTACAGGGCTGTGAGGTGAACTAGAGACAGGGAGCATATTATCCTGTGCATCCGAGAGAATATAACTGGGGCCAGTATGCAACAGCTACAGGGACAAAAGAATCAGTCCAGAGGGAGAAAGAACTAACAATCCAGGCTGACCATGAACCAGAAGAGCTATGCAGACAAAAACACAGTGTGCTTCCTTTGAGAGATGGCCAGGGGACCATAAGAGAGTGTGATTTGAGCATGGATGGTACAGGCTCCATTCAGCTGCCTTCTAACTCTGCGATTCTGTGTCTTCGATGCTTCAGCCAAGCAGGCTTTGTACAACCTTGCCAGGAAAAAGAAGAATTATTTTAGCTGTGTTACAGCATTTCTTATACAGCAGTCCCTGCCAATCTTCCTTTCAAGGCTCTGTTGACTGGGTTCGTTCAACATATTCAACCACCAGCCAGCAGATAAAATCTCTGCAATAACCAGGCCTATGAGAATTCCACTGTTATTACAGCAAGAATGTAACAGGCTGATATTAAGCAGGATTTCTGCTGGTGAACAAGACAGCAGATGACGGTAAGCACCGATCCTGAGTGGTTAGGCCAACGGGCATCTGTGTTACTCACATGTCCTGCTTAACAGCAAGTGGCCGGCTCACATAAAATACAGCCAAACAGTTTTCAAAAGATTCAATTACAACCAGACACAACACAGTAAAGCTGTAGAAAACAGCTTTGGCTTTCTTGGATAGCTTGGTATGCTGTAAGACACTTTAGGGTTAAATTTATAAACTTCAATTTCCACTGCATAGTTTCATAACAAATTCATTTTCCATTTTCAGATGTGCCCGCCCTGGATAAAAAGGGACTCTACTAGATACACTGAAAAGAGAAATGCTATGTGAATATTGCCGGGAAATTAGTACCTTTCTACTTTCCAAGCATTATACTTTCATTTTCACAAGCATTCGCTGAAGTATGAATGAAAAAGAAAAAGAAATATGGTATCTGAAAATGTGAAAAGACTTGAAGATTCATGCTGTTTTAAGAGCAATTCTCAATAAATATTAAAAATAAAAGTTCAGCACATTCTTGGTCAAGAATGAGGATTAGTTTGCTTGTAATATCAATAGATTAGTTATATCAGAAAATACATTTTAAAACTTTGGTCTCAATCAGTGGTGGTTTGTTTGTTATCACTGAAAGCGCTAAAAGGCTCGCCATCACTGGCCTGGACTATGGTTGTTTGATCCTTTGGAATAACATTCCAGGTACTTAATTTTTGCTTAAATGAAACAGAAACAATATATATTTTTAGCTCAGAAATGAATATTAAACAAACAAAATCCCTCCCATTATAAAATGGACCTTAGTTATACAAGTGCTATAGCCTTCTTAGTGAAAGAAAATTCATAGAAACCTATGAGGTGTGATAAAAAAGTTCAGTGAATGTCTAATTTTTGGTCTTTTTCATTTTTATCGGTACCAGTGATCGAACTCACGACCGCCTGCTTGCAAGGCAGGTGCTTATGCCGCTGAGCTAAATCCCCAGCCCCGAATGTCTAATTTTTTATATACATATTACTGTAAAGGAACACTGCCTGCACTTTGAACGCACTTATCCCATCATCGTTGCCACTTTCTGCAGAGTTCTAGAAGCCCCCTTTTGTACATTTAGTTGGGCTCTCATGGCTGCCTCAGTGTCCTGAATTGATGTAAAACAATTACCTTTCACAGTCACTCTGTGATTCGGGAAGAACCAGAAGTTGAATGGTGCTGTGCTCAGTGAGTAAGGTTGATAAAGACACAACATATTTTGATAATTCTTTTTTATTAAATGCATTTATCTTACATTTATTTATACCTCAAAAGAATCAAAAGAAGACCTTCAGAACTCCTTCAGAAAATGGCAAAAATGCTGGGATAACTTTTTTGAAGTGAAGGAGAGTATTTCTGAGGGAAATTAATGGTAATGTAGCTTTTACTATTATAAGCTTCCTAACATTTAAATGTTCACTATATATTTTGATCATACTTTGTATTCTGAGACACTATAATATTCGAATGACAGGGACACCATCACACAAATGTTACATTTTATATGCAATTATTCAACCCTAAATACAAACACTGCTTCGCTAGTCTCTCTTTTCAGAATCCCACAGAATTCAATCTTTTCAAAATTCAGGTCACATCCCTCTCATCATGTAATATCCTGGGTAAATGACATCTCAAGTGGTACCAACGCCCATTTGCCTTTGATATCCAATCTCAAAATCCTTTTCATTGCCTTTCCATGATCCTATCTAGTTATGCCCTGGGTCTTAAAGCCCTCATCTTTCAAAGCTTGAGAATTATATTTCCTTTGGAGAAAATGAACAACTGCCAACAATTCTTTCTATTTTCATTGGTTTTTACCCAACTATACTTGCTATTTCCAGCATGGATTTACTGATTCTGTCTGGAATGCATGTCCTAGGGTGCTCTGCCTGTCAGGTACCAAGTCTGCTCCCAATAAAGGAAGCGGAGCTAAATCTTCACAGGAAAGAATCACACCACCCTTGATATTCACACACATGGTTCCCACCAGCATATGGGCACTTATATGTTCTAGAAAGAACACAGTCAACATGAAAAATCATCATTTATCTGAAGAGAAAAAACATACAAATAACTTTTCCAGCCACAGTGATTCAAGTTCCAGGCTTCATCCTGCATGTTTGTGATAGGCAGATCACATCAAACCACAATCGACTATACAAATATACTGGTACCCACTGATTCTGTGACTTCTATCCAATTCTGTCCTGATTAGTCACGTGACCTGTTTGAGTTTCATTTTTTTTTTCCACTAAACCAAGAGAATACAAAGGCATCTCCCAAATCTAAATGCACCTGCCTATGAAATAACAGAAATCAATGCTTTTCCTGAACTATGTCCTGTAGAAGTAAAACCCTGATTAAAGACCATGACATAATGGAGAATAATTAAAAAAATCTCTAAAGTCCTCTTCCACATTGTAATGCTCAGTTTGACAGAGTGAAGATGATCACGCAACTGATCATAAAACATTAGTGGGTCTTCCAGCTCCAATAATCCTGTGCTTCCAATTACCTATTCTGCTCTCACAAAGAAATAAAACAAAACAAAAAACTTCACTGTATTTTTGTTCCAAGCACTGCCATGAAACATAGGATGACTCTTCCACACCAGCACAATGACTTTATCCTCTATCTTCAAGAGTTCATTCTCTCTAATTGCCAACTGGAACCCTCAAAGGATTCCAACTTTAATCTCCTAATGTCTCCAAGCCACCAAAAACATTCTGACAACCAAGTACAAGTCAAAAAAGTCACACCTACCCTGAGCCACTGCTTCTCTGTGAGGGCATCACTGTAGTCCACGTCACGGCGCTGTCGAGATCCCCTACCAAAGATTTTCTCCTCCTCCTCCTCACACGTGAGCCTTTCCACTTCAGCATCATCCTTAATAATCCAGGAGGGCAGCTCATCTTCCTCCATTAAGCGAGGTTTGCGCTTCGGATTCCGGGCATCTTCCCTCCGCCGGTCCATGTCCATTCGCTAGAGAATGCACAAAAGTGTCAACCAAAGAGAAGTGTGGTTCTGCACAGTGGTACAGAACGACAGTACCGATAACTTCCATAAGCCCTCTTAGACTACTGCGGGGCCCCCCTCCCCCCTTCAGTCCCTTTATTCTGGTTTACTTGTACTAGCCCAGCCCTAATCCACGGTATCTAGGGAAAGATTCCACAAAGAAAAACCCCTTCCTTTCCTCTGTACTTGTCTCCTAAACTTATTTATGCATTTAAAAACATTTCTCAAGAATTTCTCTTCTAAGTGTATGTGTGTGCCAAGCATCCCCTTAAGTAACTGAGAAAATTCAAGGTGGGGATGCATTTTAGAATTTAAAATTTGTTCATTTCCTGGAAGAAATGAGCTTTCTGAGTTCACAAAAGAGAGAATTCATTAAGAATATATTTCCTTTTGTTCAAGAGGGTTCATGCTTTTAATTAAGCAGTAAGGTGGGGAGAAGTGAGCCAATGTCTCACTATAGGATGGCTGCCTCCCGCTGGGCAGGCAGAGGGACATATAGGTTTGACTGGTCAGTTGCCATGAGTGAACTGAATTTTCAATACAACACAGACACTGTGAGAGGAATACTGTCTACTTCTTTCCTTTTCACAAGTTTAGCTCTTATGAAAATATTACACCACAAGGAAACAGACTTCAGAGGTCATCTTAACTTATATGTGAAAAGGCCTCCTTTTGAGCCTTCAAAATGTCTATGTCCACACCTCTGTGCGCCTTTCAAAAAATCAGTTCATTTGTAAATCAACTGAGTTGTACATACTTGGCTTTAAACTATAACTAAATAAACTGATAGATTAAAAAAAGAGCAAATAAAAGCACCATTGCCATTCTAGATACATGACCAATATCACTAGCTAGAGATACCATTTCTACAATCAAATAGATCATTAATCATTAAATTATTTACCTTTTCCCTCTTCCTTCGGCTCTACCGTACCGAAACGGGGATTTGACCTATTTTTTTCCCTTAAAAGCTAAAACTGAACATGTACATGAAATATATACTATTTGAACCCAAATATGACCCTAGGATATAGGTAAAGGTCAAAGCTCCTTAAACTATATTCAACTTTTTTGGCAATCACGACCCTTCCAGGATGCGGCAGGCTTGGACACAGTGATGTCCCATTGGTAGATAAATGTGGCCATCCTGCCCTGTCATGGGTTATACTTAGCTCACAACGCTCTGCTTAATCCTGCCTTCTAATACTTTAGTATCAGGAATGGGATCAACCAACCCCACATAATTAGCACAGGAAGGATGGTTTATTTACAGGAGGAGGGGCTGCATAAAGCAACTTTCTGACAGTTATTAGATAACTAATAAAAATGTTTTTCATTAATGTTCTACACTGACAAAATATTTCCCCCTCATTTTTTTATGTGATGGTACCATTACCTATATACCAAACTCAGTAAAAGTACTTATGTTATTCAACTGTCTAAAATTGAGAATATTTTCTGATACAAAAAGAAACTATACATTTGTGTGAATGTGTTTGCTTTCTTTTAGAAAGGTAGATGCAATTATGTAAGTTTAAAGTCTTAATGAAGTATTCCTCCCCAGCGATCCTACTTGTAAAATGCCAGTACAAATCTTAATACAGGAAGAAAAGTCTAACTGCTTATTTAGTTGCTCCATAAATATTTATCTTGAGACCTGATTACAAACCATATATATATATATATATATATATATATATATATATATATATAATAACTTTTTTTTTTTGGTACTGGGGATCGAACTCATGACCTCACGCTTGCCAGGCAGGCGCTTATGCCACTGAGCTAAATCCCCGGCCCCTGTATAATAATTTTTAAAAGTATGCTTTGCTTTTGTACAGAACACAGTACCTAAAATCCTAATGTTTGCATGCTAGAAAAACATTTCAGACATGTTAATATTTTTAGGTAAAACTCACAGGTAACCAAGATAGAAGGTAACTTTCTGAACTCACATTTTTAGGAACAGAAATCAATACAAAAGTTTAAAAGACAAGTTTTATTTTAAAGCAAGTATCTTCTTATCTTGTTCATAATGTCTATGATTTTATAATGAATTCTTTTATAACAATTGATAAAGAGTTTAAATATTTAAAACACACAAACTTAGTCTAGCTCACATTCCATTCTTGTTTCTCAGAGAACCTTTTAATCAGAGTAGCTGGCAAGAATTCAAAATTTATCTCCTGCCTCCTGGTGGAGGTGCTGATGAACAGTGAACTGGCCAAAGGCAGCCAACTGATTCAAAGATATTAAAAACCAAACCAAACACAACTCCACATAATCCCCCAAACAAAAATCAACCTCTAAGAAACAGGCATGAAGAGTTACAAAATCAAAATATCTATTAAAATGTGTTCTCTAACCATTCTTACCTGTTATGCCCCTATTCTTCACATAGTAATATTCCCAAGTTAAAAGACTCTGCCTTGGACAGATATTCACAATTTTTTTCTAAAGTTTTTCAATTTTTGCAAACACCCAACCAAAAAGTAAGGAAGGAGAAATATTCTTTTTCCCTTACTTCAGGACTGCTAGTGGAACTTGACATCTCTGGACCTAATCTAATTTGTATAATGCCAAGCAACTTATCTTCTCCCGCATCCTAAAAATATCTGAGATCACAGTAGCACAGAATTGTTGCCCATCAGTGATCACCCCGAGAGGCTGAAGGCCTCTTGCCTACATGCCACCCCCCACCGTCTACATTTTAATAAGTTCCTCGAGTAGGAAGTCTATTTCCAATGTGTGTCCCTGACCTCCTTAAGTAGAGAGTAATGTATGAACATGGTAACTAGCAGTAGGAGTTAAGAAATTCAGGTTTTATGAAGACCATATGTTGGCTAAATCTTCTTATTGCCTTTTCTCTCCAAAATGACTTGACCTAGGTATTGTGGCTCTTGGGGGGAGGGTAGAGGACAGAGGAGAAGTGTACATCCCAGGTCAGGAGTCAGTTCAGGAGTGATTGTGATGGCTATCTCAGTTTTCCTGAGAAAGAGTTAGAGGTCTTTTTATCATGAGTCATTATGTGTGGACACAATCAGTGCTCCCTAGACAAAAATCACAAAAACTCATAAGCATCCACACTGCCAGGGCTTCATTCTCAGATTGTCTAGGCTAAAAAAGGTGGAAATTGCAAACCCTCTAGGTCATAGTTGGCCCACAGCTATGTTTTGCTTGGCCCACAGTGGTGCAGCAGTTTTAAAAGCCCTGAATTTAGTTGAAAATATTCTGAAATCCTGAGACTGTTTGTAAAAACAGATCTCCAACTTTTCTTGCGAATTTGTGATCTCTGCCTATGTGGTTCTCACACGTGTGCCTTGTAGCTTTGTCCTCAGACACAGCATCTCCCAGGCAACTACCCACTCTGCTGGCTTTGCTTGTATGGACCGTTTGCCCGAGACTGAAGGGCATCCTAATTCGGGACATTTGATCTTAGGGTTCTGCAGCCTTCAATGACTAAAGCTATGGTTTACATTTATTCACTCCCTCCACAATAAAGTTAAATGTCTTTGACAAACATCAGGCTGATCAATGGCACTGGAGGGAACCTCTTATCTTTACATAATTGAGTTTATCCTGACGCATTCACAAAAGTCTGAAATTTTGCAAGCATTCATTCAGTAGATATCTACTGCATGACAGCTACATGTATAGAACTGGGCTGGTCGCTGGAGATACAGAGAAAACAAAACAGCAAGAAAGTAGCTAATGCCACTCTGTGAGCTGCTCTGTAGCCTTCCCTCATTTGCAATGCACCTGCTCCCCTCAAACCCTGGTTTGTAGCAGGCCATGTGTATAAATAAAATCCTGGTTTCAGCAAAATTACGGTGCTATGTGTTATGGAACTTCATAGTTGAAAATGGGCATTAAATTCTTAAAAGCCAGAGTTCTTTTGCAACCACTATACCAGTAGAGTCCAGGCATTTCTGCTCTTTAAATAAAGGCTACACCTTCCTTGCTATGCACCTTGCTTAACTCCTATTTGCTTAAATTGGCTTTCTGCAGTGAGGAGAAGAGGCACTCCTATGTCCCGTCAGCTGCTACTGCTCACCTGTCACCACAGGGAGCAGATTTGCTTTCATTAGGAAGGAGGCAGCTAGGACGCAGTTGTGTGTTCAGATGCCTTCATGAGCAGGACAGCTTTCCTGCATAACACTGGGCCGGGATTAGAGGCAGACTAGGTGTGAGGGGCCACAGGATTACACGTCCTGTCCAGAGAGTGCAGCTGCTACTCAGCTCTGGCCAACTGTTTCTAAAGTGTTGGGACTGATACTTCCCAGTCCCATTTTTTAAAAAGCCAGAATTCAAGATTCTTTTTATGTTGGCAACAAATGCAAAATTTTAACAAATGCTGTGTGGGCCAAACAAAATATGTCTGCAGGCTAAATCCAGCCAGTTTGCAGAGTCTGAACCGAAGGAAGGCACAGGCTTCACAAATGAAGTTCTGCCAGGGAACACAAGCTCCAGGCCTTTCAGTTAAAAAAAAGGGGGGGGGGGTAGAGGGGAAAGGCATTAGGTTGTCGTGATTTTCTACAACATTACCATAAAAAGGTCAAACTCCTCTTCTCGCCGAGCAATCATTTGGTTCAGAGTCTCATCATCAGGTACTTCATCTTCTTCCTGGGGTTAAAACAGAGCGATTGAACAGGCATTAGGAGAGGGGCTGGGCAGCTCAGGGCAGGCACATATGCACAAGGGGAATCTGTCTTGCACACCAGAAAGGTTCTAGTCCTCAATCCAGAAAGGAAAGAGGATTCCTGAATTTAGTTCTTGCCATTCATATTTTGCAAACTATTCACATCATCTTCACAGAGCAAGGGAGGAAATGAGTGCATCTAAGGAGTACTGATCCTCCTGGGCGTGTATCTGTGTTCTTTTTAAAACAAGTTATTCCGTATCTCCCAGCCTCAGTGACCTCATATGTAAAACAGGTGTGACATCCACTTCACAGGGAGATGTAAGACTGAAATAAGCACATCCACACGCAAAAGTACTTCAGGTTAATTCTTCTGATTTCACTGATCTTATCCCAAATATCAGTGCCTCTTTTCAAAGCCTTACAAAAAACCTAAGCATATGAAACTTGGTGACTGAGCACAGGGCAAAGCCAAAAACTCGTTATGTGGTTTTTTTTTTTTTTTGTCTTTTTCATTTTTATCGGTACCGGGGATCAAACTCATGACTGCCTGCTTATGCCGCTGAGCTAAATCCCCAGCCCCCCATTATGTGTTAAGCATATAAACTTTGGGATGTTTGATGGATGCATTTCAGTACGTACTACTGTTGCTAAGGATTAAGACTGTAGTCAAGACAATTTGGGAACAAAAAGATGTCAAAACTAAATTAAAATAAATAAATAATATACTGAATTAAAATAACTTAAATGAAGGAGAGAAAGCAATTATGCCAGATCTAAAATTTTCATTTTATATCTTGTTAAACAAAGGCACATTATCTCTCTGCTAATTCCTTGGGATCCAACAGTTCTCAAGTTTCTCAGAAATGTTACGCTATGACTTAAACACTTATAAATGACTCTACAAGTTGGGCATATACTATAGGACTTATTTTCCAAAAGTATTTTTATCATATGCTGAGTGGGCTTGTTAAAAAATCAAGTTGGGGAAGTTCAGTGTATCAGCAGAGGGAAGAAAGAGGAAAACAGAACTTCAAACATCCAATTACACAAATCAAATGTTCAAAATGAGGCAAGTGTTTTACAAAAAGAATGTAAGTGAACCAGCAGCCTAAATGAGATGACGATGTCAATTCCCAAGATAACGTCTGAATGCACTATAGGGACTTAATAAGTGTTAGAAATGAAATGAATGCAACCCAATAAAGCACAAAGCCTATGATTCAAGATAATAATTACTGCTGAGAAACTTTCTATTTTGGTTCACCTCTAGATTGATTGAAGTCAATGTGTCTAAATATTGCATTTCACTGACAAAGACACACTAGCTAAAGACTAGGGTCAGGCTGCACAGTACCAAGCATCTGCTTAGTGCAGCCTCAGGTAAACAGATCTTCTCTTTCACCTTCCCTCTTCCTGGAACTATGCCACCCTCTCATCCCTTGCACACTGAGTCCTTAGATGACCTCATGTCCAAGATGAAAAGATTCTCTTTGTAAGTTAACAGGAAACCTGACCACAGTGGCCTGAATTCCTGGGGAATCAAACAGCTGGGCAGTTTGCAATAAATTCTTCCCAACTTCTCTGTGCCCCAGTGCTTTATGGGGTGCCAACTGTGACAGCAGCAGCCTGGGCCGCCTGGGAGAGTCAGGACCAGAGCTCTGACTGCGGTCTATCAGTGTCACCAGTTGCTTTCACATCAGGGCACAATTCACCCAGAGTGTGCTAACATTTGTTTGACATAGCGGTGCCCGAGGAGGAACATGGAGCCCCAGCAGGGCTGCCCACAGCTAGAAGCAGCTGGCATGGGGTTCCACAGCAGGGCACACCCGGTGGTCCCTAGGCCTGGGACAGATCAATATCTTCCTGTGGCTTAGGAGGGCTATAAAACTCCAACTTCCTTGCACATAATCTAACCCAGGTCAGGCAGGATTTTCATAAGGCCTGCAGAAAGCAAATAAGCAAATAAGCAAAAGCGCATCGGGCCTCCTGGCTACAAACCAGCTCTGCTCACATCTGCTCTGAGGCGGTAGGTGCATTCATCACAGCGTCTCCTGGAAATGGCCAACTGTGTAAGTGACAACCCAAACCGCCTGACAACCTGCTGCTATGTCTGCAGAAAATATTCCAGTTCATGACTCTGAAGTGGTGAATTGAGACAAAAATCTTTAAATGTGTGTGGATGAGCGACTGCATGTGCATACATATTTTTCATCATTTTATGAAACTCAGTGGAAAACTAATCAAACACACATTGCTGACCAATTAGGAGCCATCATATCCAAGTACTCTTTAATTTGCAAAAAGACTCATTTTAGGATTCCTTAAAATATCAAGCTCTAGTCCATATTTAGATTCCTTTCAAAAATGGAAACTGGGTAAGATTTTTTTAAAAAGAATTTGGTTTTTAATTTACGGAAGACTTCAAAAGCACATAGACAAAAATCTAACTGTAATATTTGTAATGAAAATAAGATTGAGTATAAATATTTAATGGAAATTTATGCTTCAATTTATAAATATGAGCATACAAAACCAAATTTGTCCATCTAGCCAGTAAGAACTGGTGCTGATATTTTACACAGCTTTGCAGATTCTATAAATATATTGTAAAACCTATTTCATATCAATTTTGAGTGGACCTTAGGACCTAGAGTCATGGGCATACTAGACAAACACTTGTACCACTGAGTAACATTCCTAGGCCTAAAATTTATAGCAGTGAATAAAGTTGGTAATTAAATAGATATAAATGATAAACCCAAAGATTCTCTAAAAAGAGTCAATATATTCTTCAAAGCATGTTGGCAAATGGAGACTTTTTAACTTGTATTTTTTGCAGCTTTATGTAAACTGTTTATTCAGCCTTGCAGATGGAACCCAGGGCCTCACACTGGATAGGCAAATGTTCCACCACTGAGCCACACCTATAGCCCTTCTCTCAACTCTTAAAGAAAAATTTTAAGTAAAGATAAAGGCCATGCTTTCCAAGCCCAAGTACAGCTAAGTGAGCTAAAGAGAGCACTGAAAGCTTATCCTACGGGCATGACGAAGCACTGTCACCTCTGATCAAAAGCAACAGAGAAAGAGGGCTCTGGAGGATGGAAAAAAGGAAAGGTGAAGTGGGACAGTGCCAGGTTTGGTCTCTTGTGGTTGACTTTGTCTGCCAAGTATCCTCCTGCAGTTCCACAGCAATCCTACAGGAGGCAGCATTTACAATACAATGCGGCACACTCAAGATTCTCCCTGGAAACAGCCACACAGGCCAAGCCTTGAGGTCCCTCTGGCATCAGCTTTAAAGACAGTCATTCGGATAACTTTCAGAGGCTTTCTGTGCTTGGGAAATAAGATAGCAGCTAATTTATTCATTTTAATTAACACCAGTCCAGGAAATTCTTTACAGAACAAAGAGGTTATTCTTAATCCTTAAGAGACAACAGGTCATTGATTTCATAGACTCAGCTTCCTCTAATACCTCATTTTCCTCTTCGTGCTCCAATATGGCCTGCAGGAATGCTCTCCGCTCATGGCTTGAAGATTTCTGATCGAACATGCCGGCCTGGATAACTTTCTGATCCACATTCAGCTTGTACTTCGCAGCTGCCAGAATCTTTTCCTCCACGCTGTTCACGGTGCAGAGCCTCAGCACCCGGACCTCGTTCTGTTGACCGATGCGGTGAGCCCGGTCTTGTGCCTGCAGATCCTGTTTGTAAGAGCAATTCACGGTGAGGTCTGCGGTGCTTGCATTAGCCTAGCAAACAAGTCCTTACCCAGGAGGGAAATGTAGGAAGGCTATTTAATCCGCCCTCACTAAGGTAAGATCTTGCTTACATTTTAAAAATATACGAGTTACTTTCTTTGGAAAAAATTCAAGGTCATTCCTAGTTGAGGAAGTGTGGTTTAAATTAACTAAGCCAACTGAAATAACATCTCTGGTTTTGACACCCAGATCTCAGAATATTTTTATTTGCCCTTAGATTTACCATTGAAATTGGTCCCTGCCTACAAAAAAAGCCAGTACTTATGAAGTCAGAATTTGGATTTAGATGTTACCCATAACTACTTCTAGATTGTAAGAAGTACCTTCCTTTCATGTTGTGGAAGCAAAGATTTTTCAAACTGTATATTAATGCATCAGTTGTACATACACACACTACACATACAGGCACATAACATACATCATATACATATACATACATGAGAGAGACAGACAGACACAGAGAAATTGCCAGCCAATTTCCTGGCTAAATTAAATGCTCAATCTTTAAACTGGAAAATGAAAAGGATTGCTTTTGGAGTACTAAATTAGTGATCTTTTGGGGATAGAAATCTGGCATAATGTACCAAAATTTGAAAAAAAATTAGGTATAGCTCTCATTCAGAAATTTCACCTCTAGAAAAGTATCCTACAGAAACAATCAAGGATGCACAAAGATTTCTTGGCATTACCAACGTGTGTGTGTGTGTGTGTGTGTGTGTGTGTGTGTGTGTTAGAAGGGACTGAACCAGGACTGATACACTAAGCTACAGCCCAGTCCTTTTTATTTTATTATAATTTTGAGACAAGGTCTTGCCATGTCGGCTATGTGCCCTTGGCTGGGCTTGAACTTGTGATTCTCCAGCCTCAGCCTCCGAGAGTGCTGAGATTACAGGCATATGCCACCGTGGCTATAATGTTTTATAAAAAGTAGAAGTAAGCATTCAACCATGACAGATTGGTTAATTGAATTATAGTATGCTACTTATATGCATACTAACATAGTAGCATGAATACTATATTGTAGAAATTTAATGACTGAAAGCTTTAAAAGTGAAAGCTATAAGTTATAAAGGAGATGTAGATTATTTTACTTTTGCTTATTTATTTATACCATGAGAAAGGTAGGAAGGACAAACACCACCAACATAATGTGTATGTCTCCAGTAATAAAATGATGGGTGCTATTTAATCTTCATTTTGCTAACATATAGCTTAACAATTTGTTTTTGTTTTTTACTTTTAAACATATAAATCTTAGATGATAGGAAGCAGAAAGACGGACTTTACGGAGATGGGAAGAGGACCTGGGAATGTGGTCAGATGGGATGCAAAGGAGAGGAAGAGGACATGAAAAAAGAGAAAGCATAGGTACCAGCACCCCACAATGAACATATTCAGTGTGTGTCACAAATATATACTGATACCTTTTTAAAATAGCAGTTAAAAGGAAAAAGGCATTAATGAGATGTTTATGTAAAAACTTCCATAACCCTGTGAAGCAGAGTTAGCTAATTTCACAGCTACTCAGTAAAAATTTGGCATGTCCCCTTCATTCATGGTGCTCTCAGTGATGGTCGCTGGACCAGGGTTGATTAGTTGTTCGTGTGTCCCCCAATCAGACTCTCGCCACATCTCGCAGTTCTACAATATCCTTCCACAGAGTTGACACTCAAAAGTTCTAAGTCCCTCCTCTTGACCAGGGAGGTTCTTAGTTACCTTCCCACAAGAAACCAGTAGCTCTCTGCCCAGGAGATTTGCTTTTGCTACTGCAGGCTCTGAAATTACATGATTGATTAGGCAAAAGTTTTTCTCAGAAGATAGTTGAGTAAGTTAGTGTAAATATAGTGCTGAACTACAAACACAGCTGGGATCCTTCCAATTTAGATTATTTTCTAAAGAGGAGATGGGTTATTAAAACCCCAAAGCCAGGGAGGGGAGCTTCTAAATTTCCTTTTTAAGGCTTTGACCCAACTATCTCTCTCAATGCATCTCCAGGACAGCTAAGTGAGAGCCAAGGTGACAAGCTCTGTGTCACCAACTTTTCATGATATTCTGGGGCACGGTCTGCAAACACCTTCTGGAATAGGCTCAACATTAAGACTCTAGGCTACCTGGGCCAGGTGTAGAAGGGGACCAACTGTCCTCTTCAAACCTTGACACACTCGGGTTTCAGTCTGGCTATGTGCTCCTGAGCAAATTAACAGAGACTGGTTTCTTTACATGAAAAAAGTTTTGAGGGTTACTTGAAGGAAGCTATGCAAAGTGCCTAGAACTTTCTTGCATAGTTGCTGCTTATAGAATTGGTTCCCTTACATTTTGGATGAAAACTTATTCATATGACTTCAAGACCACTGATTTCTGAAAATAGAAAATTTTCCTTACTTCACAGCCATGTGTCAGTGATGACAGGAACAAGCTGGTCAGCCTATTTCCCTCAATCAGGTGGAAGTGAGCCCAGCTTTTGCAGATGTGAACACAGGAGAAGAAGGACCAGCATGAGGACCTGTGATCAGTCAGGTCATAGGAAACGTGGGGTCCTCTGTTCTGTGCCAGAAATCTGGCACAGGTACAGTTAGAAGGGGAACTATTATTTTACTTTGGTTCTGGTGATACCCCTTTAGCTACTGGTCATAAGTGTCCCCAAAGTTTGTAACAGACAGGAGGGAAGTGGAGTGGTAAAGACAGGGAGATAGGGGGAGAGAGGGAGAGAAGGAGAGAGGAATAAGGGGAGAGAAAGAGAAGCATAGATAAGCCAGTATTTCTTTCCATGAGACACTAGCATTTCCAAAAACACTGATTTCCTTCTTCTCTTAGAGTTTACACTGTGCCAGGCCAGATGAACAGGTGAGACTTGACAGAAGATAAAACACAGCAGACCATTCCATTCACCTGCAGGCCATTACCAAAAAGAGAGGCCAGTAAGCAGAGTGATCTAAACTGCACCACACTGCGCACTCAAGAGGAGATGAATCCCATTTCCTCCTCCTCAGATGCCACCTGAGCTCAGTGCTGCAGCATGACAGACGCTCCTCGCATGCTCGCAGAGCAGATACTAAGGGAAATGATAAAAAGTAAAAATGCAGGTGCCAGGCCCGTGGTATATGTCTGTAACTCCAGCACTCTGGGAAGCTAAGGCAAGAGGATTCCAAGTTTAAGCCCAGCCTGGGGAACTTAGCAAGACACAGTTCCAACATTTAAAAAATATATAAATAAAACAAAAGGTTGGGAATGTAGTTTCTTGAGAGGCCCTGAGTTTATTTCCTAAACCTGAAGTATGGGGTGGACATCTTTCACTGGATATGAAGTTTGCCTGAGCTCTGGAATGTAACATGGAATACCAAAAAATAAACAACATAGAAAAATGTTTCCTGAATGAAGAAGACTTGGAACACAAAAACTATGTGCTGGTGGCTCTCCACCTTGTGTCAAGATCAGAACATTTCAATAATAATTCTGATTTAGCATTGTCACCTGTGAGGAATGACCACGGAGTACATGCAGTGCTCAACTCAGTCAAGAGAAGCCCCAAGGACAGTGACCGTCTTCCATCCCAGCTACTCAGGAGGCTGAGGCAGGACCATTAAACGCTTAAGACCAGCATGGGCAACTCAGCAAGGACCTATCTCAAAATATACAAAGACCTGGGGAAGTGCTTTAGTGGTTCAGTGGTTCAGTGGTTCAGTGATACAGCACCGCTGGGTTCACTCGCCAGCACCACAAAAACAATAAAAAAAATTTTAAAAGTGTTAGAGATTGTCTGTGGGAATCTCCTGGAGTGTTTGCAAGGATACATCTTGACCCACTGAATAAGAAATAAGAAACCTGGGGGTTGGTGTGTAGCTCGGTGGTAAAGCACTTAACATGCAGGATGTCCTGAGTTTGACCTCCAGCACCAGTAAAAAACAAAACAGACTTTGGGGTGCAGTGGAAGGGACATGAAGCCAGGAGCATATATTTTCTTAAAAAGCTTTCTTGTGATTCTAATGTACCCCTGAACTCTACCGCCTGCTAGAAACACCATCTTGAAATGTTTCCTCTCCACCCGCCCAGCGGGCGCATGAGCCAGGCAGTGTTACCGCTGAGGAACCCCAGCTGGGTGAGGAGCCCAGGTGCAGTGCGTGCAGAATTCGCAGTCACATGCTGGCTGCATGTTCAGTTTACTGGCTTGAATCCAGTATTTTTTCTAAGAGGAATCGAAGCCTGATGCGTATCATTCTACCCAGCATCTCACCAGCAGGCAGGAAACCAGTGCCAGAAAGGATGAATTTAATTGTCTATTTAAGTCTTCTAAGTGCTCGTTCTCAAGGAGAATTCTGTATTTACCTAGTAAAAAGAGCTAACAATGATAGATGTTCGACAGAATGTTTTACTAGTGATTTTAAACAAAACACAAAGTATAAGGTGAAGTATCATATTGTTAGGCCTTGAGGAAGCTTTCTAACCTGCCTAGGACTCAAGTTTCCTTGATGAGGAAGATCCAAACACTTTATCAACTATTTGACAGGGTGGCTGTAAAACCCTTGTAAAACAATGGACATGTGAAACTCATACTCCTGTAACTCAGCCACATCCCAACCCCTGGAAAAGTCTGCTTTATCTTGTACCAGGTATAACTTTCTCCATGACTGTACCAGGAGGTGGGCATTGAAACATAGCAGAAACTGATTTTTTCTACCCTCATCTGCAGCATCGGTGGGGCCCTGTAGAATTTATATTCCATGGGAGATAAGAAAACAGCCATAATGATTGGGTGGCCTTTGTTTTTCCCTTTGAAACAGTTTAGTTGTTTAGAATTTGCCCTGTCCCATAAGTGTGTGCCAAGAAGCTGACTGTCCTTTAGGTCCTCCCCCAGAGGGAGGCCAGCTGCCAAAGTGAGTGGTGCCCACCTGATGAGGATTCCAGTCACTGTCAAAAATGACCACCGTGTCGGCTGCCTGTAGGTTTAAGCCCAGGCCTCCCGCTCGTGTGCTCAGCAAGAAAATGAAATACTGGGACCCGGGTTCGTTGAATTTTTTCAGCAAAGCAGCACGATCTTCAGACTTGGTGGTGCCTGAGGGATAAGAAAAATAAATGTGCCAGTTAATTCCTGTCTAAAAATGGCAGAAAACTAGACAGAAAAGACGTGTGTGCCTGAAAAATACATCCAAGGTCTTCTTCACATCAGTGAGGTAGCCACCAGGGTTCTTGTAGTTTTAAAAAGAACTCTGAACATTTTGCAATTAAAAAAAAAAGGAAAGATTGTTTAAATACTTACAAGGGGCCATGTTTGAAACATTACAAATCCTACATTCTTACCCTAATCCAAGACTTAATGAAAACATTTCCTGGATCTACTTCTGCTCTTTAAAATACCAAATAAATGTTAAAAACCCACCCACATGCACGTGCCTAAAATAGTTATTATAAGGACTTAAAACAACTGTGCTTACAGGCATTACAGCAAGGACTTACTTAGGCCAAGAGACTGAAAACAAAACAAAACTTGATTTCTACTGCTTTACCATTTGGGTTGCTACTTAGATGGTAAGGTAAAAATGTGAATGAATACGTTTAACTGTTTCTAGCCAGATCTGAAGCCATAATAATAAAGAAAGTGGGGCAGAGAATCTCAGTTTGTTTCATATGTTAACATCCTGCTCTACCATTCAGAGGATGCTGAACTGAAAACCTATCCAGCAGAGCAGTGGGTCAGACACCTGGGCGGCTTGCACCCCAGTCTGAGGAGGCTCCAGCACAGGTATCACAGTGCAGCTTCCTTTGGGACATACTTGCATTCCACGATGGCCATTGGGTCACCTGCTATCCACTTGTAATATATTTATTCAGCATTTTTACAAAATGCATTGTGGAAGGGAAAAACATAAAAACGCAAGCCATTAGTATCCCATCCAAATGTACCTCCCTAGAAAAGTGTAGCTGCCCGAGTTCTCCAAAAGCCTTTAGGCTGCGGGGAAATGCGCATGTTATGTGATACTCCCTGACTGCCTGCTAGACAAATATTATTTCTATGTGTTGTTCTTTTTTTAAGGATGAAAATATAGCAGTAATTTATTTCAGACGATTAAAACATTTAAGTGACTCCAGCTAAAGGAATCAAGTTACGTTATGAGGGTCAAGTTCCCAAACATGGGGAATCTGTTTTTCACGTTTAGTAAAAATAACAAGTATCCTCCTGAGGAGGAAAGAAAATCAATTCCCTACATTCAGCAAATGGGGATTAGGAACCAGGGGTTTTGTGGGCCCTCTTCACTTAACAAAGCAACATTCTTGAAACTTGGTTTATTTCCTGAATTAGAGTTTTTGTTTGGTGAGTTGCCACAGTGAATTGTAGGAATTTAAATTTGGAGGAGAAGCATTAATGCACTTTGCTCAGTGAGTTTTCAAACATGTGGAAATCTTTTTCCTTTTACTTTCGGAACTGCCTTTCCAAAATCATCATGAACTATTTGTTCAGGATGCCAAGGGAGACATGATTTTTCCAACATGAAATCTTCGCTCTATATTACCTTAGCAGTTGCAGAATTCTTTTAAAATAAACTACTCATGTGGATTAATGGTATATATATTTGTTGGTTTACGCTGAAAGAAAAGCCACAGAAGCCAAAATATAACTAATAAAACAAAACTTCTAAAATAAAGAAAGGGTGTCAATAAAACTGGGAATGTCTCTACTTTGCATAAAATAACCTTAAGTGCAAAACAAAGCACTGACAAACAAAGAGAAATGTCAAAAGCACTTAGTCAAAGGAGTTCTCATGCCCTGTGTGGATACTTTAAGCAGAGATTGACCATACACCTGATGTTTATTTAAACTGTGCAAATGGGCTGCAAACCTGATACACTATAAAACAAGGATTCAATTCACTTCTCACACGACGCTGTAACATTTCTTATTACAAGGTTCTAAATTTGCTGGATGATTATTTCCATTAGTCAAAGTTTCCTAAGTCAAGATCTTTGCTGATCAACAGCAATCTTTTCAGCATCCCTCAGGGAGATTCAAACTATACGAACGCGTTCCTCCGAGGGAAAATGCTCCTTGCAGGTGCACAGTATTTGATGTGCTTGGCACTAGCATCGGTTTCAGAGTCTTCTAGACTTTGATGTTCAACATAACCAATTATAAAAATAGAATTAATAGCAAGGGCAATTGTGCTGAAAATTACAGAATTTGCCGAAAGGAATTCAGTGCTGGACTTTTAGGATCACTAATTTTAACTGAGTGGAAGCAGTTCTTGGAAAATTTAATCTTTTGGGATGAAACTTTACTATGTGCTCTCATTCAAAAATCATTTCCAGTGAAAACAAAAACAGTAACGGAATAGCAATGGAATCTATCCCATACACCCATAATCTTCGCAGAGAATAATTGCTCAGCTTTCAGTAGGTGATTTTTCTCCCCCAAATAAAAATCTCAGGCATCAAATTCAGTGATGAAAACCTGAAGACATTTGCCAACGTGGTGGAAGAGCGAGGTGGTACAGGCGCGCGCGCGCGTGTGTGTGTGTGTGTGTGTGTGTGTGTGTGTGTGTGTGTGTGTATGCTGGGAAAGGTGTATGTTAATTTATCCATATGCATACTGACTATTCATTAGTTTTTTTCACTCCCAAGAATGAATGGCTGCTATCTCAGGCCATCTGAAACACTTCAGACAATTTACTTTTTCTCTTTTCACTTAACATTAAGATCTCTGATAGCAGAACAGGGAATGGCCCATTCATCTGGTATCTGCAGTTTTTAGCTGTTTTCAGTTCAGTAGCTCTAAGTTCCAACTTATTGTTAAAATGTTGCCACAGCAGAGATGGGACATAGCTTACTAGATGTGCTAAAACTGAATTAATTTGGAATCAAAGAAATACAAGTTACAGGGGCTGAGGATATAGCTTAGTGGCATAAGCACCTCCCTGGCAAGTTCAAGGTTTTGAGTTTAATTCCTAGTACCAACAAAGAAGAAAAACACAAAGTTGGCCTTTAAAAAGAAATACAAGTTATAACAAATTGTATTTGTGTTTTTTCATCCAGTAAGTGGAGATCATGACAGCAAAGATAAAAAGGGATAACAGCACCTTATTTGCTAAGGAAATAAATAATGCATACAAAGTCCTTTCACTGGTATCCTGTGTATATTGTTAGATGTTAGGACTATTATTATTCATAATAATAGAGACAACAGGCTACTAAAGAGAATCTTTCAGACTGGCAAGAAAACATTACTGATTTGATTCAAGAAAGTCACTTACCAGTTTTATAGACTCAAATATTCCCAGGCTTCAGTCCTCAGAGAGGTGAGTTCAGAGTAAGTACCACAAAGTAGCTAACAGGAGTTATGTAGGACAGCTGGGAAGGGGGGTTTAGAAATCCAGAGGACATAAATCCAGGGAACCTGAGTGGAGTTACATGAGGAAGGGACAGTGCTGAGGATAGCTTTTAGATTATCATGTCTATTAGATGGGATCGTTTCTTTAAAAATGAATACCATCAGGAGAGGTAGACCAGACCGAGAATTCAACCAAGAACTCAGGGAAGAAAACAATGGGCAAGTCTGAGTTTGATATATTTCCAGTTACTTTTAATTACTGTAGTAGCAAAATGGGGACAAAATGTTAGATTGAAAATAAAACCTTCTAATAGAATAAACTTTAAATTTCCTGCCCACTTAACGATAACATTAATGCTGCATTAGATATAAACAGGTATTAGTTTTAGTGTGGAGTCAGGGATTAAATGCAGCCTGCCTGTCAATTAGCTCTACTCCTGTTTACCATTCCTGGAACACATTATCCCCTGCCATGGTAGGAAAACTGTGATTTTCTTTAATCTCTAAAATATTATGGCCTGTATCCAAATAATAAATGTAATTTAGCAGTCATCCTTAAATTCATATTTTCTTCCCTTCGCATCTGCTGGTGAATATTTAGGACATGGTATTTAAATTTCACTCTTAAAATCAGGTAAGTACTTTACACAGTTTACAAAATCCAGGAAGCAATATGGCTATACCTCTTTATATAAAATGTAAATATGTCCTATTTAGAGAGGCTTTAACAACAAATATAATTGCAAATGACCTATTATGTTATTACTGAAAAAAAGGAGACAGCGTTTAGCCTTTAATGGATATCTCCATAGAAAATTAAAAGCTTTTCAACATACTCTACATGGGGTATAGGATAAGAGTTGATTCTAGAACAAGGAAGACTTAAAACTCCAGTTTTGTCTAATTATGGAACTCCTAAGTGACTCTGAGTTTATCTATGTTTATCTGTATGTCAAATAAGCTACATACACAATTGCAACAGTCTTAAAGCTAGAGGATATAAAAACTGCCATCTAGCAAGTGCGCACCCAGCCTTCTAGTCAGCTTCTCAGTTTTCCTCTTGTTTGGCCGAGTTTGGCTCTAAGTACGACTATCCTTTCATTTTTCAGTCCTGTGGCTTCTGAGCCCAACATTTCCCGCACTTACCATCAAGACGCAGGTAAAGGAAGTTCCGGAAAGCAAAGTAATCCTCCATGATGGTCATGAGAGACGTCATCTGGCAGAAAAGCAGCACGCGGTGATTAGTCGCTCTCAGTTTGGGCAGAATACGATCAAGTAGCTCAAACTTTCCTGAGGCCCGATACAGCTCAGCCCTGAACCCAAAAATGCAAAACAAGAAGACAGTATTACTGCTGTCTTCCTGAAGGATCCAGTACCGCTGTGATGTTTGTGTAGTGCCTTGAACATCGTAAACATTCAGTAAAGAACTGTGGAATCAAAGAATGACTACCAACTCCAAAGCAATGGGAATGTTTAATGAAGAAAGAAAAAAAAATATATGTATGTACCAGGACTCGAACTCAGGACCTTGCACTTGCCAGGCAAAAGCGCTATGCTGCTGAGCTATATCACCGGCCCAGAAAATATATTTACATAAAACGCATAAAGGGTGTATATTTCATAGTAGGTTGATGGCAGATTCTAGAATGAAAAGGAAAGTCTTCTGTGTGTCTAATACTTTCCAGGGTTTCTCTCACTCAACTGCTGTCTTTGCCTTAAAGTTCCTGCTATTAAGTATGTAAAATTATTAACTTAGGGTACTTACAATTCATTCAAATTCTTATTAAGCACCTACTCTGTACCAAGCACAATACTACATGTGTATTGTGATAATGAAAGTGATTAATTGCACATTGTAAACACCATAAAGTAAAATACCAAGTGACAATAAGAGGGCTCTTAGCAATCCATACCACCCTCTGTAGATTACAGTGAGGTCTGGCAGACTGCCCTGGTCTGCTGCCCCGTTATAAATAAAGTTTTATCAGAACACAGCCATGCTCACTCGCTGCTGTCCGGCCCAGCTACTTTCAAGCTGTACTGCCAAACTGAGAGGGTGTCACAGACATTTTACAGCCACAAAGTTGAGTATTATGATCTGACCCTTTACAGAAAAAGTTTGCCAATAACTGGTTTAGAGTATGAAAGATAATTTCCCTGAAGAGATAATAATTCAGCTGAAATGCAAGAGAATGAGCATCCAAGTAAAAATGGGAGGATAGGGATAGAAAGGTGGAGATTCTAAGGAAAGGCAAGAACATGTGCAAAGGCCCTGGGAATAAAGGAGGCCGGTAAGTAGGACAAACAGGAAACACTAAGGGTGAGTGTGTTTAACCTGAAGCGAGGGGGAAACTGGCCCAGGAGATCAGAAAGGGAAGAGCGGGTAGGGGCTCCACTAGCTGCACTGCGTGGTCTGGTTCTCAGTGCAATGGACAATCACTGATGTGTTTTACACAGAGCAGGACCAAGCCAGGCATAAATTTTACATTGCCTTGGACACTGTGTAAAGTGACCTGAGGAGGGGACTACAGCCCTGTCTTCCCACAGCAGTGCAAGTGACAAATGCAAAGGTAACGGGTGGAGGTGATGCTATCACACAGAGAAAAGCTAAAGCAGGGCCCTTCTCCTCCCCAATTCACCACTTCTCTTCCATCGGTGTATGTCATATGTTATTAAAACTTAACTTTAGGGTTGCTATGGGTTGGGGAACTTGCCAGTGTAAATGCAGCTCACAACACTGAAACGTAGCACTGGGTTGCTGAATTTATGTCACGGTGTATAGTGTTTCTAACAGACAGATTTTTCAAACGTATGTCCTCTGGCTGGCTGTCCCTTGCCCTAGGCACTGTCCTGCAGATAGCTCCTCATGTCCTGTTTTCATCCTGCAATAGTGGTCAAGCTGCTGGGAGCAGGGGTGACCATGAGGCCCAAGAGGAAGTGAAGTAGGGGAGGGAAGAAAGTCACCGACATCGCTCCGGCATGAGTGACAGTTCCCCAGCCTTGCCCAGTAATTCTGTCTGCCTCTGCGATCTAACCAGGACCCATCGGTCCTAATGGTACATCTTCTCCAGGACAAAACAAACACAACTGATGTTCTGTTAGTGGGAGCTTCATCTTTTTGCTGTTGCCAGACTTGATTCTCTTTAATGGTTACTGCAGGTGAAAGATCCTTCTTATGTAGAAGCCACATCTATAACACTCGACTGTAAAACTGTACACAGTCATAACAAGACATTTTTCCCACACATGTGAATATTAAAATCAATGCAAAATTTAATAAAATAAGTTCTCTTCAAGCCCAAGCTACACCTTTGATTAGAACTGACAATCCTCAGACTTCAAGAAGGTCAGGATACTGTTAGGTAAATTAGGTGAAATCTATGAACTCTGAATAGTCACTTGTTATTAGCAGAGTAGTCATTTATGCCAATAAAGGAAAAGGGGAATGTTGATAACATTTTGGTTAACAACTTTGGGCCTTCCACTGAGAAGCAAAAAAGGTTAAGAGGATCACAGTATTACTTGCATGACAGAAAACACTTTAGAAAGAAGGAGTTCAGCTATGACCAATAATATAATATATTGAAAGAAAAAAATTAAGATTTACCCATTGATGACCCCATTTGAATAGCCCAGGTGTTCAGCAAAGGATTCCTTTAAAAAAGAGAAAATAAAGTAACTTTAAAAATACAATCATTAACATAATGATTTCTCTTTTAGTGAGGTGACCCTACGTATTTTAGAGAATAAAGGAAACAAAATAATAATAACAATGAAAACACTCATTGTTGACTGAACTAGAAACAGCATCTTTGAGGTTAGGTTTTTGTTCCTCCAGAAATGGATCTTGCAGGTCCTCTTTGTTTCTGGTCTCTCAGATGAGAACTCAGCTCTGGTCTGACAGTGACTGAGCATTTCTTGGCCCAGGCAGAGTCCCTAGTCCTTCCTAGGGATCAACCCGCAAAAGGCTAGAGCAAGAGCTCAGTACAAGCAAGTCAGGATTAATATGGAAACATAAAAGCAGAAAATAATGCAAAAGCAATGAAAATAAATGATATAAGGCCATCCCCAACACCCCTTCCATACTATGCTTTTTTCCCCCTTAACAAATAAGCCCTAAGCTACTCTATCCTCATTTCTGGCTTCCACTGTTAAAATACAGAATGTAATTACTTAACTCCCTTCTTACTGACTCAGAGGAAGGAATGCTGGAATGCTGTTCTCCGAGTTTTCTCTATTTCTGCTTTATGGAAATGGACCATCTGAGAGGTGATAAGCAAGTCACGCTTTCACATTAGCCATCAGCTGTCCCTTTTCTGCTTCCCCCTCCATTGCAGTTTTTTCCCAAAAGGGACCAAATCTTTCCCTTTAGGTTCTGCTCTCAAATTCACTGGTCATTGGTGACAGGCTTCAGCCCTCAGAACACTGCCCTGCGGTGAGGCTCACACAGAAGTGCGATGGCCGAAACCTGCTCTACCTTCCAGCATCAGGCTTCACCCTCCACTGTGGCCCTTGCTTATTAGGTTCTTCCACTGTCTACAAGCAGGACTGGGAAAACAAAGGCTCTGTCATGTGTCCACGGACTGTGTGCTAAGATTAGATCCAATTTAAAAAATAGCACTTCCACCATTTCTCCAAAGTGAAGATTCAGGGAGCAAGGAGAACACCATGGAGACCAAACTTCTGGATCCATTCGGTATCAGCTAAGGATTGTGCGGCAAGCAGAACAAAACAAAGGCAGGCAGCACCTCAGAGCCATAACTGCCAACAGATCCTCCAATAACTGTGGGACTCTTATTTCTAAGGGTAGGCTCCGCAAGACTTTGTACATCAAGATAAGTGAAAATCCAAGCCTGGCTTTCTACTAATGGCTGCTTAAAGTACAGATAGGGAGGCACTGGCAGGCATCTTTCTTAGTTTAGCTTCTTTTATGACCCCCATTCCTGCTTGTGCTCCCAACAGAAGCTGGAGGACAGAAGTCATCCTCTACCCCTCCTTCCTGACATGCCCAGCATGTTTCCAAGGTGAATTTGTTTATGACATCTGAAGTAAGATGGTCATAGTCTTAATTTTTAAGTTCCCCATGCCTTCTACAGTTCAGATTAAATGTCTTAAAGCTGTCTTCCAGAAAAATGGGATGGTAAGAGACAGGACCCCGATCCTTTTCATCACGGTACACTTTTCCTAGCTCCCCCAGCCCAACATACACTCAGCACTGATTCACTCACACCCCACATCTCTTTAACACATTCGTTTATGAGATGCTTCATGTAATATTATTTAAAAGTTAATTATCTGCCAGTCTCATAATCAATTACTATCGTGTCACTGCAAATCATGCAGAGTTCAGCTTGGAGATTCTGAGTGACTCACCCCAAGTCACAGTGACAAAGTGGCCTGTGACGTGAACCCACTATTGCCTGTCAGAGTGTCTTCCACCTACATTCAATAGCTGTTGCTTATCTGCAGGATTTTTTAAGTATTATGCTGTTGTCACTTCACCTGGGCCTGTGAATAGACCCCTCCCTATATGAAAAGTCCTGCTTTAATTTAGTCTCTAAGTCTATGAAAACACATGCTGTGTCCATGGATGCTCTACCCTCACGACAGATACTCTCCCTTGTTCTCAGATCCTCTTCCATCTATGAAAGCTCTCCCTGGGGCTCACGGACACCTTCTTCTGTGCACACAGATGCTCTCTCCTAGGTTACGCCATGTCTAGGGAAGTTCTGCTCTGTGTCTAGGGTACTCTCACAGTGTCCGTAAGTAGGCTCCTCTATGTCACAGGTACTCTCCCCTAGGTCTACAGAACTCTCCTCTGTGTCTATAGTCATGTCTCCCTTATGCCAACAGGTATTCTCCTGTGTTCATGGATACCTTCCCCTGTGTCCACTGATACTTTCCCCACAACTAAGGAGACGTTTGCTTGCTTACATTGACAGACACTACTGCCTATATACAGACTCTCCCCTGTATCCACAGATGTTCCTCCCTATTTCTAGGGATCCTCTCCCCTGCATCTATGGATAGTCTGTCTAGAAGACAAGAAGGGCCATAGCAGAGCTGGAGGCTAAGTACTCAGCACAGTTGTCAGAGGACTAGTATTGTGGACAGGGTGTGGAATAAATACTCTCACCTAACAGGCATGATTGTCCAAAATAAGGCAGGAAAATACACAAAATTAAAAATATTTCAATGTTTATCCTGTGATTAAGTTTTGATTTTTACAGAAGCTTCTGTTCATTGTTTTAAGGCAAATATTGGAGCCCTGAGGTGATTTTCCCCTCAGTCTCTTGCTGAATTTTCAGTAGAAATCAGGCTCTGTCCTGGCAATTAATTGCCCCCAGGGCCATGTGCTTGTGAAGCAACCCTGGAAATGGGACCAGGTGACTACAGCGCCTTTTAATTCCCGCTCCAGCCAAGCCCCCATCCTGGAAGCAAACTTGTCATATGCAGAGAACAAAGCACAAAATGTCCTCTCCCCTAAACCCAGCTTTCCAGACACCTGAACATCACAATAAAAGCCCTGATTTACATCACCACGATAGAAACAAAGCAGGAAAAATATGATCTAAGTAACAGCAAAAAGCCAGTGTCTTTCACAGGCAAAATATTTAAAGGACATCTTTCTCTTCAATATTTATAAATACATTATTTTAATATTATTCATAGCATCCTTCGGAGGAAGCTAGGTGTATCTGTGATTATCTTCAATTTCAGAGCTTCTACCATAACATGGCAATTCACAGCACTTACCTAAACCCGCATAATCAGCCTTGCTTACACCATTTTTTTCACTACTTTCAACTCTTATAAAATTCCAGGTGCTCAGGTGCTGGGCTCCCAAAAAACTGATGCGTGTTAATCCTACTTGGAGACCTATCCGATCACGATGTTTTGATTTATGCTCATCCTTTAGACCTATTTTAGCTTTTTGCTTTTGTTTTACAAACTAAGCTTAGTAAGATTGCCACAATCAGGATCAAAACACAGCATACTGACTTACCTCAATGTGTTGGAACATATATGGGTGATTACAGATTTTTCTCAGCTGCATGATCGTGTTCATAAGCGTCTTTGCACCTCCTTTCCCCTGAGAACAAATCAAAAGAGATAAATAGAACTAACTAGTCACTGATCAAATAGTTTCAATTTTTAAAAACTAGGCTTGAGGGCTGGGGGAAGGTCTATCTAGCTCAGTGGAAGTACTTGCCTAACACGTGCCACGTTATGGATTCAAATCCTAGAACTGCCAATTAATCAATTAGTAAAAGGCGTCTTATAGAAAGGACAAAGGGCTACAGGTCTTGTTGGTTACTTATATACCCTGTAGTCCAAAGCTCTCTTTTTTTTCCTGAGTTACATAAACCATCTTCTAAGGCTAGACTGTCCTTCAGAAAAAGTGGATCTTGAAGAATCATGTTAAGTTGTTAGCTTTGTGACATGACTCTCCTCCCTAGGATTCTAGAAGACACAGCACAGAACAGATGCCCTGGGAGTGAAATAGATTTTAAAATTTTCTAAAATGCCATGCAATGCTTCTGCAGAATGTGTTTTCTGCAGAAGTGACGTGAGTGGAGCTAAATCTTTTGGTAACAGAAACATGCCTTCCCTCTTTCCCTCAGCTCCATGCAGGTAGCAGGTTAAGAGGTTTCCTCGGCAGCTAGGATAGATACAAAAAGGCTGAGTCATTTATTTTTATGAATCAGCATTAGCAGAGCTGCTTCCTGGAAACAGACCACAGCACCAGAAGATGTGTCCTGTACCTTCAGATGCACCGGCTTCGGCAACATACCTTCTTATCTTTCTCAGAACCATCTGTAAGGAGGATGCCCTTGGCTTGCATATGGCGATAGAGAATCTTCTGCAGAGCTGACATGTCACATTTGATCACATATTCAACCTGGGGAGAGAGAACAGGAGGTAGGTAGGAGCAGGGCGGGAAGTACCATTTTAAGACTGTGGAGACACAGCTGTTGGCAGCTCTCCTGGAATCACGAAGGTACCTGTTTCCCCTCTGTGCAGTCAGGGGTGGTGGGTAGGATGGTTTACAGAAGAAACTACGATTCTCACTGTTACGGGCATCCAGATAAGAGTGGTACCCTTAGAAGGCTTAGATGAGGCTAACACTAGAGTCATGTTTTCTAAAATTGCTTGAGTTGGTTCCACATGTGAAAGAGAATGACTTGCCAACTGAACACATTCAAAGTTGATCAGTAGAGAGTATTTTTGTATTCCTTCTCAACTACTGTATATCCCTTTCTACATGAACAGAACAGTTTTAGAACAAACAGCAACTGGCCTACAGCCTATGATTTTTTTCTTCACGTAACATTTTGCACTTGGTCCTATGTAGTTGCCCTCACTACTAGTCTTTATTAAAGTGAGACTTGTAGCAGACCCAGGGTGACTGTCCTTAACCTCTACTCCTGAAAATAATGGGATACAACACAGTGAGCATAACAGTTGAAGGAGAGGAGTTAATTCACAGTTCAACAGAACTTCACAGCCATCTAAAAAAGGACAAGGCCTCCTGTACTTCTGGCTGAAATATTGCAAAGTCCAATTTAAACAGTTGCAGGGAATTCACATGTCCTCAGCTTGTCACACACCTGCAATGCTGCATCATACTCCTGATGCATAAAATCTGCCTCATTTCCTTTGTTTTCCTTTATTAAAAATCCCAAGCATACAAATGTGCAATTTTCATAATAAATATCAGATTAATGTCTAGAAATTTGCAGAACGTGATTAAAAGTAAATCATTGAGCTTCCCAATGTTTAATAAACTGATTAAAAATGGTCAGGTTATTTTTAGCTTCAAGGGCTAGCAAGAAGAGGTCAGAGATGAAGAGGTTGAGTATTCATTCAATTTTTACTTTGGAAGAAACCCGTGTAGGTAGGGCAAACAATGCATTTTGATTAATCAAGTCCGATTAGAAAATGCTTGTTCTTTTGCAGAAAGGAAGAGCAAATAATCCATGAAAGATTTGCTCTAGTTTATAATGACTCTGTAGGGAGGAAAAACAACCCTCCAATTTTAGTAAGTATGCATTGGGTATGCATTTTGTGTTTGACATACTTGATTATATGTTTAAAGTATCACTCCTCTTTAAATACTTAGTTTTTGTAGCTTTCTAGAGGCAGAATGACAAAAATTACATAAAGTGTACAAAGTGACACATGAGGTACATAGGAATTGTGAAATGATTACTATTATCCTACCTTCTCTGAATTCTCAACTCATAAAGTGGAATCATAGTGAAGAAAAGTATTAAAACATAAATAAATTTTTAAAAACCAGACTTTTTAACCAAATAGAGTTGTAAAATGACATCAAGGGCCAATATTATCGAGCTCTTTCTGTGTTTCAGGTCTTGTGTGAAATACTTTGCCTAATTTTTCTCATTTACCCCATTCAAGAGCTCTATGGGATAGTCACATGTAGTCTTCTCATTTTATAGATAAAGAATTTGAGCATAAGAGGTTAATCTACTGGTCCAAAGTGATCATTATGCAATGGTGAAGTTAGGAATCCATTTTCATAAAGTGCCCACTAAAGATACCAAAGAGTCTTTCAAGCTTCATAGCTCTGCTGACGGTCACCTTTCCCTGGGTCTCCCTGGGCCTTGTTCTCACTTTTCTGAAGGAAAAAGAGATGAATGATGCTTGTTATAAGGTGCATTAGGTGATGGCAGAACCAGAATTAAGGGCAGAACACTCACACCCTGCCCATCAGCGAGCTACTGGTAAGAGCTGGAAGGAAGGGACCTTGGGGGGCAGGAGGTATGGGTGATTCCCTGGAGACAACCAAGCATCCTCATGATGTCCATGTCAGCAGAGACATGTTCCTCTGCAGGATCTCACAGCGATTCTTGGAAGATGACATCACGCTAAGCCTCCTCTATGGCATGATGATAGGGTAACAGAAGCTGGTTTTATACACTGATAATGATTTTGTTTTGTTTTGTTTTGTTTTTTGGAGACAGGGTCTCACTGTGTTGATCAGGCTGGCCTTAAACTCACTACATTGCCCAGGCTGGTCTCAAACTCAGTGATCCTCCTGCCTCAGCCACCAAACTCAGTGATCCTCCTGCCTCGGCCTCTGAAGTTCTGGAATTATAGGTGAGTGTTGGGATTGCAAGTGTGTAACATCACACTCAGTTTGATAGTCACTGTTATAAGCTTCACAACTGCATTCTACATTTGCTCCAGGAATCTCCTCAAACAACTCCAAAGTATTTTGTTTATTCACTTTTCTTGCAAAGTAGGATGGCCTTAGTCTTAGGGCTTCTTTTTAAATCCAGCTATATTTTTAGGCTCTTTTTAACATCTTCCCCAAACACCCTGTCAACTAAAACTGATTTTCCCTCTCACTTCCCTCAGGAAAGCTGGTTGTAAAACTTGTCTAATGGCCTTTCCTTACAAGGCAGACATGCCACAGCACATCTTCCTAATATATGTTTGGGTTTGAGGAAACACACATAGCCACCAAAATGCAGAACGCGAATGAGCCAGCCAGTAGGCCTAAATGGACAGCTGATTCTCCAAGAAGTACAGGTTCCTGCTCGAACCTAGGTGTCTGTCCCAGGCATATAACTGACTTCCTGATATATGCACATACCATGTACAAATCAGTGTCAGCCTACATTAATATAGCTTGACTTTTTAAAGAGAAAAATAAATACACATCATTGTTCTAACATTATTCTGTTAGAATAATTACCAGCAAGCACTACCCTTGGGTATAGTCCCTATATCCATGCTTTGGAGACTTCCGCCCTAAAGTACCGAGCGCCTGGATTATTCATTCTGTTAGGTTGCAAGATGTTGTACTCCACTGCCCCACTAGTGTTCTGTGTGAATAGAACTCAACTTCAAGGCCGAGTTTCATGACCCCTCCCACCATGCCTCCCATGTTTTCAGCCCCTGCACCTTCCACCCAGCATGAGTACAAATAAAGCAGAGAGCAGGCAAGTGATAGGTGTGGACTGAGAAAAGGAGCAGACTGAGTGATCCCAATGCAGACATACAGACCAGCAGAAATGAAGTGAGAGTTTCCACAGACATACCAGCTTTGACCCAGTTGGGTCTGAGTTCAGTCCCCTCAGATGCAAGGGTGCCTAATGACCGCATGAATGTAAGCGTTCCTCAAGATATATACAAGTATACAAAATAATTATCTCCTAAAAACTTTATGATGATAAACACACTGGTCCCTATAAGTGAGCCAATATGGTGATTATATTGGCCAAGAACTTTTCTCATATAGCAGTAGAAGGACCTGGACTTTATTCATTGTTCGTGCCTGTATGTTGTTCTTCTTTTATGATTTCTGTTCCAAAAGGGTAGATGATTGGAACAATGACCCTAGATGACTATATGTGTTACATAGTATGGGCAGTTTGTGAACTGAGATTTTTAAATAATGATTCAATCAATGAAAGTCTCAGGTTCTAGAATCTGTGGCATGAGAAAGGTACAATGGTAATAATTCATCATATTAAGCTTTTATATAAAACTGTTCATCTAAAGAAATCTCGGTAAATTGTCATATGCAAATTGTATCAAAATCAGAATAGATTTCAGATAGTCCAACCTCTTTCTAAGCTCACATTATCTATGCATTTCAATAGTTTTGGACATCAATATATACCTAGACATTTGCATAGTTGGTTCTTGATGATATCAATTAATAAAGAGAAGAAGTGACAACCTTGAACAGAAGCTAAATCAAGAAATTAATTTTCATTTAGCTTAAGTTGTTTTATAGAGCCCCTTTCCTATGAACTGGCATTCTTTCCAGTGTATAAGGATGGATTGCATGCCAGCAGACTGGTGGTGGTGGTGGTCAGACACAATATATTTCCTCGCTTCCTAGGTATTTCATTAGTCTAATACTAAAACTAGTTCTGTCATGCAGCAGAGATGTATTTAACAAACTCAACCTTCCTATACCTGCTTTAGCCTCACCTGAAGGAAATATATATAAAGAAACTCTACAGTGATAGACATTACAGAAATGCAAATTAAAAGATATTGCCATACATCTATTGAAATGGATAAAAATTTTTTTCTAAAATTTCACAATGTAGGCCAGGGACATAGCTTAGCAGCACAGCACCTGCCTGGTAAGTGCGAGGTCAAGAGTTTGATCCCAATATCAAAAAACAAAACAAAACAAAAACTTCACAAAACCAAGTACTGATGAAAATGTGGAGGAACTTGAATGCTCACACCTTGGAAATGGACCACAAAGAAGTCCAGCTAGTACAAAAAAACAAAACCAAGGTTTATTAAAATGCTGGATGGTTGACCATCCAACTGACCATCATACTCCTAAATGCTTGCTCAAGTAAAATGAAAAGCTATGTTCACATAAAAACCTCTACACAAATGTTTACAGCAGCTATATCGATAATCTTCAAAAATTAGAAACAACCCAAATGCCCCTCAACTAAAGAGATACACAAGCTGAAGTATATCCATATAGCAGAATATTGTTTAACAATAAAAAATGGACTAACTGTTGATAAATGCAATGACTCAGAAGACTCTCAATCAAACACAAAATGCTAGGTGAAAGGAATCAGGTATAAAATGCTACCTATTGTTTGATTCTACTCATTACATTTTGAAAAAGACAACGCCAGAGGGATGGAGAGCAGAGCAGGAGTCCCATGAAACTAAGAGTAGATAGAGGGTTTGACTAAGAGGGTAACACCAGGAAAATTTTGGAAGGTGTCTTACTTACTTACTTTTCTCATTGCTGAGACAAAATACTGAGTCCCACAAGCTAACAGAAGAAAGGTTTACTGGGTTCACAGTTTGTAGAAGTTTTAGTCCATAATCAGTGAGCTCCAAGGGATGATGATTTGGCATAGGAGCATCACAGAGGACAAAGAGTTTGTGGCAGGCATAAAATAGTAAAAACAAGCAAGCAAGCATCTACCACAGTCATTTTTATCCTTTATATCTTATCCAGGCTACTTAAAGTGTGTTCTTACACCCTTAATCCTAGCATTGCACCATGCATCAATTCCAGTGTCACATACTCTAGATTCAGCCATCTCTGAAAAAGCCCCACTGATGACAGCATGAGCTTTGTGGGGACATCCAGACCCAAGTCGTCACAGAAGGACAGGTGATAGAATTGTTCTATAGTTTGGTTGTAGACATGCATAGCATAACTCTATGCATTTGTCAAAACTCAAAGAACTATACTGCAGAAAGAGTGAATTTTACTATTTATAAATTAATCCACAGAATTAAAGAAAACTTTCCTGATTCTTTTTCATAAAAGGATTTGAGAATAACTGCTATGGAAGTATTAGCCTTTTTCTGCCATCATCCAGGATTCATTCATGGGCTCTATTACAGGTCAAGTAAGACACATGTGCTGTTGGTGGACATAAGCAAGTGGTAGCAGAAGAAATCTCCTGACCTCAAGAATGACAAGTAAATTTCCAGCTTTCCTCAACTCAAAAAAAAAAATTCTACCAAATCACAAAAGGCATAGCATGAGCATTAAGTCAAAATAGTCACATATGGAACACACACAGACTGACCAGTCATCACGCAGGACAGAGGTACAGATGAGCCATAGAAAGCACAACCAAAATGAGAGAAAAGTGAGAAAAAACTTGAAGTGGACAAGACAGTGAAACTCCCATTAACAATAAAGGCAGCAATGCAAGTAGGAAATAAGGTCTATCGTGGGGTAGCCGTCACTAGTTAGAAGCCATGTACGTGGCATAATGTTAAGAGCACTACATCTACTTCACCCGCATTCTGAGGCAGGTGCAGGTTTTCAGGTCACTGATGAGAACACTGAGAACCTTTTGGGTTAAAAGACTTGTGAAGTTCACACAGTAACTGATGGAGAATACCCTGGGGGCCCATGTTCATTGATGGAGAGGCCATGGTTTCTACCCCCAAGATGCCCTCAGGAAATAGCAAAGGCAGTCACCTTTAAAGGTAATGAATACCTACCTACAAAGGTGTCTATAGAAATGCCACACAGATTATTGTATACATCTCTGATATGACAAACTTTTAATCTTAAGAATACAAGTACTTTAATGCAGGAAACTTACTCTTGACAATCTGCAAGCAAGTACATTTTCTCAAGTTTATTCTCCATTAAGGGTACTCAAGAAGCTCTCTTGTAGACAGAACCACAGGGTGAATATTTCAGGAAAGCAAAGAATTCCTTTGTGATGTAATTGATCACGCCATAATCCTTCTGCTCTAAATGTTTGGATTTTCTATGGAATTTTCTTAAAATAGAGTATATCTTTAACTTGTCATGTGTTTTTCAGATCAATCTACATTAGCCAGTCCTGAAATGAATAAACAAGACTAAGAGGTTTCATTAAATGAATAAGTGAAGGGCTTCAGTTGATTACCTTTCATTTCATACCACTTGTAAAGAAAAAGAAGAGGAAGTTTGGGACATGCTAAAATTATTACCATTTCATCTCTGTAACTTGCAGGACCATAAGGATAGCCAGGAAGGAGACCACAGCAGCCACAGGCCACTGCAAATACTCACTGGCTTAATGTGGCAACTGAAACTCACTCAACTTCAACTTGAACAGAATGGGTGTTACCCAAAGAGGTGAAGTCACAGGACGTCAAAGGAATAGCAATAGCACTCAATTCCCAAGATGCACTCATTAGCAAAATAAAATATGCAATAAGCATGGGACAAAAACTTATATTCTTAATTTTATTAATAAGAGATTAAAGAGTAAAATTCTCAGCAAAGTGATCAACTCTGTACACCATCTTGCCAAGTCCCGTTTTAAAATGAACAGGATGAACCAATCTGTCCAAAAATAGTAGTTACCCAGAAAAACCACAATCATGCAAATATAAGACATTTAAGAATTGGCTCATCTAAAGAAACTCAAATGAAAATAACTCATGTTACAAATAGACTATCTTGAAGAGAATGCAATTTAGACTTCAAATATTCATAGTTCCAAAATATGATGAGATATATATTAAACTAATACTCAGATACAACCCAAAACTATGGAGCTAGGGCTTAAAAGACATTCTAAAAACAACAAAAACTCAATTTCCAAACAGAAGTCTGAAAAATATGCTAACAGGAATTTAATTTTTATGGTGCAGGAGAAAAGCCATATCCCAGAATAATTAGGTGATGTGTCTGTAATCTGCACAAACTATTTTTCACTCACCACCAGAATACTGATGACATCACAAACATCAAATATTAAATAAACTTCCAGGAAGTCTGGCAGATGCTTATTATGCCCTTCAATAAGGACACAAGTCATAAAGTCAAATCCATATTTGCCTTCCAAACAGGAAGTTTTGTAGCACCTGCAACAGTGAACTCACTAAGGTCAGTAAATTTTTAAAAACTTAAAATTAAAATGCAACGAGACCCAATACATTTGATAACTTTGTGAAATCTTCCCCAAATCGTTTGAGAACCAGGTTGAAAATGCTGCAATTTCCCTTCTTTTTCTAGGTGTATCAAACAAAAAAGCATTTTGGATATTTTCAAGATACCTGTAACTAATACATAAGCCTGCTACTTCAGAAATGCAATTTTAAGGCCAGGCATTTCAAATACATTTGCAGGAGTAAAACAAAAGCCTCACAACTTTTGCATCTGCAACATGTTTTCTGCATACCTGTAACTGCCACACTTGGGAGCGCAAGGCAAAAGGACTGTGAGTTCAAGCCAGCCTGGGATGTACCGCAAGTTCAAGGCTATCCTGGACTTCATAATGAGACCATGTCTCAACAAAACAAAAACAGCAACGAAAACCAAAAGAACAAATTAACAACAGCAACAAAAACCATACCTTTTCTGGAAGCTGAGATTCAACTTCTTTCTTCAATCTCCTCAATAAAAATGGTCTCAGCACCTTGTGCAGACGCCTAATGATTAGTATAGTTTCCTCTTCATTTAAGTCCACCTACAAAGGAACCTTAGATGAATTCGGGGTTTTTAAAGGATGTTTCACACAGTAAAGCATTATGTATATTTGTGTGTTTCAGTGGATAAATAAAATTTTACATGCATTAAGACCAGGCTCATGGCACCTGGGGATTTAGCTTAGTGGCATAAGCGCCTGCCTGGCAAGCACAAGGTTGTTTTTTTTTTTTTTTTTTTTTTGTCTTTTTCATTTTTATCAGTACCAGGGATCGAACTCATGACTGCCTGCTTGCAAGGCAGGCGCTTATGCCGCTGAGCTAAATCCCCAGCCCCAAACACAAGGTTTTGAGTTCGATCCCTAGTACGGGAAAAAAAAAAAAAAAAAAAGGTTAATTTCGGTCATACACATCTTCAAATTATTTTCCCATCTGCCCACTATAAATGACAATGGCTGACATTGTTTTAATGCTGTGTTGTTTGGAAAAGAGTGCGGAAATCCAGCTCTAGATTGGAAGTAGTAGCAGCCCCAAATTTTATGGTATGTGATTGGAAATACAGAGCGAACAAAGGGCCATGTATGGTGACACAACCAGTAATCCCAACTACTCAGAATTTTCTGACTGGGACTAAACTTGAACAAAATCATGGCAGACAAGAAGAAAAGAGTTATGGGATCAAGAGACGCATAAACCTACTGGCATGCATGGAATCTACTCTGTGGTTCCTCTTTTTTCAAGCTGCTATTCACTCATTACATTTCTGAGACAACCAACTCCAGGCCTAACTGAAGTCTTCAGCTTGAAGAAGGAACACATTACCTCTTGCCCTTTCTCTCCTATCTGTTTGAGTGTTCAATGAGAGTTTTAAAATTGTTTGTTTAGTTCTGCTGTGCTAGAGATTGAGCCCAGGGTGCACTGCATCACACATGCTAGGTAAGTAGTCTAGCACCGAGCAACACTCTCAAAACCCTTCCATTACTTTTTAAGTTTTATTTTGAGAAAAGATCTTTCTTGGTTGCCCAAGCTGGCCTTGAATTTATGGTTCTACTGCCCCAGCCCCACTACTGTTTCCATTTCTTTTCCTCTATGACTCTCCAGGGAACAGAATCAATTGACACTACTCTCTATGAATGGGAAAGCCAATCAACCACTCGTAGATGTCAAGTAAGCCTACAGAATACCTCGTAACTAAAGGGTCAAAGTGTTTAAACATAAATGTTCCTAATCCATTCTTTTTTTTTTTCCTTTTTATCAGTACCAGGGATTGAACTCATGTCTGCCTGCTTGCAAGGCAGGCACTTAGGCCGTTGAGCTAAATCCCCAGCCCCCTAATCCATTCTTAGTAGCTTTCATTCCTGTAGTTAAGGAACCGCTGGTATTTTCATATGTGAGTTCTAACAGAAGGAATAGAAATAATGCACCTGAAGGAACAATAAAGTTAAAAATGGCTCCTCCAGCATTTCAAGAATATTTCTGTACACACAAAGTTAACGCTTTATACAAAAATCTGAAAAAACAAATATGTGCAGGAAATTTCATGTAAACTAGCTTGGTTTACACACAAACCCCTTATGGAAAGTCCTCGAGGGGAAGTCCAAGTTTACAACAAGGAAAGATTTTAGGGATTTTACTCAGCTGGTTGAGTTAGTCTGGTTCAATTAATTCAACAAATACATCCATGTTCACCTTCCCAGTTGCCACTGTGGTTAAGCATTGCACTAGTCAGGAGCATTTTCTAGGGACCTGGGAACATGCTAGCAAAGGCAAGGGGGTGAGGAGGCCCCTCCTGTACCTCCAGGTTCAGAGGGGACAGTAATCCTGGGATGAGACCATATCTACTCACTGACTGGCTTCAAAAAGCAAGCCATGCTGTAACCACCCTGTGAGTTCTCTGTGGCTCTAATGTTCTTAGCTTCAGGCCCTTCGATTTCACTGTCTTGGAGTAGAAAGGAAAATTTAAAAAGTTAGAGAAGTACCCTTTCTCCAGTCATGGCAAACGGAGCGTTAAACCACTGTTCAAATGTGCTGCAGCTCTTAAAAATTGTAGGGAGGAGGAAGTTGAGGAGGGCCCACAGTTCAGGCAGCTTATTCTGCAGTGGGGTTCCAGTCAAGAGGATTCTTCTGGGGGCCACATAATGCGTGTTCAAAACCTGAGTCAGCTTGCAGTGGTGATTCTTCATTCGGTGACCTTCGTCCACAATCATGTATTTCCACCGAATCTGTAACACAAGAGGAAATGCCCACAGGTGGTGAGGACAGGGAAATCCAACAGGAGAGTGGGAGTACGAAAAACCAAAGAACCCACCTTTGGCACATGATGTAGCATGATGCTCCTGAAGACAAAAGCATCTCAACACATGGGGACTATTTCTCATGCCTAACGGAGCATGTAAAACACCATGCAAAAATGGACATCCCTTAAAGGATGTGTGATTCCAAGTCACCCTTTTCTAAGGCAGAAAACTTGATCCCAGAATAAAATGGCTGATTCAGACCTTGGCTCCTGCATCTCCTCATCCAATGTTCCTTTTACTGACACTGGGTCACACTGCCTCTCTCCGTCCTAAATGCAGGATATGGACATCCACTGGAAACAGGTGATGGCTGATTTTTCCAAGATGCCACTAGCAGGTGTCTATAGCTGAAATATTTTTGGCTACAGTCCTTTTTTCTACTACACTGTCTGGGCATTTTAAGGCTTGACTGCATGTTTTATTTTCTTTTGTTTCAATGGATTCCTAACATTGATAAGTTGGAATATTTCACCTAAAAATCTGAACACTCAGCTTCTTTTTAAAAAGTTACACCAAAGAAAAATGCTCCCTCAGTTCAAGTACATTCTTATCTGCCAGGTCTAGGACCTCCTGTGTTTTATTTAAAATGAGAATATCCTTAATGGGAGAGAGACAACAAAATACCATTCTTTCCTTTGTGCCAAAACTGCAGAATTATACACAATGAACTGTTCCAAGATAACTATCAGTTAAAAAGTTAGGCATGCTCATGGTACTACCCTCTTTCCTAAATCCAGCGTTCCTTTCCTCTCTCATACGTCACCCTTCAGCCCTCTTGAAGGTCACTGCTCAGTTTCTGAGGCTGAGGAATGTCTCACTGGCCTTTCCACTCCCCGTAGGACAGCAGAGTGGCCAAGGAGAACATCTGCTGCTCGGATGGCCCCAGACTCTGTTGCCAACCTCTTCGGAGGCAGGCAGCAGACAAGCAAAGGGCCATGCCACCCCTGCCATCTGCCCCAAAAGAACCAGTGATGCTCAGCAAAAGGAATAAAATCATAATTCAGACAGAACTGTACAGGTAAAAGAAACTACCAGAATTTTTCCTTCCTCTATCCCAAGCAAAGTGCTTAAGAATGACCAAAGTTGAACAATAGGCTGCCGTAAACTCAACAGACAAACATATATTTAAATAAATTTTCTAAATCCTCTTTCCTATCTAATTTAGCTTATGAAATAGTACACAAGGAATCAGAGGTCCTAGGTTTTGCTCTTGGATTTTCTACTAATTAGGGCTTCCCTTGGAAAAAATTACTGTTCCTTTCCATAGCTCCATCTCTCCAGTAACAAATAAAAGCAATGCATCTCATTACCAGGCATCTCCAACGAATTTTGAAATACACATGCAGAACACACGATATGAATTTCTTTAAAAGGATCTCAAATGTACAAACACATTCCCACAGTAATATTGGAAGCACGTCATTTTTGACACTGCCAAATTCATCTCTGAGCATGAGGGACAGGAATACAGCATTGTTGTCAGTGCCACCTCAATTATTAAACCTCCCCTGGGAATACGCTCTCTTTATGTTATTTCCTATGATGCCATGGAGGGAACTCTCAGTTCCCACAGCAAAGGTTTAATGCAGGATAGAACAAACTCCAGGAAAATGGAGTCTGCTCAATTCTGGCTATAATTCAGTTTTCAGATTAGAGCGACTTCAAAACACCATGGGGTGAACGAAATTACCAAGGAAAAAAATTAAGTTTTCATGGTTGTTTCATTAAAAACAGTACTTTCATCTTTCTTCGTGAACATATTAGGAGAAAAGATAATATAAAAGGGGAAAACATCTTCTATTTTGTGGCTAAAGGATAACTTAGGACATACACGTGAAGAGACGTGTAGGGCACAGAAACAACTCTCTCCGCTCCAGCTGAATAGTCACAGGAAGAGCCCTAAGTAATCAGCAATGATCGCTCATTATTTTACCAGAAAAAAAACTGCGAACAGTTATAAAACACACACGCCTCAGCTCGGACAAATGCTCACATGGGAAGACCATATGGAGAGGTGCCTATGCGTCTTTGCAGACAGAGGGGCACAAGAAGAATGAAGCTACACTGGTAATAACTCAGGGCAAAAATTATTTCTTTCCCAGTACTTTCAAGGCTGTTGCAGGAAAAAGTTGCAATGGGAACCCAGATGCATTTTCTTAAAATATGTAAAGACATTAACTATGAAAAGATAGGGAAGAGTCCAGGATCAATCACAGGAAAAAATAGTAGCGTGCAAAAAATTAAAGCCCATAACTAAAATGTATCAGAGTCATGGGGAAAAGAAAAGGAAAGAAAAGAGAAAGGAAAAGAAAAGAAAAGAAGAGAGACCACACATCCAGTGATCAAATTATACCATTGAGTATAATTTGGTGAACAATTTAGAGACCAGTGAGATAGCCTATAATTAGAGATAAAAGAATTTTTTTTTTCAAAAAGCATACCTTTGCAAGAATGTGCTTGTCTTTTATAATGTACTCATAAGTAGTCAAGAGGACATTGAATTTTCCACTCCGTAGCTGGGGGACCAGGGAGCGGCGCATTGCAGGGGTACCCTGAATGGAAAGAAAAATATACAGGTTACCCAATGAGAGTGCTTGTGCACCATTTCTCACAATTCATGGCTTAATGGAGCCTAGACATGTGACATATGCGCATATGTGCATTATCAGATGCTGCTCCATTACCCATGAAGAAAGTCTCAGCTAAATCACACGCATCCTAACACTTTCTAAACCCTTCTAAGGAGGATTTTCCACTTAAGACTGAGAGAGAAAAGGAAATTGCAGCAAGCTTGCAGTCGTAGGGAACCTGCTGCTTGGCTGAAAGGCTCCCTTTCTGTGGGCACAGGCTGTAGGCAGCTCAGGCACCCGGGTAATTGCCTGACTTTGCAGGGACCTTTGGCACAGGAGCACCCACAGTGAGCCAGGCGGCAGCGCACAGAACGTGTGATATTTGTCATTTGTATTACTCTCATCAGAAACCTCGCAATATGATAATTAACAATTTTCTTCTGCATTTCACTATCTGAAAGTAATTATGGTTTATTACAGTAATCTTCTTGGGATGATTAACTCTCACTGTTTAGTACATGATGTACATGACAAAACTTTACAGCCAAATACAGTTCACAGATGTGCATATGGAACGAAGAAACCAGGGGCTAATTTTTGCTGTTCCACATTTATATATAAATACAGCACTCCAAACCTTGTAAGAAATCTTCACCACGGAAGGGGCCCACTTGTCAAATTCATATGTCCAGTTGGATAGCGTCCTACAGAAAAAAAAAAAATACAGAAAAAAAAGACATTCGTGTAAGAGTCAGCGTTAAAAAGAGGCCTTATTCATCTTCAGGCCTTGGCCTAAAAGAGGTGAGAGAATATAAAATACCTCAACTGCATGTTTATTTTAAAAGTGTGGAAATAAGAGATAAGTAGGAAATAAGCTGCTACAAAGCATGATTTCATATGTCTTTCAAAAAAAGTGCAAAAAAATTTAAAAGTACATAAATACAAGGTGCAAAAAACTCTACACTTCAGTGTTACTGAAAAAAAAAAAAATCTGCCACAATACTTCGGCTACTCTTTGGAGAAAGCCAGGTAAGTTCAGATAAGATGAGTCAAGAAAAAAAAAAATTAAAACTACATGAAAATATTAAATAAATCTATCAAGAAGGAACAGGGAAAGAAACACTGAAACACTTTTTTTTTTTAAAAACATCATTGAACATGTCACCATAATATATCAGAACCTGCAGAACATAATATAGAACATATAGCTTAATATTAAGGAGACAAATAATTCATATTCAAAGATCAGCAAATAGTTCTCATTTAGGCAAGATTTGAAGAAAACACAAAAATATAATCCTATATATTCCAGGTCTCAAGTTCATGTCAGCACAGAGATCTACATATGACAATATCTCAGCAAAGAAGACTGCAACTTAACACCCACAGCCACCCAGAGCACCCCAAGAGCAGGCAGCGAACAGTGAGGAACCACCCAGTGGGCAAGGGGCTGGGAACGAGATGATTACCGCCAAATTAGGTCTTTCCAAAGCAGCCAAGCCACTGAAATGCTACATGCACCATACTGAGGTTTGTTTAATACAAAACTCACAGTTACAATTTTTTTATTTCCATTCTTCTTTAAAAGACACAATACAGAAAGATTGACAAATATATAATCTTCTGATTTTATACATACACGGGTGATTATAATCACCTTTTGGAAAACAGAGCAACCCAGAAAGACAAGTAGGAAGTGAAAACCTAAATTCAGATTACATGATTCTGGTTAACACTACTATAAGCTACAGTTCTGCCATAAGTGAGAACAAGGACACGCTACTGATAGGGCACTCTACAGCATGCAGAGGGACGCCTGCGGAATAAATGCAGTACTTACGAAAGGGGGACGATGATGAGATAGGGGCCATTGAGTCTTTTGTGCTCCATCAGGTACGTGATGAGTGCAATGGTCTGGATGGTCTTGCCTAGCCCCATTTCATCGGCTAAGATTCCATTCAAATTGTTATTATACAGGGAAACCATCCATTCCAGACCCTGGAGCTGAAATGAAGAGTAATTGCTTCAATTACCCAAGATCTGCACAGGTAATTAATACTAACACAATTCAAGTGAGGCTGTGACTCCTTCGCTTTTCGGTGCTGTGTGCTGGGTTTCCCACAGTAGGAAAGAGTGCTGGGGAAAGCACCAATGCAAGAAGAATTTAAAATATGAGCCTGTAATCGGCCCTGCTGCTTGGCAGGTGCTGAGTGTTAATCAGATTTAGAAATGATGGGCTGCAGCATACTGGTGGGATTTTAAGCAGCTTTGCTGCTCATCCCTACTTAGCACTTCACAGTATATGACATTCTAGAATTATTATAAATGAAAAAAGAACCCAAACCAAAATCTATACCAACCACTCCAAGAACAAAAAGCCAATGTGAGGATTAAAAATGAACAAACCGGAATGCAAGTTTGGCACAGAGAGCAATGATCACTAGAAATAGCCTTCCTGGTAATGATCGGTTGGCCTCCAGGGTCCAATCCCCTCAGTGAGGAAGCTCATGACCACTCTGCTGGGCCTCTTGGAGGATACCTCTGTCCCTCGCACAGAGAAAGTTTCCAGGCAGCACATGGATTTCTGCAATGTGGTGCTCACCAAAGGCAGCACACTGGGAGCTCACTGCCTGGAAATGTGTTCTACCTATTGTTAAATCACAAAAACACCCCTCCCTGGTAAGCGGTAGTGGTGTGGCAGACTGTGGCCCTTCCAGGGGGAGAACCACCAGCAGCTCCTGAGATCTGTGTCATGTTGGAACTCAGGACGCTGGGAAACCAAACAACCAGCCTTCTTCCCTGCTAAACAGTAGTGAACCTACTGATGCATGGCCTAGAGTCAAATATCCCACTTCCCCTACCCCCTTCTCCTGTCCCCCCCACCCACCATTAGTAAATGGGAACCAGAAATCTGAGCATCTCCTGGGAGGTTGGCCATAGCAAATAAGGGGAATTCCTTCTACCGTCTCTTTGAAGGCAAATATTTTTATTACTGTTTTGCTCTATTCTGATTAATGGTACTGCTCTATTCAATATTCTGCTTTGATAAATTCTATAATGTTCTGTATTTCATCTCATTTTGATATACATGATTGAAAGAACAACTATTCTAAAGATAACAAAATATACTGTGATACCTATTACTGTTATCCTGGTAACCTGCTGTGAAGTTCTATACCAATTTCACTGTGTGATCTTAGTTGGCTTTATTCTGTCTTGTTCTGTTGTATTTTACCACTTTCAAAATAAAAAAACAAATCACAAAAACACTACATGAGACTCAGGTTTGAGTCCCTCATGTGAAATACATAAGATGAGGTGAGAATACAAAATTGTTCATTCTCCCCTCCTACCTCCCAATTCCCTTCCACTATCATAGCACTGGCACTAGGGTTCAGAGGCAGGACCAAATGTATGTGTGATACATACATTCATATATATGTTGTAGTCAGGGATTGTAAGGAGAACAGTTAGAATCAGGACACAGAATTTATAATATTATTTCATGAGGTTCATCCAGAGTTAAACACAAGAAAGTGCAGGAAATCTGCCCACAACACTCAGACACAGATTATTCAGCCAAGGGCCTGGATCCCACAGCACTGTCCTGCATGAGTCTAGACAAAAACCTAGAGCCCACGACAATGCCTCCTACAAGTCCAACTGGAAGTCTAGAGCCCACGAGAGGGATCATGCCAGTTTGTTTTACGGATCTGCACTGGGAAGGCCCAAAGGTCAGCAGTGGAAGCTAGAAAGTCTATGCCAGTGGGGTGTAGCATCTATGCTGGTAGGTTCTACACTGGAGCCGAGAAGTCACACTCAAAACAAGGACCAGGGCTGCCCTGAAAAGTACCACAGCCATCCTCAGCAACACGGAGGTCCCAAGCTTCTCCAATGATAAGAACAGTCGAATACATGCCAGGAAGCCGGCATGACAAGTTTCTCCTGGAGATTAAACAGCACACATGTTCCCCTCTGGAGCCAGGAAGTGATGCTCAATATAAGGACTAAAGCTCACCCAAAGTGAACCACAGACACTCTCACCAACAAGGTCCCAAGCTCCCCTGATGACAACAGTCAAACTCACACTGGGGATGCTAGTCATGATGAGCTCCTCCAGGAGAACCAACGGCTCAAACAGCAACACTTAGAGAAACCCACAACACCACACTCTTCTTTCCATGTCTCTATTTATGCTGGCAACTTTCCTCAGGTAGAACATCTACATTCAGCATCATGCTGACTTAATTCAGCTGGTGTTACGCTGACCAGCAGTTTTTAATCCATTTTAAAAAAATACATATATATATATTAAAGTCAGTTTAGCTTGTCAGTGAGGTAATACCTAGGAAAATGTTAATATTAATTTGTTTTATGTAAGAACACAGTGAATGATTCATTGATGTAGGATATTTACTAAATGGCTATTCTTTGGACCATGCAAGAGTTACAATGGACAGATAACAAGGTGTATATGTCGCCCACCTCCCTGTAGAAGTTAACTGTCAAAAAAAATGCAAGCTTTCTCATGGAGAGGATGCCAGAGGAGACTGAGCTACAGTCTGCACTACCTGCAAAAATAAAGAACTCATCAGGCACATATGGGCTCTCAGACTCCAGGAATAAGGAATTCATGAAGCAAAGCCCCAGAGGGAGACATCGCAAAGTTCTTTTCAGGGACCCCAACAGCTCCAGGAGGAATTCATGTTTGGAAGTAGATGGAGATGGCTTTGAAACAGAAGTGACAAAGAAAGCTGCTTACAAAGTGTTAACTAGGAAGAGGAAATCAATACAGTCTTAAAAGGCATGTACAAATAATCCAAAAATGGATGTCCCCCATGCAAGTATATGAAAGTTTATCAGAATAGGCTCTGAACCACCATCTATGTCAGGTAGGCAAAATGAGATGAAAACTATTCTGGGCTCATAAAAGCATCATGGTCTTTGCAGAAAACATGACTTAGCCCACCCAAAACAGCTGGGCTCCACAGGCTCTGAAGGGCCCCCAGGACCTTGGCAGGACATCCATAAGGTCAAAATGATTTTTATAATAACACCAAGATTTTGTTAGTCATTCTTCTGTGTAAATAGCAGCAACAGGGCAAAAGCATGATGGGCACAAGCTGTTTGTACGTTAGCTCAGGGCAGGGCAGCCCTGGCCAGCAGGTGTAGGGAGCTTCACTGCACATGGGTGCAGCAGATGGTCCCAGGACTCAAATGTGAGCCCAGGGCTGGGGATTTAGCTTAGCCACAAAGTCCTGAGTTCGATCCCTGGTTTAAAAAAAAGTGCACACCCAAAGTTTGAGAATCACTGGCCTAAGGCATGCATGTCTCCAAGCACAGCTGAGAAGACAGTTTTCTATGACAGTAATACAGGAAATGCAGCCATGGTGGTCAAAGAAGTTTTCAAATACAAGATCAAACAGTGTTAAACAAGTGAGTTTAGCATAGGACTTCAGTGTGCATTGCTGTTAGTGTGCTGATGCGTATCGTGGATCACCAAGAGGGTCACTGCCAAGGTGATATGCGTCTGTGTGACTTGGGGAAATCCAGGCTTATACTGTAACTATGATCAACAATGAAAGCCTCCCCTGCTCACTCTCACAAGGATCGAAAGTTGGAATAGTAAATTGTGTTAGTCCTAGTTACAGCTGACAGCGTTTCCTAAATTTATTGAAACATGAAAACTTGTATTTTTTTTTTCCGATTTTGAAGAAGGATTCTATGAAATAAATTCTCTAAGAAATATACTTTGGGAAGCACTACCAAGCAATGAGAAGAAAGAGGAATCAATCTCAACACAGAGAAGTCCAGTGAAACATCTGTTCTGCTTATGGTTGATTTTTAATCAAAGCACAGATACTCATAACTTTATTACACCTTAAAAAAGTTAAATACAGTAGATTTTGTGAGGTGGTTGAATTCAAAGCATAAAACTATGGCTACAACTAAAATGTCCAAAAGAAATACTTTCTTTACTTCAGGATGAGGTGACGATGTTCTCTACAGTAAGAGAATGCCTGTCTTTTCCACTGTGGAGAGGTCCACAGTGAAACTAGTCCAAATATAGTCAACTCAGTTATTTCTTGAAACAAAATTCATCCCAAAATTACAAAAGAGAAAACCAGCAAGGTATGGCCTAGAAAATGCCATAATCATGGAAATACTCTGAAAGCAAAGTTATAGGCTCTCAATATTAGAAATGTTATGATCTAAACTGATCAAACTTCTTCAAAATCTCTTGAGCAGTTAACATGTGCATGATGCACTCAGTGCAAATCAGGTAAAAAACTATCACGACCTGCCAGGGAAATGCAAGCATGCCAATTACCTGGTAGTGCTTTAGGGTCCCATTGATGAGCAGGGCAGACTGCTTCTCCACCCTCTCCGAGATGGCATGAGCCACGGTGTAATAGGACTGGGAGCCCCTGGCACTGTACTGCATGCTGTACTCATCATCGACATCCTGCTTGGCTGTCCTGAGGAATATAACACAAGGAATCACATCCAGACATCTGAGTGTTATTTCATCCAAAAAAAAAAAAAAAAAAAAAAAAAGAATTGAGAGCCTAAAACGGCTGAAGTGTAGTTTAGCAATAATTACATGTCTTGTAGTTAAAACGCATTATCTGCGATACTCAAATAAAACTAGGCAAGGTTAAGTGTTATTATGAGCCCTGGTTTATGTGTGTGAAGAACCTGCATCTCCAAGAGGATATTTCATCTGTCCAAGTCATAAAAGATGCCCCAGTCCTCCAGAGACCAACAGGGGGCTGACCCTAAGAGCCACAGGTCATCTTCACTTTATCAATGAAGTGCTCCCAGCCTTTTAGGATACAGGGATAGATTCTATTCATGCACACTGACTAAAACTTTACAGACAAGTGGGAGAGGATCAAAGAAGACATGAGAAGGGCAGGGGAGAAGAAAGGCAGGCTCCCAGCCTCTGTGCCTTGTCCTGAGTGGTATTTTATTGTATGGGCAATGACAAGCCATTGAGGATGCTTAAAGTCTTCTTAAAGGGAAGAACCAGAAGTAAACTGACATACAAAGGTTGCCAAAGTGGGGCATACAGTCATGGATAAAACAGGACAATACTGAGACGTCTATCCTTGGTTTTTAAAAAAAAACCCATCTTTTAAGGTTTTCCCTTGTGCATACTGAAAGATGGTACCAACTACTGATACTGAGGAGTGGAAGCAGGGTAGGGGAGGTGATTCAGGGCCCACAGAGGGTAGAGGATTCTGGGATGGGGAGATTTGGCAGCTGACCTGGCTAGGACATGCAGGATGGGATGAAGTGGCATTTCAAAGTGGGGCTTCTGGCTAAGAGTCACTGCCACTGTGGGAGGAAGGAAAGGCACAGAAACTGCCAGCTACAGGGTAAGTCTGACTGGTCCAATCTGGGCTAAAAATGTAACAACTGGGGTAAAACCCAGGAGTGAGTTGGTGGGGGTGGAGGTTTCTCAGAGAGAGAAGAAGAAAAGAAAAAAGGAAGAAAAAGAAAAGAGAAAAGAGAAAGGAGAGAAGAGAGGAGAAGAGAAAGGGATGGAAAGACAGCAGTAACACAAACCTCTCAACCCTGAGGGGCTGGAGGTCAGATATAAACCCTGAGGGGCAGGCAGAGTGTCAGCAGGAAGGTGGATGCCTCCCCTAAAATTCTCTTTAAAAATCTAGAGTACGCCCCTCATGCAACACACTTTCATGGGAGAAAACTCAGAGATACACACTCAATTATCTGCTTAGCATCCTTTTCGGAAACTTCTTCACTGTTTGGATCCAGCAGGATTTTCTCTTCTGTTTCCTGCCTGCTTGACTCTTCTTCCTCATCCTGGAAAAGAAACAAAGATATTGGGAAACTAGATTTTCACAAAGAAATTCTGCAGTTGGTATCTTTTAAAGAGAGATTAGATAGTACTTAACTTATAAAAGTGGAGAAAGTAAGAACCATTAAGGGAGAAAGTAAATTTAACATCTGCTTCTACCAGGCAATTCACCATTCCATTGATATTCAGATCACTGAATGAGATAACAAATGGGCCCTCTGGAGATCCCTGCCTAGACCCTTGCTCTGAAGAATAAAAATGTAAAAACCATGCCAGAAAGATGAATATGGTATCATCTGGCTATCAAAGAGTCCTCTGACCATATGTGCTCTCCATGCTCCAAAAGCAGACTTCAGAGATTTTAACATCCCCCTTCTTCTAAAACTGCTCTCTGATAATTCCTGCAGAATGTGGAGAAACCAGAGCCTAGGAACATATGTTGCTTTCTATGGCTGTCTCGTATCAAGCATTTCTGAGTATTAGAAAAACACTATCACTAACTTAACAAAGGATTCATTACATCCCTCTCAACTGTGTACCACATTCCACTGATCAGTCTGTTAGTGCTACCAGGTGTTCATTATGTCCACTCTAACTGGTTATTAAAAGCAAGTTCAATGGTGAGCATACTTTTCTATAATGCTTGAATGAAAACCTGTGAGTATCAACACTCAGATCAAACTAATGACGACAGACCATTCAGAAATAGGTTGTGCACTGAGGACTCAAAATCATACCTTCCTCTGATAGGTGAGGAAAAGCACAGAGGCCCAGTCGCTTGGACTCACTTGTGACTCCGGGCTCCTGTCTCCTCCCATCAGTCTATAGATATCTCTGGGTGTCGGTCTCAGGGTGGCATCTGCTGGCTAAGCAGCCCACTTTATCTTACAGTTGCCCTCTTTGGCTCTCTTAGAGAGAAAACTCTTCCAATAGATCATTTATGAGCCATTTTGCCAGAATAAATAAAGAAAGATATTAGCTGGGGGGAAAAGTTAGAATGCTCCCCAAAGCACTGCCTTTTCATAGTTCAGATTTGTTCAATGCAATTTTCATTATTTTTCAAAAGTAGTGAGGACTGGGGATGTAGCTCAGTGGTACAGCATCTGCTTGGCAAGCACAAAGTCCTGAGTTCAATTCCCAGTACCAACCAAAAAAAACCAAAAAAACAAAAAACAAAACAAAACAAAACAAAACAAAACAAAAAAAAAAAAAAAAACCACGTTAGAGATAAATATAAAAAAAAATAGAAGGAAACTAGAATTATCTTAAAATCATGGAAAGCTATTGTCAGAAACACTGCTTTACCTGGTCCTGGGTATCTATATTGTTGGAATCTTTTGCATCAATTCCTCTACTCTACGAATATCACATCTAACAAGTATTAACAATATTGTAGCAAAAGAGAACAAATTGCTCAATGCTTTTATTTGCAATAATTAAACATTTTATAACTGGCCTAATGAACATCTTTAATTGGCTCTTAATTTCTGTTCAAAGTATCCAAGATTTCCATTTAGAAATAATGAGAAGTCTCCATTTGACTCTTCCGGGAGAACATGGCGGACAGATAACAGCAACTACCGGCAGCTCTCTGAAAGACTCGGCTCAGAAGCCAGGAATGGTGCAGACTAAGGAGACATAAGCAGGTGGAGATATGCTCTGCTGACTCAGAAACGAACTGGGCTGAGAGAAGCCAACTTGGAATGCAGTCCTGGTGCTAAAACAGGAACAGAAAAGACTCGGTGTGGAGGCTGGAACCGCGCCATTGTAAGCCGCGATTTGGGTTTCCCGCCGCGCAGCGGCTGGCTGCCTCTACAGCGGCTCGGCAAGGGGAGAGACGTGCAGAAGCTCTGAGAACGGCAATCTGCGAACGGCAGGGAGGCGTGCACTGACTTATGGTGAGGTGAGTGAGAGAAACTGACACTCTACCACAGTTTGACTCCAGCAGAGGACTTTCTGGGCCCGAGCAGTCCTGCGGGAGCAGGGCGCGGTGGCGACTCCAGCCACACATCCCCCTCTCGGGCGGGATTGGTGAAAAGTGCCTGGCCTGCGTGATGCTGCCGGCGGACCTGGTAGACTGTCCCAACCCAGATCCCAGAGCCTGACGGTGGCCGGGAGGGGAGACGCATAGGCTGCCTGGTCTGTAACTCCCTGGTGCGCAGCGGTGAGCGGGAACACCTAACTGGCGCAATTCGATCAGGCTGTGGCTGACTGGGAGAGAAGCTGGGCCTCTTATATAAGCTTGCATATATAAGGAACAGAGAAGAAGAGGCAGCATGGGAAAAGGCAGCAACAAGAAAGGCTCCTCGGCCCCCAATTCTGAGAAACAGGCAATAGCAGACACCGCACCAATACACATAAGGCACCATATAGAGAGCCTCATAGACCAATTCAGGAATGAAGTTATCAACGACCTGAAGCTAGAAGTATGCAGAATAGTTAGAGAAATGCTAAGCACCACCCAAGAAAAAACAGGTGGTGGAATGGAAGAACAGAAAAAAAGGGGAGAATTGTTTGATGGAGAAAACAGAGAAAGCATAGAATACGTGAAGCAGGTTCAAAGGGACTACCAAGATACTAAGAAGTCTATCGAAGACTGGCATAACAGCTTGAAAGAAACTAAGGACAGACTATCTGAACTGGAGGGCAGACTTGTAATATGGGAGAATGAAATGAAAAACTTCTTAAAAATAACAAAGAAACAAACAGCAATAATACAAAGACAAGAAGATGATAAGAGGATCCATAACTTAAGGATTAAGAACATAAAAGAAGAAGTAGGGATGCAAACAAGTGAACTACAAAAGCTACTCACAGAAATAATCCAGGAGAATTTTCCTAATTTAGCAAAAGGTAAAGATACTCAGATGTATGAGGCATACAGGACCCCAGCTACCTACAACCCAAACAGAGCAACACCCAGGCATATAATAATAAAAATTCCAGAAATTCAATACAAGAACAGAATATTAAAAGCTGTAAGAGACAAGAAACAGACCACTTACAAGGGAACACCCATCAGAATTACAGCAGATTTCTCTGCACAAACCATCAAATCACGAAGAGCGTGGGGGGAAATAATTCAAGCATTGAAAGATAATAATCTCCAGCCAAGATTGAGATATCCTGCACAACTGTCCCTGGAAATTGATGGAAAAACAAGGTGCTTCCAGGATAAAGAGGAACTGGGGGAATTTGCAACCACCAATTCAACTCTACAGAAAGTATTGCAGGATATTCTAAAAAAAGAAAAATACAAAGAACCCAGAAATAGTGGCGGGGAGGCCACAACAAATGGAGCAGAGAACAAAATGAAGAAGACAAACTGACAGCTACTGACAGAAAAAGAGCTTAACAGAAATGAGGCAGAGAAGATTGGATGATAGGAACAGCTATTTTGGAGAAAATGACATCTTAATAGGTAATACTGATTTAGTATCATCTTGTTTTGAAGTCTCATCTAGCTTTTGTCCTTCTGTCTCCAATGGTCTAAATAGGCTGTATCTTATTGGATTTTATTATGTACGATAGTATAAGCAAAAACCTTTTAAAGACAAGGAGATTATACAGAAACCATTGTTCATTTTCTGTTAGTCGATTCTAAATACTCTGTAATGCTGTCATTCTCTTGAATGGTTTTACATTGTTTTGATATACTTAATGCTACAGTATACGAAGTTGTACTCAAGGATTTCAAAGAAAGAAACAATATGGTAACTACTTTTAGGTTAGGATTATCTGGTGGTGAAACACTATTCTGCTTAAATGGTTATGTTTTGATCTGCGCTGTTTCGTTGTTATGCCCTCTTTTATCTCAATCTCCACTCCATTATTTACTTTTTTATCTTTATCCTTTTAATTAAAGGAAAAAATAGCAGGATATATTATAGTAACCCATTTTGACTTTTCATTACCTTGATTTAAAGCCCTGTATTACTCTCACCATCTGGTTTTTAACTGATGTTCCCCTATTCTGTTTTGCTGGATAGTATCAGGTTCGAAAGTTTAGGCATCAGCTGTGAAGATAATGAGATTCATTATGACGCCCATTCTTGTTGACTTTTAGCTACTTTTGAAGACCTACAATGTCTCCAATGTTTTGGTTTTGTTGGTTTTATTCTTTACTGTTTTGTTCAATTGTATTATAACTAATGATATAGGCAATTCTATTAGAGATAGCGGGAGACATTATGGTAACCATTGTTGATCACCTGTATTATGTTTTTACATTATCTATTATGTCCACCCTTTTGACTTGACCGATTCTGTTCTGTTATGTCACATTTGGTTTTACTCTCTTCCAAAAAAGTAATAAGAACCGTGGGAGCAATGAAACCCAAAATGTGTAATAGTCATGGTACAAAAGAGAGGAAAAGAAAGTGCTCTAAACTATATAACTGCATGTATATTTAAGTGTATAAGATAGAAAATGATATCACAGAGTTTTATTGGATCAATGAACAGAACTGTTTGCAGTATCATTGATGGAATGTCCACTTTACAAGCTTTAATTTTGTGACTTGAACAATTATTTCTAAGATGACAATATGTAATCCATTAACTAGTGATTTCCTACTGTTCATTTTTTTTCTGTAAATCTGTATAACTTGTACCCTTTCCCTGCTTTTTTTTCTTTTCTCCTTAAATAAAATTTAAAAAAAAAAAAAAAAAGAAATAATGAGAAGTCTTTCCAAGAGACTGAGGAATGTGCTTTTCTTTTCTTTGAGTAACAAGTACATTCAAGGATACAACAAGAATCTCAGGAAGAAATTCAAAGGATCGATACACTTGTTAAGCCAGGCCTGTGTCACCTTTTACATGTAAGTTCTCAGATTTAACAACCTCAAAAAGGCTCTAAGCCCTAAAGGACTTCAGAAATTTTTATGTAGTTAACTGTCACTGTGAACCGCTCAGTGACATGGGACTTCCTTTCCCAAAGTAATCTATCTTTAATTCTCCCCAAAAAGACCTTTTCACCATCTTGAGTTTAATGCCAGCTTTTCTTTTCTTTTCCCAAATGAATTCAAGATTCTTCAAGTTTTCCCATCAACCAGGAGTCCCCAAGAGATAGCTATACCACCAGGCAGGGAGCATCAGAGATTTTGCAAACCTTTGGTCCCAGTTTTAATTAAAAGCCAACCCTTGAGAACAAGGTGTACAAGGACTTGTAGATGAGCCCTGTGTTTAGGCAGAAGTTTCCCATCAATTTTCAAAACAGTAACCCTCCAACGGAGATATTTACATACCTCCTCCTCGTAATCAGAATCACTCTCTTCACTGTCAGATCTAGGGGCAACTTCGTAACTAAGGAAAAGGAGCGGAGAAGAGGGGAGGCTTAGTTTTTTAAAATTATAAAACCATACAGACACACACGACTTAACTAGCACATAGTCTGTATAGACGATTAATGAAGATAATCACTTCTACCACCTCAAAGGCTGTGTTGTCTTAATTTCAAAATTTCACAAGGAACACCAAAATCTAAGAAGCCCAAAGAATACCAGTGCCATGACTTGTCATGCCATACCCAGGGTTCATTTCCAACCAGGCGTCCAGCTGACTTGCTTTGGGTGCTTCTGGTCCAAACAGGACCTTGCCGGTTTCTGTGTGAGTCACTTTGACAGGCAGATCACTCATCTGACTACTCTCATCTATTGGCTAGAAGGAGAGAGGGAGAGAAAGACAATCATGTCACCTGGATGTAGAAGACATTCTCCCAGTTCTGTGTTAGATGCTCCTCAGCCTTTTTGCTGCCCAGCATCTGACACATTTGCTGTATTTTGAATTCCACCACCTAATGAGTCTTGGTGGGAAGTGAAAGGCCATGTTCCACTAAAGAAACGGAAAACAGACATCTGTAGCAGCTAAGGTGCAGGCACAGGACCTCAGCTCCTCCAGTTAGATACGCTCACAAAGACCCTCACTCCGGGGCCACACGTTCAGAGGAGTGCGAACCACCAAGAGCACAGGAGAAGGCGGTGAAGAAGACAGCAGTGCCTGTGAGCTGGCCCTGGCGTGTCAGGCACCTGCTTGCTCCCAGAAACCACGTCTTTCCCGGACCAGCTGTACATTACCAAACTGGGCACAGCCCTGAGTCAGAGTCCACGGTATTTCTGGAGAGCTGATGAGTGACCTAATTTGAAAATCCAAAATGTGACACATTTTGAGCACTGACACTCCGAGTGGAAAATTCCATATCTGATTCCATGGAACAGGTTACAGTCCAAAGAAGTACACTAAACATACTGTGTAAAATTACCTTCAGATTATGTGTACAAGCTGTATATAAGGCATAAATGAAATACATATTTGATTTGTCTTATCCCTAAAATATCTCTTATGCATAGGCAACTATTGCAAAATTTTAAAATATCTTAAATACAACTGGCCTCAAGCACCTAGGATGCTCAGCCTGTGATACATTCTCTTTTTATTTAAGGAGGTCAGAATTAATTTTGGTCATTCAAAAGTGACACTCCTCAAGCCTTACAACTAATACTCTCCAGGTAACAACAGATACTGCAAAGCCGTGGCTTAGGAGAAAATAGAAAAGGAAAAGATAATGTGGCTTAGAGACATCTCATTAGTAGCTAGTTTGGATTCTACAGAACTGGTGCTCTTTATCCAAAACCAATCCAACAAATATCTAACTCAATCACTATATTAGAGTGTGATTTTTAAAAAGCCTGCTTATTTAAAACCTATGGAATTGAGGGAAACTGAGCTGGAGTTCATTACTGGACTCTATGGACAATGGTTTGCTCAGAAAATTAAGAGAATACGTTAAACTTCACAGGTTGCATTTAACATACTCTCGAGGACACACCATTTGAAAAGGCCTGAAAACGGAGCAGTTCTATGCAAATGAATGCTGCTGATTACAGGGTGACTGATTTGTAGGAGCAGACCCTCAGTCAGATGTTTGGAAGGGCTTGATTTGTGCTTCAAGTTTGCTATTTCCTGAAGCGCTAAGAAATGGGATGTTTAGGCAATTCATTATTTCAAGGAATTTTTCCTAAATTATTCTTTTTTGTGGTCAAATAAATATAGAAAACACGATCCACTGTAATTAGGATTATCGTATCATTTACTATTATAATTAAGAAAAATGATAGGAAAACGAGTATGCCTGAGGTTACTTTTTATGTCTTATAGGAATCAACCAAACAAGAAAGAAAAAAAAAAGTGAAACCACAACCCTAGTAGCTTTTTTTCTACCTACTTGTTCAACAAAGCACTGTCAGACTAAGAAACAATCTATGTGTGACTATTCACAAAAATAACCTTTAAAAAAGGCTCACTCTGCACTGCCTTTTCCCTCTCTTCTGATGCAGATTGTCACTATGGTTTTGAGTGCTACTGCTTTGCATGGCAACAAGATGCTTTTTCCTTATTAATACAAAAGGTCATTTATACACTCACAAGACAAAGAAGAAAATCTACCATTTGCTATCATCTCCCTCAAAAACTCACATCCTGTTATCTCTAACTATTTAACACAGCTTCTTTTATTGCTCATGTCATGCCTCAAAGAAAACTGGAAATCACTGTAGCTGGAATTAGAACTTTGGCAAAAGCACTGCCTGAGCACAGAAGAATAATAAGAACATTATTTTTCAAAACAAACTGAGCAAGCTGTCTACCTTGCAAACTCCAGCTATCAGAACTCACGTGTGTTAAAATTCAAAGAAAAAAGATATATGTCATAAACCCAAATTAGTAGCCAATTTTCCCAAGAGATAAGAGCACTATAAAACTAATTTGTTAAATTTCTGCCTGTATCCTTGTTTATCACAAACTGACATGTGGCATGCTTAGGGAAGGCTGGGTTTTTGCAAGTTGGAGTTATTTCGTTCTTCTTCTTTTTTTTGAGTTGCTTCTAAGTGCTCTAATATATAGTATCCTTTGCTCTTAACAGCTCACAGAGCGTTTCTTACACATTAGACATTTATCCTGATTCTTTCTTTCCTTGTGATGGATTATAGTGGTTAGGTGACATTTATTTTCAAGAGGTTTCCACATAGAAGAGTGGCTCAACCTTTTCCTGCTCCCAGGCTCTTTGAGCTCACAACAGGACTCCTGTGCATAGTGATTCTAGGATGGCAATGGGCAACCCCCACCCACCCCATCCGCCAAGCAGGTTTGTCTGAATCTATGAGAGAAAAAGGTGTTTTGAAGCCAAATCTCTTTTCACCCTGTGCTGGGCACGTGCTTCCACACTGCAAATCAGCAGCAGAGCTCCTTGCATTTTTCAGGAAAAAAAAATCAAACAAATAAATAGATAAATATGTTCATAAAATTTAGGACTATGCCCATGTGTATATAGAAATGTCAAAAAATATACAGACACTTTATTTTTATAAATTTCAAATAAGCAATAAACTAGGGTCATATTTTATGTTTCTGTATCACTTACTAGGAAACTATAAAGAATCACTTAAGATTCTTACACATTTTATCTATTCCTATCTGGGCCTATCTATGTACAGAAAATTCTGGAACATTATACAGAAGAAACTGGGTATCACTTGATTGATAATCTAAAATGAAAGATTAATTTTCACTGAGTGTTTTATGTTATTTTAATTTCTATGATGTAATATACTATTATCTTTAGTTAAAAATGATTAGTTGAGAAAAATAAAATTAGTATACAGAGAAAGGTATTACAACATAAAGCAGGTCCCCACTCAGCAAACCACAGTGAAAAGAGAGGCCATCTCCCTTACCTCTCCGTCAGGTCCTAGGGCAGACTCTCCTCCCTCAGCATTCTCTTCAGCTTTCTGCAAAACAACAACATGAAATGTTAGTGCAAATCCAGAGGAAGGGCCAGGGCTCCATGTCACTCCGGTACCGCCACCCATCACCCTGTAATAAAGCGTAAGTGTCAATGCCAAGTATTTTTATTTCTCCTTGCTATGTGAGACAAAGCATGCATTGTATTACCAACTTGCAAAGAGTCATTTAAAGCCAGATGTGATTCGAGGTCAGCACACTAGAGATTTGTGGATTGTATCTTTAGGGACCCAAAGATCATAAGGCATGGCAGCATCAAGATAGCAGTCAGGATCTGAAGTGTTTTTCTTGTGTTTGGCACTGTGAAGACAAATCCTGACATAATTAGCTCAACTTCCCTATTCCCTAAGCAAGTTTTCATCAGCAATGAAAAACAACATTCTAAAAATGTCCATCAAGAATAAGCTCTGAACCGCTGCTGGGTCATAAAAAAAAACGAAATTCTGTGAGTTCCCTAGGTGTTTTTCATTCAACATAATGGCCTTCATAATGCATAGTGTTTCCACTGTGTGAATATGGGGAAATTGGAGGTGCTCAATGTAATCTCATGAAACATTCTGTCATCTATGGTTCACTAAATATTCTAGTATCTTAGTCCATTAGCGTTCATGTGCCTTAAGGACAACTAACTGAGAAGCTAAGATTACAGTACATTTTGCACAGACGCACAAAAATCTTTTATGTAATATATACCAAACAGTCTAAAGTCTGTTCTGTTTACAATGATTGTCTGGTTACTTTTCTCTCATTGCTGGGACAAAATACCCAACACCCAAAATGAAGGAAGGAAAGGTTTGTTTCTTACAGTTTGTGGAGGTTTCAGTCCATAATCAGCTGACTCCAAGGCAGGGTGGCATGGCGCTGGGGCAGCGCTTCAAGGCAGCAGCCAGAGCAAAAGCAGCCAAAGCAAAATCAGAAAGAACAAACCTCTTCTCCTGGCTAATTCTGTACACAGGCCTGCAGCCCCTCCACCCAGGGCGGGTATAGCACTCACAAAGTCTCCTTGCCCTCCTCTTGCACAGGATAGGATATTTACAAAGAACCCCCCCTGCCCAGTCTCTGAGTTAAACTTCTAAAATGCTCAAGTTGATACAATGTATCAACCATAACAATGACCTCTTCCACAAGTGAAATATTTTATGTCACTTTTACAGAATCTTTTAACCTTATAACTAAAATGCTGTCCGACTTTATGCAATATGATAAAGGGGATAATTTTAGTCATTACCTTTATCAAGATATTTAAGAAAATGAATTTTATCTATTGGACTCTTTAATTAAAATACACAGACACACATATATATTCATAAATAGATACACACATATATAATAATATATGGAATCAATATTAACTTTATGCCATGATTCTGTTTCAATAGCATCCTCAATAAAGAAAACACCTATGAAAAAAATCTGATATTTAAAATCTGGCCTTTTTGGTCGGGGTGCAGTGCAGTGGGAGAATGTTTATTTACTATGGTTGAGGCAAGAATTCAATAATGAACACTACAAAAAAAAAATCTAACCTTTCTTCTACACTGAAGAAAAGCAACACTATGAATGCTTGAAAATTTCAAAATTCTTTTCAAATGTAATTTTTCTTACCCATATATCTGTGTATATGCCAAAGCATGAGGCATAAAAACAATGTAGATTCTACTAAAAAGTAGGAAACAAAATACTCCATTTGGTTGTCATTGCCCAAGAATTCAATTGTCTGTTTATGCCACTCTGAAGTGAAAACTCAGGAAGACTATGAATCAACCAGGCTCGTTATCTGGGCCAGGGGATACAGCCAGCAACAGCATAACCCCTCAGTTCAGAAAGGAAACCATCGCCACCACCAGACAGGGAGGGTTCCACTTTTGGAATTCTCAGGGGATGGTTATAATTAATGGAAGGAAGTCAATTCACGCCACTATTCTTTCCATACAAACCAGAAATAAGCTACAAATTGGGTTGACAAAGAAAATCAAATGAGACAATGAAAAAGTCAATTTCAAATATCCAGCAAGAAGAACTGATCACCATTTCAATGAATAACACATAAAAAAGTTCGAAGCACCATAAATGAAGAGAATCAAACTTTCTAAAGGAGAGCCTCCTTATGAGCTAGCCAGAGCGTTATCTAAAAACTACCTCAGAATCAGGCCCTTTCATTAAAGTCTTCTAAATTATTTTTTATTCTATTAGATATTGAATTCAAAAAGCAAAGCTTTATTAAATTTAAGCCTCTTGGTTCTGGAAGAGACAGTCTGAGTGCTATTCCCAGCTCTGTGACTAAGTACAAGACCTAAGCATTATAATCTTGAGCAAATATGTCTCTCTTTGCATCCAGGTGTCCTCAGTAAAATCGGGATAATAACAGACCCAAGACGGTTTGCAGGAGAGAGTCACTGTTTCAATATGTTAATGAAATATTCTATGTATTTCCACGGCACTGTTAAATCTTCATATATGTCAATGGTATTCCAGGGTTATTCTTTTAAGTCTGAAATTAAGAGTAGCGAGAACAAGCTGAGTGGTGTGGTGCCATATTCCTATAATCCCACCACACAGAGGCTAGCTAGGTCAGAAATACCATAAATTCAAGGGCACCCTGGGCAACTTAGTATGGCCATATATAAAGGGGGGAAAAAAAGAAAAGAAAAACCTGACTATAACATTGTCTGGAAATTACATCACAGGGCTACAAGGTTAGCAATTTCTGTTTCTCTGGCTCCCTGCCTAGTTTCCCCTCCAAAGGCAGCCTAGCAGTTAAAAGTTACTAAATAAACATTTGGTAAAAGAATGAATGGAGACACCAAAAAACGATGTTTTTCCACCTAGAATATACTCCCTGAATTACGTGCCCATATATTTGAATAACAGTTAAGAACAGGTACATACAATTTGTCACTGAACTGGGCTTCAGTGTGACCTCTCTCATGCACCAGCTATGCTTCAACCCAACTCTGCTACACTGTTATAAGAGGGGGAAACCAGGTGGCAGTCTGCTGTATGGCAAAAGATGGCCACTTCACTCATCATGTTTGAATGCTTTCAGCTTGGTGATGATCTCTGGTTCAAGTGCTTTCTTACATCTCTATTCTCTCATCAACCTGATGCTTTAACTCAAAAAAAAAAAAAAAAAAAAAAAAAAAAAAAAAAAAAAAAAAAAAAAGAAAAGAAAAGAAAAGGAAAACAACTCAAAGCCAAAACCCCCTCCCCTATTCAAATTTATACCCAAACGATTGCAATGGGTGCTACTTCTTGAACTACCTTTGGACAGGGTGAACACCTGGCGAAATGCTCTGCTGCTTTTCATCCACAGTTAACTGTATCGTGGAACTGCAAACATACACTCAACGTTACTGGCTGACGCCTGAACTTACATCCATTGATTAAAAAACCAAAACAAGACACTGCAGTTCATTCATTAATCAAGACTGGAGAAATTCTGCATTGGTTTTGCCTACCTACAAAAAGTTTAGAACTAATTATGCATATGTAGGGAGGGAAGAGTATAATTAAGCTATTCACATAAGGGGAACCGTATGACACAAATTACTGGTAAGTAAAGACTACTCATTAGTAAAAATTACTCAAACTAAAGACAGTTTGGGTTCCTGTTATCAAGATCAATGTCAACAGAAATCCTCTATTTAGGAATGGTCATAAGCCTAAGTGTGGGCTACTCATCTTTTTTGTCGAAAGTATATAAAATAATAAGCATTTGGGGTGTGGAAAGAACGGAATACCTAAATATAAAAATCATGTATACATGGAAATCAAGAAAACAGACTTTGGTGGGGCACTTTATTTTGATTACTACAATTCAGGGGCTACAAACAGCCTCGTTTTATAAAGAAACAGCTTTATGTCAAATATTTTACAATCCATACAGTAAAGTGATTACACTTTATCCCCCAACAAGTACTGTGATGATATGCTGAAACCACATTCAACTTTGCTGGCAACTGAAGGACGCATTCTGTTTCGCTGGAAATCCCACTTTACAGGAATCACTTGGGTTATTTTTACCATCATTTAAGTGGGCCTATGAGCAGTAAAATAGATCAGAACACTTTTTTAAAATGTCCAGGAATATCAAATTAACAGGCATTTGCACATTACTTGGATTGTGTCTTAAAAAGAAAACCAATTGGAACATTCTGACTCAGCCAACTGGTCAATCCAGTCAAACAAGACGAATCCAAACTGCTGCTTTCACCCATTTTGACACTGAAGTGATAAAATAATTCTAATCACTGAGGTATTGTGTTCACCTACTCTTACAATAGTCTTACAATCAATGTGCAGAAGTGCCTTAGAACCTTTTTTTCACCTATGAAAATTTTGCAAAGGAAAGCTGCAATAAACTATACGATCTTCAGGGAAGTGTAAGTGATAAAAAATTGAGAAAAACCCAAGAGTAACCTGAATTTAAAATAAATATGATTATGATTTTCTTTTCTGATGTTCTTTTCACTCAAAATAATGCCAATTGAACTTCTCAGATTTTTTGTTTATGTCTAAAGGGTTAAGAAATGCATTTCTTGTCACTATACTGAGCAATAAATACATCATGGCAGGAAGAGTCCCCCTCCAATGCACAACAGTCCAGAGTTTTACTTGTAATAGTAGTCAGAGAATTAGAGAGTTAGAGAAAAGAAATGAGAGAGAGAATAAAACATCTTTCAGAAAAAAGGAAAAGATGGTGATAAAACAACTAAGAGCTATCTAGCTCACTGCTGAATTATCAGAGAATTACTGAATTCTCTGAGCACATGTCCATTAGTACCCTGGATTTTTACGGAATGTCACAAATAAATAACATGAACATAGTTCTGCTGGTTTACCTCCCACTGGAAGACATGGAAAGAAGAATTACATATTTATTTTTGGTTTGATGGCAGGCAGCAGTGGAAGCTGAACCCCGGAAATGGCTAGACTTCTGAGCAGTGGGCCGGGTACGGCTGGCATGAGCTCTTAACCACAGCTTAAGCAAAAGGTACCCTAAAGCACTGTGAGAAATACCTTATTATCACCAGAAATTACAGGCCATCTAATTAGAAATTTTTCTTCATGGATCTGAAGAACATAGTGGTAAGCAGAGCCCACCAAAAATTTAAAAATCCTCTTTCTTCTTCTGTAGGTCCCCATAATTAAAGACTCTACTACCAACCTAAAAGACATCTTCCCACTAAATAGTCAGCTGATCCTCAAAGAGGACAATATGGTGACAAAGTATATGAAATCAGGGAAAAACAATTTTTAATTGTATTTAGAAAAACATAATTCAACAATCATGATTTCACTTTTACTAGTCAATAAATAATATTTACTGAACACTTCCTGTGTTTCAAAGAATGTTCTAAAGAGCAACACTTTCCAAATCTATGTGGCATGCATGTTTTCCTATCATTCTCAAAGGACCGAGAGACTGATGCACTATGTGACAGACCTTTTAATACAATGTCCTATAAGACAATAATGGTAAATTAATATGCATAAGTTTTCTTATGCAACAATGAGTTTAAAGACCATATGTTAACACAATGTGTCCAGTCAGCTAATCTACCAGCACAGGAATGCTCATTAATAGAAATGTCTGCAAATAGATGCAGACACCTATACTTCTAATTCGATCCTCCCTGTTAACCCACAGTCACCTGTAGAAACTAAGCCTGGCAGAAAACAGAGACCCTGAGGTGATGCTGAATACCATAATCCAGCACATTCATCCTGAAACACAACAGAGATTGGCTTCACATAATTTGATGTTTCAATACTTTAAAAATCATTTCTCCTCTGACCCTTAAGTAGGTCCATACAGTTTACTTCTTTTTTTTTCCAACTCAAAGACAGTAATGGAAGACAGGCCAAGAATGAGAAGCTTCAAAATGACTTATAAATCTATATTGCATAGAAAAGTCCCTCCTGGGCAGAAAAGGAAATTAAGCAAGGTCATGATAGGTTTTCAGAAATCCACCCTATTGTTCACAAGCAAGAGTGAACATAACAAATTCCCTAAAGACAAAGGCCTTCTCTGTCTCACTGAGAAATTTTATTACAAAAAAAACCCCATATTGTTGTCCAATTAAATTTCAAGGTCAACCTTATTCAACTTCAGTGGCACAGTTCTCAAAGCTGTCTGTATATTACCGGTTTTTCAGTGTTGGGAGCAGCTCAGGGCTATTACCTCATTGGGTAATGTAGGGTCTCTCAAAATAAAGTGCTAATGTCTAATGTTTTAAATTGTGGACAGTACAACATTGAACATGGGAAACTACTAAAAAGAACAGTGCAGAGCTCTTTGGTTTACGGCTGCCAAAGGCTCTTCCATCACAGAGAACCTGGAGCAAGTAACTCTCAATCATTCACTCTAATGGAGGAGAGAAGAACTATATAGATAATCCAATGTCGAATAATCAGCTTTGCAAAACATCCCTTTCCTTTGAACTTGAATGATGGTACATCTGGAACTAAGCAATTCATTTAGAACTAAGTCAAGGCCCCGTGAATGAGACTGGGTTGAGGAAGGGTTAAGAGCCTTAGTGTCACCCCCAACCCTTTTTAAATCCCACTTCTTCTGGCAAGATAGATAGTCCAGGAAGGAAACACAACCCCTCTCTTCACATTGCTAGGAGCATCCATACTCAGATGCTAGGTAGGCATCCTGAGAGAATGTGAAAGAGGAGGTAAGTGGCTGAAAAAATATAAAAATCTCTCACAATGACTATATGAGATAAACAACCGGAGGTGCTCAGAGATCTCCACATTGCTTTGGTAGCTATTATTTATTTGCCAAGAGATTGGACCCAACCTCCAATTTGACTCAAGTTTGCCTTCTCAGTATTCATCATCTTCTGTAATTATTTATCTTTTTGTACATGCTTAGTTAATGGCTGACCATATTTCATTTTAGTCTCTCTTGTACACTACCCAGGTTCATAGTAAATGTACAGCTAGTAGTTTTTGAGTAAAAGCACAAAAACAAAGGTTTAAGTGCTATTAGCAAAACTGAATGCAAGAATTTGGAAGGAGGTGTCAACTATACATTTTGTACAGTAGGTACCACCATGAGAAATACAGTGGCCAAGTCCCTGCTCTGCACCGATTAATGCAAAACATGTATAATCATCAACATCCAACTATGTCTTTGCCTATGATAACAAAACTGTCTTAATACCATAGCAGGAATCTATTATCAATAAAATAGAAGCTCAAATCTGTCCCATTACTTTTTAATACCAACAAAATACAGAATATATACTTTATATCAAATATACCAACAGTGGTCATCTCTATACAACACACCATTAGAGTTAAAAAACTAAAATAGTCATTTTATGGGGTCCACTAAAGCAGTGCTATAGAATTGCATTTCCTTGCCTATGGGCCTCTCCCTTAATAAATGAAAATGCCTTTTTAAATCAGAAATTGGGAGCTGGAATTTTGCAGTCTGCAACTCTACACTGACAAGAAAATGAGCTCTTCCTCACCAACAAAATGTCTAAATCCAATCCCTGAGTCATCCTCTTCATCTTCACAATAAGGAAAGCTATCTTATGCTAGAGAAGCTGGGTGCAAGAAGGTGCCTTCTCAAAAATTTATTCCTCCCCCTTAATTATGAAACAGGTACAAGAATTCAGGAGCCATGAAATTAATTATTTTCTGAAAAACATTTTGTTCAATTATTCACTGTAGAGAATAAATGATTAAACGCTACCAGACCTGTCTTTGCAGTTCTGACGAAGACCTTCTGTTGATGATTGTACCCGGTCTAATCAGAAGTGATCATGAAAACAAAATCAAGTGGCCCCTCCATACCCATGGGGGTTTATACCTAGGACCCCTGTGGATCACAAAGTTTGAAGATGCTCAACTTTCTTATATAAAACATCTGCCTGTACCCTATGCATATCCTCCCATATAATTTAAATCATTTCTAAATTACTTAGAATAACTGTATAATGCAAATATTATGTAACCCATTGTTATACTGTACTGTTTAGGAATAATGCAAAGAAAAAGATCTACATTTTCATTACAGGTGAGTGGTTTTCTCCTGAAATATTTTCAATTGAATACCATGAATATCTTGCTTGGTTGAATCTAAACTGCAGATATAGAAGGCTGACTACTAGGCAAGAACTAGATTACTGGACAGTTTAGGCCTCCAAAAGGACCTGTATTCAGAGATCTATCCTTAGCAAATTACTCTTGAATTGGCATATAAATACCTGGAAAGCAAAGATACTAAATTTTACCCTTTATTTCTCATAAAGGGTAAAAGGATATACTTCATAAAAGGTATTTTTTCTGTAACTACCCCAAACACTTACCTTACTGCAACCTCAGGATATCAGAACTGAATAAACAGTATCTCAGTATCAAACAAGCTAAAATTTGTACCACAAGTATCCCAAAACTATCTCCCACACCTTCCTCTGGCTTATTCCTACCTGTATCCTGTACTGCTCTCTTAAATATCCTCCTAGTTTCTTAACTCAGCAGTTTCCCTGCCACACTGTCATTGAAGTTATGCAAGTATTTGTCTTTCCTTCTTCTGCTGATAGTGTGTGCTTGATTTAAAATATTATACTGTATTGAACCATGAAAATATAGACTGCATTGCTTCAGTTGAATACATCCAATCTACTGTACTCATCTCCAACACACTGTCTTGTTTCATACCATATCAGATTACATAATCGTTGCTTCAGTAATCCAAACCTTCCACTACTGTAGGAAGTAACACTTATTAAGGTGCAAATCTTAAACTATCTCTGCGCATGCAGCACGGCCTCCACCACCACCGAGATGGTACTCACCTTCTTCTTCCTCCTCCTTTTCTTTTTTTCTTTGGCTGCTTGGGCTTGCTTGTGCTCCCAAACCAAGTTGGTGAGATTAGCCACATATTCGTCAGTCTGCTGCAAAAGGTACGCCAAACGCCTGTCTTTCTTCTGATCGATCAGTTTCCTATAGCCCTCTTCATCTTCAGCCTGTTAAGGAAGGAAGAGAAGGCTGAAAGCGTTACACACCTATGGACAGCTCCATTTCATACTCCTCTCTCTGCTCCACAACCTGAAGCTTGACGAGGAGTGGAGAAACGGGATAAGCCAGGATGCATGAGCCAGGGCAGCAGGTCGGGGACTCAGCAAACAAAGTGCAACCCTGCTGCCTAGGACCCTAGGGGTCAAAGCAAAGTCAGAGCTCAAAGTGCTGTGTGAGGTGTGATCAAACACTGTGAGGCAGCTCTTGGTTCTTCTTTGTTTCTTGAACCGCATAAAACTTCAAATATGACAATCACACCTCTGAAGCCTATTTTTAACTTTAGACTGTATTTTGGAAAGTTTTCAGTGCTATATAATCCAAAGAAGACTGCATGGTACAATCACACATATAAGCAATACCAAGCAAAGAAAATGGACTCATGGGCGACAGCTTCTGCATTACTACCCCTCGGCCAGCTCCTTCCCCTAGCCCCAAATTAGATCCTCAGGGGCAAATTCCAGATCAAATATCCTTTCACTTATAAATATTTCAAGAAGATAAGGAATTGAGTGGCCTTTTAGCAAACAATCCCTTATACTTACAAACATTTCCCTTTTTTCTTTTTAGCATTAGAAACATATATTGATAGAAAGGTCAAATTTAGGGGAGTTCTGTCAGAGGTGTGCACTGAGTTTCAGCCCTAGATGACTGGAAATAAGACACTTTAGCACCTGAAGGCTAGAGCTGCTGAGTAATAAAAGACAGAATAATTTCCACCTGCACCATCTCCCATTAAGCAAACATTATGAGCTTAAACAGAAGAAAATTCTGATGTACTCTGAGCCATTTTGAGAGAAGTCTTTTTTTACACATCCCCTGAAAGAACATTCCAAAATATTTTTCTCATGTGATGCTCGGGGAAAAGGGGCACACACACTGCAAAATCTTTAAGAGGCAATTCCGTCACAGGAAATTCAGGGGCTTCAGTTGTTGGGTATCACTGCAGCATGTGCTCGAGTGACAGCAGCTTCATCACTGGTCTGGCTGCTGTCTGCCCCATGAATGAGCATGAACCTCAAATGCTATTATAACTCTAATTGCTTTTGGTTATGGTTGATCTCACTTGAAGAAAGAATGATAAAAAAAAAAACTTCAGTTTCTCTATTATCTGTAGATTCCATCATTTAATTGCAAAAATTAATGATTTGCAAATGCCTGATCATTAGCGTCAAACCAATCTGTTACCGAAGTTCTAATATAGTTTCACTTCAGTTGAATCAGACGCATCCGACTGCCCACCGCTCCAGTTACCAATAAAATGGTCTCCTTAGCTGGTAAGACATCTCTTGGACAGTTCTCTCCCTCCCAAAAATGAAGAGAGAACAAGAGAAAGGAAGGATAAGATTGAGGAATATCTGGAACCAGAGCCTTTTCAAAATGGTGCCTACACTATAGGATAAAAACAATTTACTAAAAGTAAAATGCAAATTTTAATGCCAGCAAGGAAGACAGAGTTACTTAGAATCTTCCAAGGTCAAAATTATGGACTGAGACTTTATTTTCATCCACCTAGGCACTGTGTTCCATACAGACCTGCAGGTCTCCAACTATCATCATTACAAATTGCCCTCACTTTGCTAAAATCTACTCTGCATTTTGTTTAACTTCAAAAACAAAAAGTCAATATAACCAAATACTCAGCCCAATGATATAAACCTAGCCCTTCTGTGTTTTATATACCCATTAAAATCTAACAGTACATATGTAACAATCCAACAATAGCCTTTAAAAATAACACAGCTACTCTAGAAAAGCACATTTCAAAATTAAACTAAAATCACTTTTACAATGTTAGAGAATAATTTCCATCATTTAACAAAAGAAAAGGATAAGCACCAGAGATTTCAAAAAAAGGGAAATGCAGGCTAGAGATGGAGCTCAGTGGTAATTGCCTGCCATATGCAAGGCCTTTGGTTCAATCCAGCACAAAACAAAACAAAAAAAGGCCAAAAATCCGAGCAGTATATTAGCAGGCAGTGGCACATACCTATAATCCAAGAGAACACAACTTAACAATACCCTGTATAAAAATAAAATTTTAAAGAAGGATTGAGGATGGACCATGCGTGAGCCACCACCAGACAGGAACAGATAGACCCCAGCCTCTCCCTATGAGTCAGCGCCATTTGCAGACTGGGGCAGAGACAAGGTGGCCACACCAGGAAACATACCCAGTCCGGGAACCATAGCCATGTGCAGGCTGCCGCCAGACTGGAACAGCTAGACTTAAACCCCTTCCAGTGCACAGGATGGCAAACAAGAATACCAAAGCCCCCCATCCTACCCCCTACTGTAAGTGACCAGCTTATCCAGAGAATCACAGGCTGTGATGGTAGCTATAGAGGTGAAATGCAATTGGATGCCTGTGATACTCTGCTGCTCTACTAACACTGCAGGACTAGGGACTGGGTCTGATCATGGGTTCAATACTCAGTGTGGCATCTAGGGGGGAATCTCCTTCTGAGGGTTGCAGCCATTATTGATTCCCTATGGTCTGGTTTTGGAAGCCCCATATCATTCCCATTATTCTGTTGGGTTGGGTTTTCTTTTCTTTTGTTTTTGTTTATGTCAAATCGGATGGCAGGAGCAGCTATTTCAAAGACAGCAAAAAATATTATAGTAACAATTTTGGATTTACTATTGGCTTGTTTTGAAGTCCTTGATTGAATAATTGTTTTGTTTTTATTGTTTGGATTCTATTCTGTTCTGTTTGATTTTTACTATGTCCAAAGTTATCTGTAGCTATTTTGAAGACATCAAGAGGCATTATAGTAACTATTACTGATTTCATAATGTTTTGAAGTCCTGTACCTCTTACACTTGTTTCTTTTGATTGGTTTTATTCTGTTTATCCTCTTTAAAATGAAATAAAAAAACTAAAAGGATTGATGATATAGGTCAGGGCTAGTATGCACAAGGCCTAGGTTCAATCTCTAGTACAGTAAAACAAAACAAAAACTCTTAGATATTGTTAGATTCAAAGACACACTAATGAGTTATTGGCTCAAAATAACTTGGGACATTAATCTCTACAAGGTCAGATTTTTACAATAACTAAATTTGCCATTCTTCAAGATCTATCAATCTCCTGTAAAATACAGTACCAGCCTATTTGTGAGAAGCTATCATCTGTACAGTAAAGGTAACCTAGGACACAGAAATGCTACGTTCATCAGGAGTGGCCTTGAATTTGTGACATACATTGTCAACAAGGAAAGAGAAAATGGTCTCTATTCTATTCTCCACACATTCAAAGAAACACGATAAGAGATCTGATGATTAGCTTTCGTTTTCTCCCTCTCCTGCTGCCCCACTGCACACGCTCAGTACAGAGGGATGTGAGCGCCCACCTTATCTGTTCTCTGCACCAGGTTCTTACCATGAGTCTTCGCATCCTCTCCTTTTCAATCCGCTCTGTCTCCTTCTTCTGCTCCCTTTCAGTGTTGGCATGCCAGGTGGCCACTGCTTTGGAAAGTTTCTGGATCTTTCCAGCCACGGATCGATGGTACTCCTTAAAATCTTTTGCATGTTGCAGAATACTATTCAGGTATTCCTAAAGCATTGATCAACAAGGAAGAAAAAGAATATTGAAGATCTGTTTTCCAATGTTTTACAAGGTGTCAATGTAAGCCAGAAGACTCTCAGTACATTTGTGACCCAATTCAGAGACTAGACTCTCTTTTTGCAATGGGCTCCCAGGTGTGTCTCTGCAGTGGAGGTGTGGGCTAGGGGATGGTGGAAAAGAAGCCCTCCTACATCTATGATGTTAGAAGCTGCCTCACTGGCAGGTTATGGCTGCCTGAAAATGGAAAGACCAAAGGTGGAAGGGGACTCAGAAAATGGTAATGATAAAACATAAAGCCATTGTTCACCCTAAAATAATTCAGAGGTTTCAGTTATAAAAGTAATGTTTCTTCTACTCTTACTTAATTACTTCAAAACTGTAATGCAAAGTAAGTTTATACGAAGTTCACAATGTCACAGTAAGTTGTATTCACTTTTTAAAGCAGCAGAAAGTGTATGTCATTTACACTAAAATCCACTACTATTTTCAGAAGGAAACTAAGACTAAAGCACAGAAAAACAAAGGAAATGTGTACGATAATCACACTAAATCAAACTCTATATAAAAATCTATCTATCCCCATTAAAAGGAATGTTTATAAATATGTGCCCCATGAACTCTCCAATTGATCACTTCAAAGAGTCCAGGATACTAGATTTATATTTGTGACACAGATAATTTTCTAATTTCTTTTTTCTTTTCTACGTTGTTTCTTCCCAGGATTTTGCTGTAGGAAAACTCACCCATGCCCACCCACTCGGCAGCTTTCCATAAAATTATGAATATGGCATGTGTTAGAGACTGAGTGCCATCCAACGTCATCGGCTAGAATGCTAATGTCCAGAGCGATGGTGCTATGGAATGGGACCCTTATGAATGGGGTTAGCACCCATGTAGAGGGATCTAGAAGAGCTCTCTTGCTCTTTTATTGCTACAGACAAAACTTGTCAGTCCACAACCTGAAAGAGGGCGCTCATCAGGGCCTGACTGTGCTGGCATGCTAATCTTGGACTTCCAAGATTCAGAACTTGACAAGCAAATTTATGTTGTTTATAAGCCATGAATTCTCTAGTGTTTTGTTGTTGTTGCTGCTGTTGTTAACACAACCTCAGGTGACAATGCTTCACAGGACTTTAAGGAAGTTGGTCCTAAAGTTTATCCTGCCACTGACCAGTTGTGCCTTGGGCAGGTGACCTACTTGTCATTTATCTGTCTTAGTCTAAAAGTCTTGGTCTAGGAAATGATGTGACCGGGCCATGTAATTCCAAAATCCCTTTCTACTCATTGACGCTCCCCTCCCACAAGAGGACGTGTCTGCAGGTGCTCTGACCATGTCCCGTGGCCCCACTGGACACCTCTGTGTAAGAAAGGGCAGGCAAAGCCCAGAGTCTGCCAACCTGGTGTTTCTGCCGGCGCTTGCGCTCCTGCTCAATCTTCTGCTGCTTCTCCAGCTTCTCAGTCATGCGTGCCTCTCGCAGAGTCTGGCGCTTGCTTCGTTTGTAGGCTTTGGAGTTGAGTGCTGTCTCAAGGGTGGTGTCCCTCCGCATGCAGGCCACCACCTCCTGTCTCAGCTGTCAAGAGGAGAGCGGTTAGACAGGCTCCAAGCAGAAGCCGGCTTCCTGACCTGACCTGAGCAGGATGAAGTTCTACATAAAGTCTCACGGCCACTCTCTTTTAAGAAATGAACTAGACTCATGTCAAATTTACATGGTATTTTCAAGAACTGTGTACATTTTCCAAATTATTCAAATCAAAAACAATTATAGTACTGTAATGGAAAGAAAGAAAAAATGTGGATGTTGTCCTCAATATATTAATTCATTCTACTGTTATTCTAATGACATTAATTTATTAATAAGTTTTAAAATTTTACTTCATTTTAAATGCCATGGTAATGTTCTCTCATGTTTAAAGGTTACCTTTCCTAATGACCTACAAAATGAGGAAGAGTTCCTTTCTGTTCATCTTATACAGTAACAGCAAGTACTCAAACAACATGAATTCATATCCTCAAACAAATAACGGAAAATACTGGTTTTGTTTTCCTCTCACTTTAACAATAATATTCTTTGGAAAATAAATCTCATAATATTTATATGATAGACTTGTCTAAGATCTCAATATAGTATTTTATCCATATTGCATGTTTTCTGGTGGTAGCATGTGGGGATTTGAGCACATATTCCAATAATAATTCAATTGAACCTGAAATTGGCATCATTTATAATAAATATAACAAGGAAACTTTACAGTTAACAGATTTTTCAATAATGTCAAATAAAAATCAGAGACCAGTATCATGAAGCTAATTTGAATTTAAGCAGATTCCTGAAAATATTGTTCACTAATATTCATTTAACAAAGTGTCATCAAATCACAGATTCACATTAAGAAGTCACCTATAAGAAGTAAATGAAACCTAAAGAATTTTTCCTTTTCTTCGTTAAATTTAATCTGAAACCTACTCTCACGAACCTACAGCCGATAGCACCCAGCCACCACACATGCCCTTCTGTGATGATACCCAAGAGTTCACATGGCAATAGCAGGTGGTGGCCGTGTGATTTTAGTCCCATCCTCCAACAGATCAAATCACACACCTCAGTACTTCAAAACTACACTTACTCATTAATAATTCATTTAGCATGCGCCAGACTTTAACCATCTGACTGACAATGTCTATTGTCTCTATTCCCTTTCGCTTAGGAAGGCAGTCGGTGGGCTGCTGGGAGAATTGCACCTTTTGGATCTACACAGCACAACGCAGAAGAGGCGAAATTAGTTCTGCCTCATTTCAGTAGTCTCCTACTGACTTAGAAATGAGAAAATAGATCATTAGACCGGCTTTTAATAAGTGACTACCAAGAACCTTAACAAGGCCAGATAATAACTCACTGATTAGTCAATCTGTGATGAAATGCCCCAAAGTGAGATTTTTATACATAAATAAGTTACAGGACATTGTTTTAAGGATGTCTGGAAATGATGAGCTTTTAATTACACAAATTATTCTCACAGTCACGGCTAGTATTTTACATCTGTGCTTACTAAGAGATTCTCCTCTACCACCTTCTTATCTTCCCACCGAGTCACAAGAGCAAAGAAGAGCGATCCCAACTATTCTCAAGGCTTTTCATCCACAGGAACAAAGCACTATCACTCTGATTTTTTAAACCACAGCAGACAGGAGAAGAAAATGTTTTTGATATACAGAAGATGAAAAGCTTAATAAGTAGCTCATCTTCACTACGTTTAACTATCGATTGTTCATCTAAAAGATAGGCCATTTTACTAAGTTTATATCCTTATAGCAGTATTGAGTAGGCTAACGGAAAGCCACAGATAACACTTTAGGAATAATTACATTTATTTCCTACATCTCAGACTCATGGGGAAAAAGCATTACCTGACGTTGGAAATTGAGTAAGCGAAGTGCTTTCAGTTCTACAGTTGCTTTGGTTCGTAAATCTGGTGGCAAAGAGCCAGGCAGGTTTTCCAGTTCTTGTATCCTATGAGCTATGCGCGCCTGGAGTCTGACAGAAATAATAAAAGGGGAAGGGGGAGATGGAAACATGCATTACAATTCAATCTTCAGTGATCAACAACAACCTCACTTCAAGTTCACAGAAACATATTCCAATGTTGACAGTCAGTTCTGACACCCAATTAGATTTTCTGATGTTAAGCAGAGAAAAACCACCTTTGCATTGATACAGATATGTGCTATAGTTTACTTAATACTCTTTCTAAATAACTTTTCACTAATACCCAGAAGGAGAGGCCATCCTACGTAAATCCCACATTCTTGCTTCTCTTGACAAATAAAAAAAATGAGAAGAAATCTGAGTTGCTGTTTAACTGCAGCCAGCCAGAATACAGAGCTAGGACTGCAGATTCCAAGCTTCCAGCTCTGTCCACCCTGCCAAGATGCTGATGCCAACAGCAGTTGAAGCAGAGTGAGCAAGACCAACTGTAGGAGCTGAGGCCACCAAAATCAGCTAACTCAAGATATTCTGCAAGAGCCTTGCCAACTAGAGCTACTTCCTCTGTGCATACACAGGACAGATTAGGCATTTTCAAAAATCAGTCACAGCCCAAAATAGCCTTTAAAATCTACAACTTCCTAAGCCCAGTATGGTGGCACAAACTTGTAAAGCCTGCACTCAGGAGGCTGACGCAGGAGGATTCCCACGAGTTCAAGGCCAGCCTAGGCTACATAGTTAGTTCAAGGCCAACCCAAATTACATAATGAGACCTTGTTCCAAAAGAAAAAAAAAAAATCTGTGAGTTTCTAGAAAAAGGATGCAGGGTAATCTTATTTTAGACACTATCAAAACATAACTACATACTTCCTCAAAATCAAAGCAAAATAGAAACTAAAAGATATCAATCACTCTTTCTTCATCCATTTGCAATACTATTACTGTTTTGCATACTCATTGTTTTGGGATACTAGTAATTAGTTTTAAATCTATTCTTATAAATAATGATATACCACTTAAATCTAATTTTAGAATGATCTTCTAAATTTGGGGCAAAATTGTCTTGAATAGATTTCAACAAGGAAATAGTAATACAAGCCATAATATGTTAACATAGGAAATAAAAACTGCACTAAGTTTTTTAACACTAAGTTGTTGAATGCACAATTATATTTAATTATCTTTTTTCTCTCATCCCCCCTTCTCTCTCAACACACGCACACACATACACATACACACACACACACACACACCACTACAAGGTAAGTGCTGTAATGAACAAATCTCAGTGATGAGATAATTAGGTAATATATATATATCACAGAGCTACTAAAGAAAGGAACCAAAATTGAAATCCTCATTGAATTGATGGCCAAACAGAAATAATAAAAAGGTAAATAATTAAAATAAAACTTTCTGAGAACTTTCCTGAACCTCAACTATGAAAGTTGAAAATGGATTCTGTTAACAGTAAAGACTTTTAGATGCTGTACATTATTAATATGAAAGAGTAAAACCTTCCCGACTTAAGACACTTTAACATTTCTTCTTCCCACAGCCCAAATACCAAAACGAACACTTTTAAAAAAATCTATGGCTCATTGGTTTGGGAGAGAAAGTGCTACCTTTTTCAAAAATTTAAACGTGATTGTGAGGGGGAAAAATGACTTATTTTTCTCTGACTTTACTGAAATAATATAGAGGATAGATTCTTGCTTTATTTGGCATATGTATGCTATTGATTCTGACCAGTGGGTGATTTATTATCATATGTTAATATTGTGACTATTACCACACTGTTAATTTACCTAAGCACATCAATACAAATCATAGTACACACAAACGGTCTAAACATTCAACAGATTGAAAAATTTATGAACTCATACAACAATTGGTTTTCACCATTATTTTCTTTCAGAAAAAATCATTCAAATTCTTTCAAAGTCTTCTAAAACCCTTTAACAAATGGGAGGCATGGAATTATCACCATGTTTTTTATAGACCATATGAAAAAGGATACTTCTTAATTTATCCAATTTACTTTCTCAGCTATCCATATAGCCCCATCTCCAAATACAGCAAGAGATGACGCATCTTAATTCTCAGGGCATTAAGGGAAAAATTTATTTAAGGGAGAAAATAAAACGGGAACAACTTTACCTCTGAACTACTTTACGGGCTCAGGATTATGGCCGTACTAAAGAAAATTTCAACACTGCAGCAGACTGAGATGATGGCAGCAGTTGGGTTGGGCTGCTTCCTTGGTTCTAGACTCTAGATTTAGTGCAGAGCTTTTTACTTGAATACCCTAGAATTCAAGCCTCTCCTTGGTATTCTGGTTACCTCTTTTCGTCAAAGCAAGTCAGGTGCTAAAGAATAGGATGGCCGCTTTGTTCTCTTTTAATCTTCCAGAGGGCTGTGGAACTAGAACTAAATAACCACAGTCCAACAGGGTTGATGGTGCAGAGTTTACACCGCACTGAGGAGCTAGGGTGGGGAGCAAGGAAAAGTGAGGGGAGGTCAGGAGGTGGCCGTGGCTTAGCGCAATGAAACGCTCTGAGTTTCTGGGGTGCTGGAGTGGGGGGAGGTGGGGAGTACAGTGCCCTCCTCCCAGCACTGACTGCCTCTCCAAAGGGTTTCAAAATTGGTCAGTGAATCTGAGTCCCTAGCACAAAAGGACCTTTCCTTTATGAAACAGGCCAAAAGTACACCATGCAAACTCTAGTAAAAAGGAAAAGATTTCACAGTGAAATTACTTACAATTGATTCAGCACAAGGGAGTGGGGCAGAAAAAGTACAGGAGGGGCTTCCTTAACACAGAAAATTATATCTTTGTTGTTGTTGCTCTTAATAGAAATCTTCATTTTAAATAATGCTCCTCTCCAGACAATTTCATCTTCTCATAAATGGGATTCAGCAGGTAGTGCCGATAAAGAGATTCAGGATTCTCAACTTCCCGAAACAACAACAAGATGTAATACTGCAAGACTGCGGGGGACTCATTTAGTGTCCTTGCGAGCATAGAAAATTGAAGCAGAATTAGGTCACTCTGGTTTTTCATACAGATGAACAGTAAATCAAGAAGGGTTACTGTTCTGGCAAGAAAAAGAGTTCCATTAAAGGCAACAGATATTTGTTCAGGTCCAGAGGAGAAGTTTATGACTCCTGGAGGAGGGTTATTTGAACAGAAAATGACACTGGTACATTTTGTTCCTTCAAGGAGCTGAGTGACACTTAAAAAAAAAAAAAAAAGGAGCAAGAGCATGTGTGACTTTTGGTAACGTTGCTGGTAAGGCAGCTACTGGGAATTTTTGAGAAGGAATTTTCAGGGCTGTGATGGAGACAATGGCAGGACAAAAATACTAAGTGGCTTCCTGACGCAAGCAGCCTGGACTACTGTTTTAATTCAAGTGTGAAATACATCTTCCATGCAAACATTTGTGGCATTAATGTACATGGTAACTCCTGAAGTACTTTTGACCAAATTCCTAACTCTAACTACAAGGAAATGATACAAGGTGCCTTGAGAGAACAAAGAAAGGTGTGCCCAAAAGGATTTGAATGAATCTAATTCAAATAGGGAAAACGTTTTAACCAAAGACCTTGCACAGATCAGAGGCAAAGTGTTCACATGCAGGAACTTATTTATGCAGTGACTGAAAAAAAAAGATCAATTTGTCAAATGTTTGATTTTTATGGTGAACAAGGAAAAGCAGTCAAGTTTAAAAGTGTAAGATTTTAACAATTCCCTTGCAGTTCTCATGGATATGGTAAATGGTATTACACAGCTCAAAGAAATTAACATGTAAAAAAAGAATACCTAATAGATGATTTTTGCTGAAAATTTATCAAATTGTAAAAGAGGTTAAGACTTTGTTTGAATTTTTCTCCAGATGATAAAGACACAAGGGACCCATCTAGTAATCAGGCTAGAGGTTAGCAAGTCATTTTAGTACAAAGGATTGAAACAAAATCTGCTATCTTTCACAAGTGTCCAAGGGACTTAATTTAACTCTTTCAGTGACAAATTTAAATAATCTCTGCAGTCAAAGGATTAATATTCATCTAGACAGAAGCCATCTATTACTCTATAATTAAAGATAAGTGATGTCCCTGTAACACTGCCAGGACAAACCCATGCTGCTTCTCCAGGTGATCACAGGAAAACGCAGGATAAAGTTGCCACCAGCGTCTCGGACCCAGGGTTTTCCAGATCAATGATTACAAAACTCTTACAGCTTTGTTAACGAAAAGACTCTTTTTAAGCAATAACAACAGCATGAAAAAATAGCCATCACACCCATTCTGCCCACAGAAAAGATAGAATTTTTTTACTGAGGCATAAATAAAAGACAACAACTTTTTTTGTTTTATTTTTTGGTACTGGGGATCAAACTCATGACCTTGTGCTTACCAGGCAAGCACTTAAGCCACTGAGCTAAATCCCTGACACTACCAGGACAACAGGTTATTCTACACTGGCATAGTGCTAAATACTTCCCACTTTGGCAGACAGTCCACTGAGATCAGGTTTCTGAAACAGGTACTAAAATGACCTCATTCCTAATGAAGATGGTCCTGCAAAGAAAACTCTGGCAGAATGATACAGATGACGTAAAAAGATGCTTAACTCATGCACACGGAGGAAACAGGCTGAGGAAGGGGAAAGGCCACAGATTATACAAAATTTTTAGGTATAGAGAATGTGTCATGAGAGTGCTCAGATCACCTAACAAATGTATGCTTAGATTTTCACCTTCAGGACAGGGAAGAAAAGGGAGTCAGAATTTCAGAGCCACCACAAATATAATACTTCTTTATCCTATTATTGACTTTCTCATTACTTTGAAATTTTAGTCAATAATAACATTTTCTAGCACACACAAAGACAGTTTTTCTACCATGGATGTACTAGTATTTGGGTTGATAATGCACAAAAATTATTCACTCAGAAAGTTTGCCTACTGAATACTGAATATGGAAGTATCATTTGATGGTGAGTATCCAGCACTCCAGGTATACAAAACATGTTGAAATAAGAAAATAAAAGTTCAAAGTAAAAGCCAGGTGTGATACCACACCATCAGGGAGACTGAGGCAGGAGGAACACCCAGAGTTTACAGCCAGTTTGGGCTACATAATGAGTTCAACAGCCTGGAATACATGTCAGACGGCATCTCAAACAAACAAAATTGTAAAAAACAAAAACATGTTAATAGCCAGACATAGTAGCACAGATTTATAATCCCAGCTGAGGCAAGATTGTATATCCAATGGCCAGTTACAGTGATTCTTTCAGAGCAACTCTGAAAACTAAATAAATTTCAATGTTATACCAAACTATTAAGTCATATGACTTTCAATAAAGATGAAACAAATGTTTTCAGAGGGATCCCAAACATTACCTACTAACACTATGATTTTAGAATCTATTTTTTTTAAATTAATATTTGTGAAATAATGATAGCCAATATTTACAGGCTGTTGCTGTACCATCTTATCTTCCTTTTAAGGAACACTATAATACTTTCTTTTAACATACAAGGACAGTCACAGAAAAGAGATGTATCTTGAACCAGGTAACAGAACCAGTGAGTGACAGAGCATGATTCCTATCAACTCCAGAATCCACAATCATAGCTTTCTTTTATCTTGATTCAATACTTTACCCATGCTCCCTTTGGGGTTGCTATTAACCACTTAAATGCAGTATCTAACTATAGCCTGCAGGCCAGCTCCCAGCCACAGCCTGTTTATAGAAGTTTTATTGGTGCCAAGCTGATGCATTACAACCTGGAGTTGTGTTCACATAATCAAGGGCATAGCTGGGTACCTGTGTCTGTGACCCGAGGGTCCACAAAGTATAAAACATTTGTCAGGTCCTTTACAGAAAGTTTGCCAAGCCCTAATTTAGCTAAATTTGACAAATCAGGTAAAAAATAAGTTTCTGGGAGTATGAGTTTAAATAAGAACTCCATCTGAGGACACTGACATAGGGTCTACTTACCAAACTGAACCAAGCAAGAGACTAAAACATACATGAATTAAATTGTTTGACATCAAACTAGTAAAACATACTTCAGTATCCAGAGATGTGCCAATAATCTGAAGGCTAACCCCAGACCATTTCACTCATTCAGGGGTGCAAACCGACAGACAAGGTTATCCATTACACAGTCTGAGACTTAGAGGGCCACATCTTGGACCCACATAACTCCACACTGGGCTTTGCATCTTCAGGTCCCCAGAGCAGGGTCATGCTGCAGGGATGGGTAAAGGTTTTCTAACTTGAAATCGTGCAAACCACAATTCCATCAATCCAGTGCCACCAAGGGCCCTCCAGTTCCTGACTTTGTTCTGAAGCCATTCCCACAGCGCAAATTTCCACCCTCAGAGCTGCAACTCTCACCCCATCCCATAACAATGACCACAGCCCCTAGACCAGTGGACACTTGCTGCTGGTCACCATGATTTGACCCCTACCGCGGAGCAGTACCTGTACTCCCGCTCCTGCAGGATCTCCACGGGGTCCAGGCCCTGCGGCTTCTGGATGGGGCTGATGCGGCTCTGCTTCTGCTGCAGCTGCAGGATGGGTGAGGGCTGCCCAGGTGCTGCCTGTGGGACAGAGGGCCCAGGCACAGCGGCGGGTGGCGCGGTGGTGGGGGGTGCAGGCGAGGGCCGGCCGCTGGTTGCTGGCACCTGCAGCTTCTGAGGGGTGCTGGTCCCGCTCACCGCATCCAGCCCTGGGCCTGTGGACACAGAGCAACACGGGCAGGGCAGGTGGGTGTCATCTGGCTACTCTACCCCTGGGGCCCATGATGGGGACTCAAACACCCAAGAGAGGACAAAAGGAGGACAAGGTGTGTTGTGGGGTGCAGACAAGAAGAACTTGGCAACTGTCCTTAAGGAATTCACTAGCATTGCTGAAAATGGTCCAAAAATGACTCTTGGGTAATGAATTAAGGAAATGATGGGTTAGCTTTTAGCATAGCCCAAGTGTTTTAGTTTTTTGTTTGTTTGTTTTGTTTTGTTTTGTTTTTAAGAATGGCAAGTACATTCAAACTTCGGAAAAGGGGCTTCCACAGCAGTTAAACTCATCTAGGCAGCGTCTTAAATCACATTTTGCCACCTGTACTGTGGTCCCTTCCCTGAAGACCTCCTTCGGTCCCTTACAATCCTGAAGTCCCTGCTGGAGGAGACCCACAAGGGACAAGGAGCTTGCTGGGCTTCTCAGGGATCTGAAAGGGACCCACATTTTCTGTTAATGAGCTTTTAAAAAGCACCATTTGAAGTGCATCTAGTGAATCTGGGCAACTTTACAAAAGTCACTATATGTTAGAAAATATTTCTAAAAACATTCAGTGTTAGGGGGAAAAAAAAACTATTCATGTCCTCAATAAACATTAGCAAAGAATAAAATTCAAGAGAGCATTTTTCTCCTGTTATCAGAAGAAAATGACATGTAATCTTCAAGCTTATCAAAATGCATTTAATATGCTAATTTAAAGTCATTTTCTATATTAAACCTCAGAGTTTAAGTTAATTGCTAGGTATGGATCTAAAATAAATTTTCTACCTCTCCTTCTAAGTGAGTATTTAGTTGCCTTAAAATTATAAATAAAATTAGTGATGTTAGCAGACGAATCCATAAATTTAAGGAAAAAACCTCTGTAGATGCTAAACCACTAACAGGCATTCTTCCAAGTATTTCTACATCCTTTCTAAGAAAATATAATGTTATTAAGTAGTAACAACAACGATAGTCTATATACTCCAGTGTGACTTACTAATTAACCATAGGAAGGCATACAGTATGAAAATGGAACACATTTATTCAGTTTATAACAAACACCATTTCGAAATGGGCTTAAATGACAATGTAAAGAGAGCTATAAGCAAACATTTTGACAGGAGGAATGTGAAGAACTAGAACTGCTCTGGAGACTGCGGCGTGTGTTAGCGTGTGCGTGTGTGTGTGCACACGGCACTACGGCCGGGTTTTCTTTCCTTCTGAAATTAGGCAGAACTTTCTAAAAGACAGATTTTTTTCTCAAGGTAATTTTCAGCCTTACTGTGTATTTGATCACATCCACTCTCCCCGCGCCTGCCTCCCCACTGGAGGCACGTTCCCCTTTTCTGGAGGGTTGATAAAAATCCATCTTTGTATTTTTTAAATGGAAAAATGATCTCTATTTGAATTTTATGGTGATTTCTCCTCTAGAGACTGCATTAAAGGTCTGTAGCTTTTACTGTTTTTTTGTTTGTTTTTTGGTATCAGGGATCAAACAACCTTGCACTTACCAGGCAAATGCTTGTGTCACTAAGCTAAATCCCTGGCCCTATTTTCCTTTTTTTTTTTTTTAATAAATTTTTACTTTTGTTAGTATTTTGTATCATAATTATTAGCACATATTCATGAAACAATATATTGGGTTGATGAAATTTTCATACATGCAAATAATATATTTGATCACATCCATTTTCCCTACCCCCACATTCCCCTATTGGAGGCCTTTTTCCCCTTTTCTAATAATCTATTTTAGATATTTTAAATTTCAGATATTTATCATTATAATGAAGGCTTTTTATAGCTAAATATTCTCATTTTTTAAATAGGAGATTATGCATAGTTCTTCATAATAATTTTTATTTATTTAGAGTTGCTTTCATCCACAAATGAGAAAAAAATTCTAAACATTGAATCTCAGTGTTAAGCATTGGTATGAGTTATGGAAGGAAGTCTTAGAATATTTTTCCCTATAGATCTTTAAAGTAGGGTATATTTTTCATTTGGGTTGCTTTAGGTGTGATCCATTCAAATGAGAAGAGATATAGATTTCTAACATTTATTTTAATTCTCTGTGATTCTATGAATCTCTAATAGGCTCAAGAAGCTAATAGAATTAAATATATTGGAAGCTTGGGTATAAGCATAGTAAGTAGTACATTTAATACACTTTGATCCTTTATAAGCTACCACCTTATAAAAAAGAAACTTAGGTCTTAAGATAACATCCATAATAATTACTTTAAGTTCAGTTTTCAAAATGTTTTAATCTCTTTTCAAAGTCCAAATAATTCAAAGTTGACTCATTTTGGACACATTCTTTAGCTTTATTGTCTGTGCACTGATCAAGAAGACCTTGAAGACCCCTTAACATATATTCAAGTTATTTTTAAAAACATATTTAATTAAAGAATGATACCCAGAGTGCATCTCTCATCCTGTCATTTTTAAGTCTATAACTCTAAACTAGATCTGATGCATACATGGTGATCCCTCATTAAAATGGCTTTAATCACTAAATATAAATACATTCTAACTTATTCACCCCTTACACTAAAGAACAGAGAAAGACCCAGATGTGGACTTATACATTGAAATCTCTAATTTAAAAGTACTACAACTTGCTGTGCACTAAACAGGTATAAAGTGTTCTTGCCTTTCCATAAAAATTATACATTTTCATCTCAGTTGTATCACCTATTAGGTGTGTGAGCCTGAGCAAGTTACTCAGGCACTGGGTGGCTCAGTTCCCTCATTGGCCAAAAGGAGAAACACTAAAGCCCACCTTACAGGCAGTGTTGCAGACCCAAGGAGATAACACATCTGTACATTCCACCCTCTGATCTTGTATTTATTCCCACCAGGGACAGGGAAGTAAAAAAGTCTAACTTAATCACCATCCTCAGCTTTAAACAAAAACCTCATGGCAAAAGAAATACTACTTTCTAGAAAAAATTTCAAAATGCCTTCACAGCTTAAAACAACTCAGCACAAACACTCAGATAAGTACTTGTTTGGCATCAGAGTCACTTAATAAGCAAAGCCCATTTCCTAATTAAACACAAGTTCATTTACTGCGTGGGCCTATTTTCTCTTCCCTCCAACAGATTGTATAAATACTTCTATTTACAAGATGTTAGAGAACCAAACGCAGCTTGCTGCAATTAGACATGCCCAGAATGTAACCACCTATTCATTAGGTTTTAGGCACATCCTTCAGGCAGCTTGCAGAGTTTATCTGCCTGCCTGGCCTTGCTCTCTGTCTACAGAAAGCACTTCCTCTATTCCAGAGGTCCATAAGGGAGGGTCCTTCCCTGAAACCTTCAAGTGGAAAGCTAAGATAGTGTTTAGCTTATCTCTCATCCCTCTCCAATATAAACTTAGACCTAATTGTCAGAGGTACAAGACGCTGGCTGCTCCCCCCTTTCAGTCTTTGCCTCAGTGTTCTAAGTGGAAACATGCCCTGGCCTTCCAGAAGGTGGTCCTTACAGTTCTAGGAGGTCTGTGTGCAGCCCATGTCATCCTGTCTGATTCAAAGGAAGAAGACAACAAACATTAGAATACCTAAGTATCCCATGCACAGAATTTCAGTGAATTCAGAGTTGCCACTTGGCACATGGGACCTTTATCCAAACAAATGTTTTCTGCATTAAATAGGAATGTAAGTGGTTTCCACAGGCTGGAAAAAGTAACCATAGAGTATTTAAATTAACCATCTTAAGAAATTTCAGTTACCAATTAACATGAGAGGTTAAACACTGAAAAACAATGAGCAAAAGAACTTTCATTTTGTATCATAAGATCTGTTCTACAACTTCTCTAACCCAGAATTTTTCCATTCCTATTTTTATTTTGCTTTAATCTCTAAAAGGAAATGTGAATCAAAACAAAAATAAAAAGATAAGCAAGACTTGAGTGGTACTCATAGCATCAAGGACATATTCCATAGTAAGGGTGATCACTATTTTCCAGGGGAAACCACCTGAGAGCTAGCTGTTTATCAACCCTGCTGAATCCCCTGGGTAGGACCCTGTCACTTTTAGTGAATTCTACCTGAAGTAGGTATGAGGTGGACCACCCAACTCCAGAACTTTCTCCCACGCACGGATGTCACTAGGAAATGGGACAAGAGAAAAACGGAAATGCAACTATCTCTAGATTAGTGAACATACTAAACTGCACTTTCTCTTGAAATACTAGCAGGGATATTTATAAGCAATTACACACAGCTATATTTTTAAAAAGAAGATAATAGAGTTTAATATTAATTTTTTAAAATATTGTCTTATTTTCATTGATTTTACCTGTTGATCTGAAAAAAAGTCTTTATCAAGTAAGGTTACATGTTACCTATGAAATTAGATTTGTAAACAAATTCTGCAGTGCTGTTGGATGTAAGCGAGAAGGGGCCATCCTATTTGAAGGAAGGATCTTCTTTTCCTCTTTCATCCATGGCCTCCTTGTCCTCTCCGCCATAAAACCCTATGTGCCAAAATATTTTCATGTCTAATGAACTCAACTGTCAAGAAATAAAAAGACCAGGGGCTGGGGATTTAGCTCAGCAGCATAAGCGCCTGCCTTGCAAGCAGGCAGTCGTGAGTTCGATCCCTGGTACCGATAAAAAGGAAAAAGACAAAAAAAAAAAAAAGAAGAAATAAAAAGACCAAGCGTATGTGCACCCATGCTTATAGCAGCACAATTTGTAATACCCAAATCTTAGAAACAACCCAATACCCATCAACCATGGAATGGATAAAAAAGATGTGTTACTTTTATACAATGGAATATAACTAGGCTATAAAGAAGGATAATCTTGGGGCTTTTATAGATAAATGGAGGCAACTTGGAGGCAACTTGAGACCGTACTCATAAATGAAATAAATTAAACTCACATTTGTAAGTCTTGTATAGCCTCCCTAGTGTAAAAAAAAAAACAACAGAGAGTAATAAGATCCAAAATGTACAACAAATGTTGTGATAATGAAAGGGAAAGAAAGTGCTCAAAAGAACAACTGGGATAGGAGAAAGGATAAAATGAAGAAGGGTAAAGATTTTATGTATATATATTTTTATATATGCATGTGTATATATATAGATACAATATAGATAGCTATAGTACTAACCTTTGTTGGTTTATCCAAAAGAACAGTTAGTTGTGCTTTTATTGTTTGTTTGATCATTTTTTATACCTAAATCTTATAACCTGAACTACTTCTCTAAGACAATAACATGCAATATACTAATTAGTGTTAATTTTCTATTTTTTTTTGAAATTCTGTACCATTTGCATCCATTTTTATGTTTTGCTTTTTTAAAATTAAAAAAAAAAACTAAATAATTAACTTCAAAAAAAAAAAAAAAAAAGAGAGACCAAGCAGTGGGTAATAAAACAAAACCTTTGAAGGACAAGGATCTGATAAAGGCAGAGGTAGGTATTGAAGGTGCATAATGAAAAGGATTCCTTTCTTCTAGAAATCATCCAGAAAACACTCATGCAACTGCTTATAATAGAACGTGAAGTATGGCTTACACACACATACCCAGTTAACTGAAATTGCAACCTTTAAAATTCATTATTTCACTGAGTTCTACTTGGATCTTGGGTGAAAAGATTTCTTAAACAAGTAAATTACCACCTTACCTTCTTAAACAATATTTTGGAATTTTTCCCTGCTGAGTCTAGAATATTTAAAAAATACTAATACTTGCATAGACCTGTGACACAGTGACACTCCAAGGAACACTGCACGTACAGTAGATTATGCTGAAGTGACAAGGTTCTAGACAGCTCCCTTTTGGCAGGTTCAGGATCTATTCCTTCCTATCCATCACACATTATCTATCTGGTTGTGACCAGCTGGCTTTTTCCTGAAACTCTTCTAGCTAATACTACTAGACACTGAGATGAAGGGTATACAGGGTACAAAGATGCTGTAGATACTGTGTTTGGAGTAAAAGTGAAAGTGGCTCTACACAGAGAGCTGAGCTCTGCTCTGCACACACAGGAGTAAATTTCTTGCATTCATATCTAGATAGGTTGCAACCGATTCTCCCCCTCATCTTGAGAATATTTCCCAGGATGATCCCATGTGAGAAAATGGCCAAGACCATGAGCTGCCAACTCAGACTGCTAGGGTTTGTCCTGCTCCTCCATTTAGGAGACATGTGGCATGCAAGAGATGCTTCCTAGTGAGAACAGAGCATGGCCAGGCCAGCAGCACTAAGCATAAGTCACACACAGGAATCCACATCAATACTCTTTCCTTCTATCTGGACGCATTCTCCTGAGCTGATATTTCACAGTTTTAAAACCTGTTGCAGGTTCATGCTGACATTTTGGGCTTCGTTTTCATACATGACCTTTCCAGTTCCTAATGCTTAATACCTTTGTGGTAGTCAAACAGAAATCCAGATATCCAGTGATACTCTCTTACCCTTAAAATTCCACTGTGATGGTCAAATGTTTGTGGCCCACCTCCAAGCTCCTAAGTTGAAATCCTAACTCTTAAGGAGATGATATTAGAATGTGGGCCTTTTAAAAGGTAATCAGGCTATAGGAAAGAGCCCTCATGGACATGATTACTGCACTTATGAAGCCCCAGAAAGATCCTTCACATCATGTACCATGTGAAGACATACCAAGAAGGCACAGTTTACCAACCAGAAATCAGGCCCTCACCACACACCAGATCTGCCATTGCTTTAATCTTGATCTTTCTAGCCTTTGGAACTAGGAGTGATACATTTCTGTCATTTTTATGCCATCTAGTTTATCATGTATTTTTGCAATACCCTGAGTAGACCAGGAGACCCATTGTGTGTGCGTGCATGTGTGTGTGTGTGTGTGTGTGTGTGTGTGTGTGTGTGTGTAGGTGGAAATGGAGCCCCAAGGCCTTGTACTTTCTAGGCAAAGGTTTTATGGTTGAGCTATACTCCCAGTCCCTAAGATACCAATTCTTGGTGCCACATCTATAATTAAGAAGAAAAGATTGTCTTTCAGGTAAGGCAACTCTTAAAACATAAATTAAAATGTTAGAAATTATTTTTAAATACCGATCTGAATTCTTTCCCATTGTCCAAGTCCCCAAAACCTAGAAAAAGCAGCAGCATCCTAAACAAAGTGTTCTTGGGCCCTCAAAGAATTACACCATCTCTACCTGTTAAATAATATTATAGCTTCTCAGTTTATTCCAGGGACCCTAAAAAATACAACATGTGGAATCAATAAACAAATTTTACTGGTTTTTCTATCATGCAAAGCCTCTGACAGTAAGGATAGTAGAGCCAGGCTTCCATATTTGGGGGTTCCACATGAATTCAGCTAAGCATAAATAAAAACACTAGGAAAAGGTATTGTATCTGTACTGAACATGCACAGAGTCCTTTTTTGTAATTATTCCCTGAACAATACAACTATTCCTTCCTTTAGCCTTCATTTGTATCAGGTATTATACATAATCTGGAGATGATCTGAAGCACATAGGAAGATGTAGCTCTCTCTATATATACATTACAACGTTTTATGTAAGGCACTTGACTATGGAGGATTTTGTCTGTTAGGGTTCCTAGAAATACTCACCCTCAGATGCCAAGGAAAGGCTGCAGTTGAAACAATCATCATAGCTAGGTAACCTACTTTATATGTGCCTGCTAGAATGGCTTTGTGTCCTCTTTCTAAATGGTAAAAATAAGGTATTACCAGCTTCCACTGTCAGGAAACTCAAGTCACCTTTGAAGTTGGTCACAGTAACAATAAAGACTCACAGCAACTATGGCCCCCCACATTCCTGACCTCAATTTCTTCTCTTTTTATTTGCCTTTGTTTGATTTTTTTACTTGATAATTATTTTAGTACAGGTATACTTTCTTGTAGGACTTCTCAAATGCTTTTCCAATAAAATAGAGAAGAAATCAATCAACAAATACAAACGGCCAAAGTGGGTCTAATTTTTTAATTTTATATAGAGACATAAGGGCTCCTAACCTGGGGCATATGATGAACTCTAAAGAAAGCTTGAGCCTTTTGAAAGAGAATGAAAAATCATGGGTAAGTGTAATGTTTCCTAAGTCAATGGGTAAGACAATAGGAGGGGACCAAAAATCTTGGCCAATCTAAGTGGAGCAAGTAAAGGCAGACAGAGGGGTAAAACAAAGGCCTGCATCAGCCCCAAGCTCATCCCCACCCTCCCCAGCTCCTGTGTATTGGCACAGTCTTTCTCAGCTGAGCTGGACCACAGCGTTCTGCATCCGGCTGCGTGTTCACCTACCAGATGGTCTGTTGTAGGTAACAAGCGCTGGCTGCTGCTGCTGCGGCGGCTGCTGTGGTTGCTGCTGGGGCTGTGGGGTCTGCGCCTGCTGCTGTTGTTGCTGTTGCTGCTGCTGTTGCTGCTGCTGCTGCTGCTGCATGCCAGGCAAGGTCCTTTTCCCCTGGACCGCAAGCTGAAGTGTTTCAGGGAGGGGTTGCCCCCGGGCCAGCATTTTGTAAGCTAAAATCTGGGCCCGAAGCTGATGCAGCTGGACTGGACTGAAAGGTGAGGGACCTCTGTTGGCCTGGTTCATGGTTTGTGGGTCACCTGGGATAAGAGGCCCTGGCTGGCTCGGTGGCATCTGGGGTGGCGTTGGGCCTCCTCCAGATATAGGGCTGGAGACGTGTTCTGAGGCTCCCAGTGGAGATGGGTGCGGTGACATATAACCTAAAACACAACACAAGGAGCTCACAGGCTGCCCAAGACCACATTGCATGATAGAAATTACAATTATACAGACTCTAACAAGTACACATAGCTCAAAAGTTTAATGCACAATATAAACCTTGTAGATGTAAATTTAACTTTGCTAGTAGCCACACATATATGCAGAACACAATGAGGTAAAGTTAAACTTAATAATATAGTTTACTTAAACTAACATGCCCAAAGCACTAACATTTCAAAATAGAAACATGACTGATAAATTATTATGTCAATATTTTTTTCATACTAAATCCTCAAGCTCTATTAAGTATTTTACATAGGACACCTCAATTCAGACTCCTCACAGTTCAAGTGATCAGGAGCCACCTGAATGCCAAAAAGCAAATGCTAGGTGCTTGTTTTATACCTGGAGGAAAGACACTGTGGGATAATAACCACATGAAAAGCCAGGAGCCAGAACCTGAAGGAGTCTATTGTATCTCAAAGGGGCAGAAAAATGAAGCAGAGTTACTTTTATCTCCAAATGTATTTGGAGAGGGAAACAAATTTAGCAGGATGCCCTGAGACAAAAATGGGTTTGGTGAAGAGAATGCCATTTCTTCCCTGGAGAGAAATAAAACAACCGCCAGCCTCAATTCCCAAATCCTTACTCCACGAGAGAACACAAGACCCACACAGCAACTGAGGTTCTAGTCAGTCAGTTATGCAAGGTAGTCAAGAAAATTCTCCTGAAATCAGCCTACAACACTAGAAGAAATTCCTCCCATATTGGTATTTATAATGATTTAGAGGTTATCAATAACATATTCTTAACTTTTGCCATTGGTATTCTTCTTTTTTATGCTGATAATCATCCCGTAATATAATACTGTTGCAAAATGGTAGTTTGTTCACCACACATCTTTCTAGCTAGCCCTAAATCTACCACAAGGAGTGAAGTCTCTCAACCACAGAAATGCTCATTTTAATAGTAGAAAGATACTACCAAGAATTTAATGGGTTGCGTGTCTCCTGTTTTCTAGTTTTTCCCATTTCCTAAGGTCCATAACTCATGGGGTGCCTGATGTAAGGCCATCTAGTCTAAACTCAAGTGTATCTTACTGCTTATCACATCTTTCTTCCCAACTGTGAAAGAGGCATCACTGTAAAGGCAAGACACATCAAATGGCAAGGCAATGTCCTAAACACGACAGAGTCCCATTGAGCACAAGGACTCAGCCTTTAAGTACACCTGGTCAATGGAAAACCAGTGCCAGCATTTTCACCTCAAATTTGCTAAGAAGGAAACTGAGAGTAGAATAAAAATCATTTTACAGAATTAATCAACACAGCAAAATTTAACCTCAAGTTTGATAGAAGAAACTGGAGGTGGGAAGAATTATTTCCCAGAATTTACAGAGGATGTTAATAGAATCATTCTGTCACAGTGTGACATTAAAATTGTGACAGTGTCTCAGCTACAGAGATGTCTTTTTTCTACATGAGTAGCATCCCATAAACCTTGAGGAAAAACAGAATTCAAATGATGCAACAACATAGCATATTTTGGTAATTATCTTTAGTTGAGAAAACAGAATAAAATTCCTAAAAGAAATTTCCAAATACCGAATATATATATATTTGAGGGAGACAATGCTGTTGTGGTTTCAACTCTTTTCTGAAATCCTGCTTAAAGTGCCCATTCAAAAGTAGTGGAAAAGGCCCAATTTTTCTTCTCTCGTTTACAAGGATCATTATCTCCCCAATTTCACCTTGCCTTGGGGAGAACCAGTAACCTCCCTCCTTTTCATAAACTCAAAGATGTAAGTGTCAATTTTATAAAAACCTTCTCTACACACACACACATACACCTGTACTAACCCTGCTGATGAAGGTTTTCTGTACAATGCAGTAAAAACAAACTATGCTATCATTCGGACCATAAGGCATACACTTTGTTGTTTACTGAAGAAAAGAGTTTTGCTGCCCAGCGAATACCCTAAAATAACCCAATAGGTTGCTAAGTAGTTTTAGCTAATAGCCTTCTCATCCATGTCACACCTCTCTGTACTTGTGTGTTTATAAATGGCTTTCTACAATAGTTTTTAAAGATAACACGTTATTACCAAGCCTAAATTCTTTTTAGATCATTACAAGAATAGAAATGCATTATACCAAGACTTCTTTACTCAAAAATATAACTTTAAATAAACTAATTCACCAGCCTACAATGCACTTCAGTATTTTACAGAATATTGTTACAGGTTAAATCTGACTTCACTGAATGCAAACTTGCATTTCTAAGTAATTATAACTTATAGAACTTATATAAAAACTGAGATCTATTTTAAATTATTGAATTTTGAACACAGTTTTTTCCATACCTAGTTAACAAAGTTTATTAAGTTTCTATTCAGTCATGTGCTAGACGTCTTGACAAGTAGAGATTTCATGATAAATAAATATCGTTTTTAAGTGAGAGTGAAGACTCAAGCCATCACACAGATTCTAAGGAGGAGTAAAAGTAAAACTGCTCTCAATTATGATTTATGCACTTAAGGTATTTCTTTGTTTGGGGGTTTTGCAGGTGGCTAGCAGCAGAAAGAACAAGTATCTGGCATTAAGAATCACTACACATAATTCATCTATATCTTCCAGGAACTAATAATGAAATCTAGATTAGCTCTATGGACACACCCATCCCCTTAAAATGTAAAAGATAAACCCAGAAATACTGTCATAATTTACTCCTAACCCTGATGAGTCAAATTTTTCTTCCTGCACTACAGACTATTTTTTGGATATGGTCAAGATTTTATGATTCATCTCTAACAATAATGCCTGCCTGACATCAACAGTCACATCAGAGTCTGGGGTATCCAAAGCCTGTTGAAATATTAGTAGAGAGGTGCTCTGATATCAGCCTCCATGACTGGCTTATTTATATTTCAAAAATAAAATAACTGAATATATTTCTCTAAATCCTCATAAAGTCTTTCATCTAGGAGACCTGACTGTGAATACAGGAAAACATTTACACTTAAATACGCAGAGGTATATATACAGCAACACCAAAACTATAACCCTAGGGTTAATCTATCTATCAAAATTAATATCAATTAGTACTAGATCAACATGCTCCTCACAGGCTGAAATGACCATGATTCTGAAGTCAGGCTAGGATGTATGTAAAAGGCTCTGACGCATCTTAATGCCTTCAACAATGATAGAAGGAATGATAACTTGTAAGCCATCAAGAAAAAAAGAAATACAGAAATATATCCTGTATTGATAGGTTCATGGTTGTGAGTTGAACTGTGTAACTCCCCCCAAAATGTTAATGTCCACCTCCTCATATCTGAGATTGTGACCTTATTGTGACACAGGGTATATGCATATATAATCAAGTTAAGATGAAGGCATATTGGAACAGGGAAAGACCTCACCTAAGGAATGGTGAGGTCCTTATAGAAAATGGAAAATCTAGGCACAGACATAGACATACAGTAGAAATGTCATGTGACTACAGAGGCAGAGTTTGGAGTGATTCATTTATAATTTCAGGAATGCCTGAATTATTGACAACCACAAGATATTAGGAAGAATCAAGGAAAGGCTGAGAGAAAAGCATGGCTCTACTGGTTCCTTGATTTTGAACTTCTGGTCTCCAAAATTGGAAGAAAATGAACTTATGTTGGTTGAAGTTACTTTAGTTGTGGTTGTTAGGGCAGCCCAAGGAGAATACTATAGCTACCTGTTAACAAGGCCAGTTAATTTCACTGTCAGGAACACAGGTGTATTCATAGTGATAAGTATGCAACTCAGGAACAGAGATGCTTCATTTTACTCTCAATTTTATGCTGTCATTGGCAAGCACGCCTAGATTCTCTTCCTGACCCTGTCACTTATTGGATATGCAAACTTAGAATAACAAAGTAAATTCTCTGAGCTTTAGCTACCCCATCTATAAAATGGGAGTAATATCATTTAACTCACAAGATGATGGTAAAAATACTGAGTTAAATACATAAAATACTTTGTAGCATGCCTGGACACATGGTGACCAGTAAAATTACTAGAGCTTTGGAAATAAAATTGTCCATATAAATCATAAACTTGTGTGTCACTGAGGATGGGGGTCAATTTATGTAGAAAAAGAAACCTGCTAGATTTAACCATCCCTAGGCTTTCTTAGAAAGTCATGTTCAAAATATTTGATAGGAAAACCCTGAACACTACAGTATGGAACCACAATCAAATGTACGGTGCACACAAACCTTGACTGTGCTGATCCATTGGACTCTGGGGAGGACCCATTCCCGGGTGAGGTGGACGCATACCGGTTCCCTTCATGGTTCCACAATGGATGTCTTCCACAATCCCCTTGTCATGCATCCCATCAATGGACTGAAACATTTAAATGGCATTGATTAGGCATCTCCTTAAGGCACAAGATTTCTATCTGAAGTTACAAGACCCCTCCAAGGTCTTCAAAAACACAGTCACTTATTACCCACTCTGGAGTCCTACTTTTTCACTTCAAAGATTCTCACCTTTGAGTAGAAAAATGTATACAAATAGGAGAGGCAAAACCATTTCTAAGTCAAAAGTTAAGGCTTTAAAAACGGTTGAAACTTTTTTTTTGGTTATGTCACAACCTGCCAACAAAAAATAAGGTCCTATTCGCAAGGTAAACACATAGAAAACTAGTCTTCCAAACCCTTTCAAGTTGTCTTGAAACCTGTTACAAGTCGAAGTTAGTTCAAAGACTGAAGAAAGACTATTTGATATGCCTGGAATAAGCTACTTCTTGACAACTTTTTTCCCCACTGGAGAGGAAGGAAGGATGGAAAGTTAAAAAGTTGAAATCAGAAGGTTCTATGGCAGTTGGGAGGAGAGAACAGACAGGGGCAGAGAAGCGAATGAGAAAGACAAGAGTGTGAAACAGAGAGCACTAAGCTCAAGAGGAAGGAAGACCTGAAACAGTTAAAGCCAGACTTTAGAAATAATGAACCCAGGACCAGACCCAGGACCTGAGGCCCAGCATATGACAGACACACAATAAATACCTATTGAACTGACGTTAATCCAATCCAGAATTGAGCAACGGAGCATGTCTTTGGAAAAGGAAAAGTCTATTCCTCCCCAAACTGTAATAGCAATTTTGAAAACAGCTTGCAAGGAATATTTCCAGGAGTTTATAGAAACCAAATGACTTCAAGCAAGAAAGTATGAGTGTTTGCAGTTTTGGAGAAAAGAAAGTTAATTTCTGCAGAGTCAAAAGCATGTGCTTGAAAAGAGGAAAAATTTACCATAAAGAGGATGTTCAGAAGAAAAATGGGAAAAATCTGGTATAAAGAGTGTCACTGAATCTGTTAAATAGTAATAATAGGAAATCAAAGCAACGCGGCAGATGTATTTGGGCCACTTGTTTATTTATTTCCAGTAATGTTGAAAAGCAAAACGCTGAGCCTTAGAGAGAGGAGCAAGACATTCAGCAAGACAAGGAACGAAGCTGCCTATAAAAGGAACAGAAGAAAGGGACAGCATCTGGTCTGCAGGTGTGAGCACTGCAGTGCCCACCCAGGCCTCATGCAGGGACTGGCTGCAGGGGAGGGACAGCGGGATGGCAAAGATCGCAGAATTCACAGAATAAGGGCAGCATGACCCAAACAGAGCAGCAAAAGGGAACAGAATATGACAAAGTGCAATAAAGGTGCTAGCTAAGGAAATCAGATGGTATCAGAAGAGATAACAGCCAATAAAACAACTCAGCTTAAAAAAAAAAATATACAGGAGAACATGCCCCCCAACCCTCAGTTGCAAACTTCATTTTTCAATGCTTAAATGACAAACAATAGCTAAATATTTGCTTAATATTTTCTATCCTTTGCAAGGTAAGACATCCTCAGCCCAGTCTGAAAGGCTGTAACCCACCAGGACAAAGGTTTACAAGTAAGAACAGCTCCCGAATTAACACAAGATAATTTAATGACTCCAGTATGTCATCCTGTCCCCACAAGAACTGATAGGACTACAAAAAGCTTAATTTTTCTAGATACCTATTGGTATGGAAATGGTATTTTTGTTAAAAAACAAAAAAGGAGGGAGAGAATTTGGGGCTATCCATGAGGTATTATTAAACAAAAAGAGGAAGGTTTAGAGTGATACTAAAGATGCTATGATCCCATGGTGGTAAATGAAAGGAAAAGAAATCACACCTGTATGTAAATACCTGTACTAATACAGTATTCACTGAACAAGGAGAGAAGTAAAGTGTGAAATGCATGCATGACAAGCTTCTACCTGGGTAAAACTAGATACAACTGTTTTCTTAACTAAGCTTCGTTCCATTTTTCAAAACAAGCATATAGTATTGAAACTGACCAAAAGTGTTTCAGGATTGGAGGAAAGACTTGCTCTTTTCATGTACTGTTCTTTGTTCAAAGTCAGGATCCTCCATGGCTTGGCTATGGTGCTGGGTTGATATGGGAACTAGCCAGGGATGTGGGGTACCCAGACATTCAGTTAACTGTGCCTGTGTGTGTCTGGGAAGGTGTTTCTGGATGAGATTAACATCTGAACTGGTGGACAAAGAAAGCAGACTGCTCTTCCTAAGGTGAGTAGGTGTCATCCAGTTCACAGAGTGGGAGAGAAAATGCTTTCAAGACTGATGGCTTCAGCTGGGATGTTGGTCTCCTGCCCTGGGACCAGGACTTATAACCACCTAGCTACTGACTCTTCTGGTTTGCAGGTGTCTAGAGTCAGACTGCAACGACATCACCAGCTGCGGTGCCTCTCCAGCTTATTAAGATGGTGGAACTGCTCAGTCTCAGTAATTACCCAAGCCAGTGCCTCATAATAAATGTTTTTTTAATTTCCCAGTGATGCCTTTACTCTGAAGAATCCTAATATTCCCTGAATATCGACAGGCAGCCCATCTATGATGTTGTTGGAAGGAGTATAAAACCTCAAGTCTCATGAGGCATAGCCTCAGGCAATGTGTGATAGGTTTGCTTGGGCTACTACTAAATTTCCAAGCAAATTGCTGGAAAGGATTATTTATCTTCTCAAAAGGCTGCTAACTCTTCTTTGTACATCCTATGAGGATATAATACCAAATTATACCAGTATGATCAATGTTACAACACTAAAAGAATCTCAGCATCACAAACACAGCATCATTATTATCTGTGGTGGATTGACAGCTAGTGGTCACCTTGTAACAGCCAGCTGAACTGAATCAGCCTGGTGCTAGGGGTGAATGGCCTGCCTGAGGATTGTTGTCAACATAAAAAGGAGACCTGGAGAGGAAGAAGTGTTGTGTTGTAGGTTCTCCTATTGTCGTTGGTTTTGCTGGAGGAGCTTGTTGAGCTTCTTCCCGGATATGAACGTGGCTGTTCTCACTGACAAAAGGGCTCAAGACCTTGTTGTCATGGAGAATAGCTGTGGTTCACTTTGAGGGAGCACTGGTCCTTACTTGAGCAAAGCTTCCTAACTCCAGAAGGGAAGATAGTGGGCTGTTCAATCTCCTGGAGCAGCTTTTCAAGCTGGCTTCCTGACATGAACCTGGATGTTCTCAATATCAGAAGGAGCTTGGGATCTTGTTGCTGAGGATGGCTGTGGTACTGTTTGGGGGAGCTCTGGTCCTCTGAGTGTTATTTCCTGGCTCCAGTGCAGATTCCTCTGCTTGCTGGCACAGATCCTTCATCCTGTTGGTACAGACTTTCTAGCTTCCATTGCTGTCTTTTGGGCCCTCCCAATGCAGATGCATGAAACAGACTTGCATGAAACATTGTCAAGGGCTCTAGGTCTTCAGCTGGACTCATGCAGGGCATTGCTATGGAATCCAGGCTCTCAGTTGGATTCTTTGAGTCTTTAGTGTGTGGACAGATTTCCTGCACTTTTTGTGTGTTTGACTCTCTGGGTGACTATTATAAAATAATTCTATAAATTATGTGATGTGTATGACATTGCTTTCCTTGCAAACCCTGACTACGTCATTATCTGTTTCCAAAAACAAAGAACTGGACCTGAGTTCCTCAAAATAAGTTTTCTTTCAAAACCAGAATAAAACTACTTTACAGAGAAAGAGCATTCCCTAGAAATATTTTAATTTCAATAAAGCATTTAAAATATATTTGGAAAGGGACTCTTTTTTTAGGGATCTAATTTTTTTAATACATGTCAACATTTTTAGGGAAGAATGATTTTCAATATGTACATTCTTTCAATATGTACATTCTTGGAAGGGTAGAGTATTTAACACAGATAGAAAAAAAACAAAACAAGACTTATTTACTAATAGACTCATTCACCAAGCCAAAATACCTTCAACCTACAAATCACAGAATCTAATTGTCAGAAATGCATAGTCTACCTTAGATTTTTAAAGAGCTAACATCTGATCTTTATGAGTGGTACATCTGTAGCAATAAAAGTGCCTCTGAATGTGCATTTTTAATACCCTAGATAAGACAAAAATCTATCTTGATTCTTCTGTTAGCAATAGGAGAAAAAAGAGAAGCAGTCATCAGGAATATAAGCCATCCTTGACTCAGAAAGCAAGATCAAAAGGGAAAATAAAGTCTTACTTTATGCAGCTGATGCATGCCTTCCTGTGGGAAGTCGGTCGAGCCCATGGTCGGCATCGGATGTGAGACACTGGGAGGCCCAGGACTTGGCCCCATCATACTATGGACGGAACTCGGAGATGGTCCTGGTCCTGGACTAGGTCCCAGAATTGGTCCAGGGGAGGGTCCTGGCCCTGGCGATGGCCCAGGGTGGGGCATTGCAGCTGGGTCTGCGGGTGTGGACATCTACTTCTTCTGTCTCTGCCAGTCAGTAGAGTGACACTAAGTTGGGAAGTAGGAAAAAAAAAAAAAAAAGAAAGAAAGGAATGCTTTAAACATGATGTTAAGATCAGAATAAAACAGTTGTTAGCATTTGACGGTGCCAGATCTGTAACAAACATCAAAGAGAACTGTTCTGTCTAGTCCAGATGTTTGAGTGAATGTGATATATATCCGCCTGCCTCAGTCTTTATGAAGACCACTTGTTTAAAAAACACACACTCTAAATGATTCCCGAGAAGGATATAAATCATCTAAGATACCAAAAGAATCCCTGGAGAAACTGAAATTCAACATATAAGCAGAATCTAAACAAGCTTGAAGTTTATTACTGAAGTCAACAAATATTCTCCTCTGCTTACTGGCCTGGATGCCTGGTAAGTCAAGAGCCTCCAGAAAGCCCCTAGCACAGCAGACCTTTAAAATGGATCCAATCAAGACCCGGTCTCTTAAGTCACAGGCATTCAAAACTTCCCAGAGAGTTCTAGATAGCTGAGAAATCCATTGCATAAAGTGACAATGAAAAGTAAGTCCTAGTCATGGAAAATGCAGTGTCTAAGTGAATCACACAAATGCATTTGAATACTCATGTCTGTCATTACTAGCTAAGTTATTTAATGTTTGTTCTTTTGAGATGTAATAGTAGGTATGAAAACCTTAACTGTGTACCTGGCTCAACAAACAGCCACTCTTTTTTAGCCTTATTTTCTCCACTATTTCATCGGACCTGAAGGGATTAGGAAGAACAGTGGTAAGAGGTGGTCTTCCCGCCAAATAAATACCAAAGCAGAGATGACTTGGTCAAGGAGGGCCGGGCCTCTGGGCAAGCTGGGCCTCGCTCTGGCTCCGGATTCCTGGGAGAAGCTGCCCATGACTACTGAATTAGGGCCTAGGGTGTGAACATGTTAGCTCTTCAAGATGATCGGAGCAATATTCCAATACCCAGGCTCCAGGGGTTTTTGGTATTACCACTGGGGACCTGCCTCATGGGTTGGGTACCCCACCTCAGATACAAGCCAAACTGAGTAAATAATGTATTTGCCAGATTCTGACAGAAACCAATGATCCCAGCAAGAGAGCTGAATACCACTGGTGACAGCAATTATTCTAAATTCTGACGTTACATTGGAGGTATACACAAAACTCTTTTGCTCTCAACCTCAGAAAACACAGACTAAGACACCCTACGTAATTTGTTCCCATGCTGCTTCCTGGCAGAAATGGAATCGGACTATAGCAGCCGAACACCCAGAGCAGAGCTGTTTCTGTGGTGAAATCTATGAAATCAGAAGGCAGTCCAAATGCTCTATCAGTTCTTCCTTATCTCACTGCCTATCGTCGCACACCCCTGTAATCCCAGCAATATGAGAGGCCGAGGCAGGAAGATCATGGTTAGAGCTTGGATTGGGAAATTCAATGATGAAGCAAGACCCTATCTCAAAATAAAAAGTAAAAAGTGCTAGGGATAGAGCTCAGCCGCACAGCACCTGCCTGGCAAGCACAAGGTCCTGTGTTCAATTCCTGGTGCAAAAGAAAGCAAGAAAGAATGGAGGGAGAGAGGAAAGGAAGAAGGAAAGAAGAAAGAGTCAATCCCCAATACCACGAAATACAAATAAAGAAATAGGTCATTCTGATAAATTAGGGCTAAACATGGAAAATTATAAAAGGTGACCATATAATGGTTATAAAAACAGGGCTCCAAGCTGGGCCTAAGAGAACCCAGAAGTAGTGGTTTCTACAACAACAGGGTGCACTGAGGATGAGTTACAGCCCTGAATTCCCTAGAGAGCCAAATGTTATTATTTATTCTTTGTGATTAACAAAGCAAGTGGAAATAACTATTTTCCTTCCACTGCCTTTACACGCACGTGTGCACGCGCACACACACACACACACACACACACACACACACACACAAACACGTCCAGTCAGCATTTTAAATTTAGGAAGCTGATGTCAATTCAGGGGTACTACAACTTATAATGTTCTTTCATGTATATAAGCAAACTAATAGGCCCCTTTATTTCTTAGAGAATAAAAGGAAATTGCTTAATTCCTGTTACAGTTTATTTGGAAATTGGCTTCAATAGGTATTCTGTTCATATGCCACCAGTTTGAACAATGAAGATACCAATGCTGAAGTTGGCCTGATTCTCCTGGTTTCCAGCTTATACAGTATAAATTAGCCCACGATGGCCCTTTCTGACATATTACCACTTTCATTTTGCAATCTTAGACAATGTTATACTCATGTACCATCATAAAATACTTCTCTATTTTTCTGTCAAATGAAACTTTAAAATTTCTTAGAGGAAAAAACATATTAGAAGGGAAAGGGAAAATTATGGACACATAAGTGGAATGTTTGAATAGAAACATGGTATATAGGACACTAATAAGAGTAAAACCTTCAGATTCATGGATGCAACAAATATGTAAGTCAGAGAAATGGTACTGTTTAATCTTATTCCACATGGCTAATGAATGACATGGATCTGGACTCAGGCACAACTCAACTGTCATACTCACCAACTCTCAAGAGACCTAGATTCTGGTCTTAGAGCCAGCAGCCTGGGGTCCTAGGAAAACTCTCTGTCTGGGATCCCATGGCTTCCTCAAGGCTCAGGATGGGAATAATTCCAAGGTCCCTTTATCTGTGTATTCACGACCCCACGGCTGCTTCCCCCTGAGCATCTCAAAGACTTTATCCAACTTTATGTGTGACAGAATTCATGGGTTGAGCTCCATGTCAAACCAAGGCTGCTCAAGAGCCCTCTCCCGGTTACCATCACTCAAGTGTATCCAAAAAGAGGGCCTTGCAACATGAGGTCCGTAGTCTTAGCCTCTTATTCTTCCTCTATGTTTCTAGTGGCAACTTTACAATTCAAGTATATAATTAAACTATCCCACATTTTCAAGAAACTCTGGAGTATGAATTACAAAGAGATGTAAACCTCAGGCAGGGGTATGTGCTATTATTAAGTTACTGTGGTTAAGGCTTAAACTCTGGTACTGGTCAACTCAACTTCTCCCTCTGCTACCCCTAGGAGTCCTTGTCACTTTCTTTCCCAAAGTACTGAAGTGGCAATGGCCATAGGGTGGCAAGGGTGAGGGTAGGAAGATTGGAGCAGGGGGAGGGAGGAAAAGGCAGAGTTAACCTTGCTGGGTGACAACAGGTCTGTCCACCTGATAAAACTCACAAGCTATTTCTGTTTTGTGTTGCAAGAGGGAGTTTACACTATCACAAATGACCTGTTCCATACTTCTGTGACTAACTCCATGAAAAATGGATGCCTGGGGGAGAAACTCTGCTACCTCCCATACATACACACTAGGCACTGTTGGTCTCTCCCACACCAGGGTTCCCTTTATCTCTCACCAGGACCCCCTGAGGCCAGACTACTGTGTTCTTAGGCAAGAATTTTCCAGCAGTACACCCTGTCTCCTTTCCCTCCTGACATTTATAACCAGGCAGTACATAGTTTAAGAAATCAAAGGCCCTGGAGCGTCCCACAACTCAAACGATAGTCATCTCTCCTCAGCCCAAAATCTTCCCCTTCTCTTGGCTGAAAAGCTCAGCATAGCCATCTGCATACTAAAAAGAAGTTCAATTCCATAGAATTTTAAGGGTCACCACTCCAGCTACCCCAGTCAAAACATATGCCTTAGGGTCTAATTGCAATCAATAGAAACACAACATCCCCATCCATATATATGTTAAATACCTCTCTGTGCTTCCTAGTAATTTCAGTGATGGAATTGAAGGGATATTTTGTCACATTCCTACTGGAAGACAAGGGTAATAAGGCAGGGAGGGGCAGGTTAGCTCACCCAAAGTCCTACCCGTAACAAGGGTAAAACCTTAAAAAGAACTTCTTATCATTTGACATGCAACCCAACACTGCCTACCAGGCTATCAAGAAGGATGGAGAGCTGTCACATGGCCAGAGCAATGTGCAGGAGGAGAAAGGGGAAGACAAAGAGACAAAGAGAGGAACCATGAAAGAGGTATTTGGTAAAGATTAGAATTTGGCTGTGACAAAATACTAATTTATTAAAGGGCACAGAAGAACAAGGAAACCCTAGAAAATATATGGGAGGAAGACCATATCGCAAAACAAAGGGGTCGGTGATGCCTGGAATCAAACACCCAAAGGATCAGTTTTACTTATTTATTCCTAACTTGACTAAGCACCCACCAGGCCCAAGGCATGTTGGACACATAAAAATGACAAGAATGCTTCTGGCAGAACTCTGAAATCTGATTGGGAAACAAGACTTACGCATATATGACAAGAGGAGGAAAGTGGAAGCTCTTCCAAGACAAACAGGGATGCAGTATGAAAGTCCACATGGTGAAGGGGAGGACTGTTTGCAGCTTTGCGGGGGGGGGGGGGGCAATAGAGAAACAAAGACTCAGGAAGCCCAAGGGAGGGATGGGGGGGACTTCAGTTAGGCCTGCGAGTTAAAGAAGGTAAAACTTTCTAGAAGGCAAGAGCTTGGCAACGTTCCCTAGTCTTGATAATACCTTTTAAATTGCATGTCACAAAGGTTCAGAGGAGGCAGGAGAAACATTTAGATCTCCAGCATATCTTTCTCCATTCTTGTTTTACAGAAAAACTTTGAGGGCCAGGTTAAAGGTGGAGTATCAGAAAGAAGAATCAGAAAGAATCCCTGAGAATAACTGTCTTTAAAGTTTTTTTTTTTTTTTTTTTTTTTTTTGGCTGCTATGGGATAATGATAAGGCTCCAGAGACAGTGAAGATAAGATCTCCTTTTATGTCTGTTTGCCAATACTGAACATCTCCTCTGTCTTAAAGAGCTGTTTCTTGTTTTCTGCTTAGCTTTCTCTATGAATGAATTGATAATTTCCCCACAAGAAGTAGCAACATCACTAGAACTGGAACACAGCACTTTTATTCCTAATGGGGGAGCAGGCAGTGGGGTGAGGAACACAGCAGTGAAGATAAAGGAAATAAATCTACGCGGAGATTCTTGTTTGAA